TGGCTTGGTACCACGATGAGGGCGGTTGAAGGTTGGTGCCGTACATCTCTTCAGATCCTCCCGCACCCCCGGGCACGGTCGAGGCGGTCGTCGGAGGGTTGACTGTTGATGCCGTTGCTGGAGGCTCTAACGCTGATGGTCCTGCTGCACTGGGTTCCTCGGCGATAGGGTCGATGACTGGTTTCTTCTTTCTCCTCATACTCAAGGAACGATACCATGACGTAGCTTGCTGCTTTGTCTTTGCTAAAGAAGGCCTCGGGAGGAGTGCAAATCTCGCAGCTCTGCCTGCAGACGTGGGGGGATTGTTAGGAATAACCGGTTGTCGAGGTGGCTGCGGTTGAGGCGGAAGGAGAGGCGGTGGAATATTTCCTGCCCGATGACCTGGAGGGAGTGGACCCCGAATTTCACGATGTTTCGAAGCTGTCACCCATTCTGAGCGTGGTCGTGTCGCGATCGCTTCATTTCGGTGCTCGTTGGAGTTATACTGGCGTGCGATCTGGTCCGGGGTCGGTATGTCAATCTGCCAGTGTTGGACAGATGGTGTTTTTGTTCGGGCATAAGGTTCGCTGGGTACAACTGATGGTGGGGCCGGGGCCGGGGTTGGTGGTACAGATTCTGGCGGAGGCTGGAATTGGCGTAACGGTGTGCGAGAAGGGCCTGGTTGTGGCGCCGGCGGAGGAAGATTTATGGGCGTGGTCACCTCAGGAAGACTTCTGAGAGGCAGCATCGATGGAGACATTTCACTTTCAGGGCTTGACTGGATGTCATCTGCGACAGCTGGAGGAGCTGAGACGTGCCGTCGATGGCTGGATCTATATCCGTCTGCCCTTTGCTTTCCCTTTCCCTTGCTGTTTGTTCCGGTTGCGAGCGAAGGTGTTGCGGAAATTTGGGCCTGACGTCTAGCGAGTATCTCTCGCTCTTTCTTTGCATGTTCAAAGCCCAAGTCAAAGCCCAAGCGCCGACCCTCCTCTCGGGCTGCGGCGACCAGTTGCTCCTGCCGCAATTTTCTCGCCTTTGCCCGCGCACGAGCAGCCGCCTCCTCCGCCTCTTCTCGTTCCTTCTCTGTCCGTTTAAGCGCCTCCTCAGCTCGGCTGACTTCCTGTTTTGCATTTTCCAACTGGAACTTGTACAAGGTGATCTCTTGGGTGGCTCGCGCTGCCTCCTGCTGAGCAGATATCCGGTTCTCGTTCAACACACGGAATTTCTGAGCGTTCTCCAAATTAGCTCGCTCGAGGTCGGCAGCCCGTTTGGCCTCGTGCTGGGCCTGTTGAAGGGCGGAGTTGAGTAGATCGTGTAACCGCAAAGCCTCTGCCCTCGGGTCCTTTCGCAGCAACTCGAGCTCCAACTTGGATAAGGTAGTAAGTGGCAGCTCATTGGTAGCTGCTGACTGTGACCTCCGTTGGGCGCTCCTCTTTCGGTGAGGAGGCCGGCGTTTCTCGAGGGCGCCATAGTTGGGTTTGAGTGATGCACTGGATTCTTCCGCTTGCTCTGGTCCATGCCTCGAGGTGTGCGAAAGTAGAGCTGATCGAGGGGACATCGATGCTGCTGCCTGAGCTGCCTGCCGGCGATCCTTAGCGATGGTCTCGTCCACGAAAGCCCTGAGAGCAGATCTAAACTTGGTGGTTCAAATACGTACAACTTTAGATAGAACGAGTCATGCTTACCCCTCAGAACTCTCCGTCACCGGTGTTGTCGTTGAACTTGACATCACAGGCGCCCTGGAGTCACGGAAAGTTCAATCTTTGCGCACACGTAGGGTCTGATGCCACACACCTCCTCCGGAAGTTTAATCTCGCCTGCAAACGGACTCCTGGAACGCCAGAGGCATTGAGAGGATGTGAAAGGTAAGGGAACGTGTCGAACTATCAGCTCGGCTGGGAAAGTCAACTTGCCCAGCTTCTGCGGGTCCTGCGCGCCTCATGGCCGTTAGGGTCGGAGAAAAAGTCCACAAATGGTGAAACGGACCAACTTCTTCGGCGGCTTTCCCCATGTTCATGTTGAACCCATACTTACGATGGGGCCTCGGAATGTCTACGAGGACGCGGGAAGACACCCCACCAGGGAGCATCGTGTATTGGGACTGTACAAAGGAGCGGCTAAGTATAAAGGTTCAAGGGAAGTCGCTCGTCGAAAAATACATCTACTTGATACAAAACAGGGAAGAAAAATAAATAGAAAAATAAATAAATAAAAACATCTCTGTCGAGACATAAAAAAGGAGGAAGGAGGTATCGCCTGTTGGGGGGTATCGCTGAAAGGAAAACAACTACAACAACTTGAATGCCTGACTAGAAACAACGGGAGGCAGGACCTCAATAGCAAGGGGCTGTGCGTGCTTGTGGACCGACGATGATGGGTGACCACAGTTTCTGCGAGAAAACAAAACGCTAACAGTCAGATAGAGGTGTATCATAACCAAGACAACGACTGACCTCCTCCCAGTGATCTATTGGGCTAACGCCACTCGCGGAATACATGCAGTCCACCTCAAGGGGAACATCGGGCCCTCCGAGCAGCTGTTTCGGCGCCCAAGACGGGATATCATCCATTGATGGTGCAGAGTAAATGAAGGCCGATAACAAGAAGCTGTTCCTTGCCGGGGAACTCGTGTCTATGAATAGCATTCGGCCCCTCGGAGCTTTGGGTGACGGTTCAGGTTGCTGTGGCGCAAGATGGAACATGGCTGGAGTGAGGGTAACGTAAGAACTAGGGGCCTCGCTGCGCGTTTCCTCTTGTCGGATGGGTACGTCGGCGGCATGGAATCCTCTTGAGAATGGCTCATATCCGAAAGGTCTAGGAGACGGTGGCTGGTGGAAAAATGGACTCGCGGGTGTCAGCAGCAGAGTCTGAACCCCATCCTCTTCGATAACGACCTTGCAGCTCGGTTCTGCTGCGTCATCGTCTTCGTCGTCCCAGTCTTCGAAGATCGACTTCAATTGAGGTTCGCCGAACGTGACCGTGGTAGGCTGCGAATCCCATGAAAGTTCAGGGGTTTGCGATTGGGTAGTTGTTGAGGATTGACTGCCTTGAGACTAACGATCTGCATATATCAGCTGAAATACGGACATGTGAGCACGACACCTACGTTCTCGAGATCCTGTACATCCCAGCTATAACTCGGGAAGGGGCTCAAAGGTAGCCAAAGGTTAGGAGATCTCTTCTTCGCGCGCCCAACCAGTGACGGCGAAGGTTGGCCGGCAACAGCGAGAACGGACGAAGTGGGCAACGATGGCAGCGAAGAGGTGGACATGCTGGCGAAGTCGTCGAAGGTTTGAAAAAAAAGTTGGAACGAATGGGGGACTGAGGAACAGTGAATGCTTCCCGGAATATATACCTGGCGATGCCGCAGCGTAAACAGATCACGAGGACCAATACAACCGATGGCGTTCAGAATCAATCAATGACCCAAGGTTTTCGGCTTCCCAGTCTGGATTAGAGAGAGGCGAGACGTTTCGCAAAATTGAGGATGACAGCACACTTGTGACTCGTTGGTGCAGTTGAGATCGTAGATGCTAGATACGATCAAGCGCTGCTGCCAAGGCGGTGTCCGAAAGAGAATGAGAAAGACCTCCATTTCGACCAAACCGAGACCTCAAATCAGGGCCGAGCCACAAACGTTGATGATGTTGAGGAGCTGATGCTGATGCTGAACAAGACGAACGAATTGAGGATGAGCACAAGATAACCAGTTTCCCCAAGGAGACCCTTCGGTACGACAAATTCTGGGCCCAGGAGAAGCGAGTGAGAAGACTGGAGGAGATCGTTCAGATGCTGAAGAATCCGAAGCGGCTAGGAAGGATGGAATTCGATCGTTGAAGCTAAAAATTCGATCAATCATCCTGGATCAACTGGATTGCATTTCACGGGGCGCACCAGACTGTTCGAGCTTGAAGACTGAAAATAAATAAGCTGAATTGAAGAACTACCTAACCAGTGCGATGGCTTTCCTGGCTTTCAGCTGACGCAACTTCGAGTATCTCCTGCGGTGCCACATTACGGGAATGAATGGCGGTGCTTAACCGCTATACGAGATAAAAAGGCGCCCTAAGGACGGAACTGGGATATATTTAACAAACCAACACTGATAGTCGAGGTCACTAAGACTCACTATAGATCTTCATACGACCACGAAAAGACACGTCACCGCGCAGCAACGGCGCGTGTCTTATTTTCGGGGACTCCAGCGTAAAATAGCCACCTTGTTCCTGGCCAGCGTCAGATTCGCACTTGCTTCGGCCATGCGAATGACCTCTTCCAAGGCACCATCGGCATTTTTCGTGAATTCTTCGTATTTTTGCTTTTTCTCCAATTTTGCTTTTTCTTTCGAGGATATTGGTTTAGGAGTTGCGGGGAAGGTTTGGTTTGGTTTCCACCTGGGAAGCTGGTGGACCTTTTGGAAGAAACGACCCCGCTCTCGCGCCGTGAATTGAGCCAAATTGCGCGTAACCTGATGAGGTATCCCTCTCGAGTTGGCAGCTGTGTAAAGGAATTCTAAAGTATTATCCACTGAATTGAAGAGAGTTTCAGAACAAGAATAGCTGGAAGGTTTGAAACGGACCTCGTTCATTCCAGACCTTCAACCAATCCAACCTCTCCCGTCTCCAAGCATCTGCGGCATTGGGACTTTCTTGCAATTCTCTGATGACCTTGGCGGCCGCTGTAAACACTGGACGCCAACGCCTTCGCAAATTCTTGCTTGCTCCGCGATGATGAAGCACGGCTGCAGATGATGTTCGAAGAAAAAGCCTATAGACGCTCGTAAATGTTGCCGGCAGACGATGTGGAGGATTCATTGGGGAGACAGAAGTGCCTAACATTGACCGTGACAGACGTTCAAACCTTCGCACCTGTTGACGATGACGCCGTCGTATGCATTTCTGGATATTTGTTCCCACAGAACTCTGCACCGCCACTGTCGCCATGCCAATGAGCAATTGTCTCGCGCTGATAGTTGAGGACCATGGTTTCAGCTTGCCCACTTCTCTGAATGCCGAGTCTACACATCTGCTTTAAATTTGCTCTGCCGAAGATCTTATCTTCTTTGCTTACTCTCGGAAATGACTAGCTGGATCGTGCCGGATCCGATGTTATCTATGTAGGCAATTTTGCATCATACTTATCGAACCTTTCTGGGCGTTCTCAAACGCGTTCTTCCGCACACTCTTGTTCAAACTATAGGGTTCTTGGGAAAGCCTCACCTTTTGATTCGGCCTGGACTCGTTTTCAGCAACAAAAGTGTCTAAGTATATGACAGCTATCTGCCAGGTCTCTTGAAACTTGGGGTTCGTTGCACGGAAAGCGTCACTTTCTATCATCTTGCTCATCGAATACAATTTACGTTCAGCTTGGGTATACAAATATCTCAGGCATAGGATGATACAGTAATATTATGACTTGATCTGGCGCTCGAAACAAGGACCCTGGGTACTCATGTTGGGATCTGTACCGACATCAAGAATTGCAAGGTTAGAATGTTGGGCTCCTCGAAAGGCAACAGCCTATCGACTTGCCTTGTCGACCTGGATAAGCCGCCCGACGGCGCAACACAACTTCTCTCTGCGGACGACAATACACATCCATCGCTCCGGTGGAGGGTCTTCTCTCATCTTCGCACACTGGGCCTGGAGCTCTGTGGGGAACGGAACGGATTCATTCTTCGGCGCTCCCGCAATAGATGGTGACGACAACGCCTGTTGTGTGCGAAATTGACGTCAGGGCCCCTGGGCTCCGGGAGACGCGAATGGCCGACGCGGACGAACCTTTCTGAGTGGCGGCGCCTGCTTGGAAACACTGGCATTACTGGCTTTCACTGTCGACATTGTAATCTGCGGTGCGTAGAATGCGTGAAGTGGGGGATAAGAGCTTTTTCCCTCGCGAATCAGCTCAAGATATACTGGCGCAGAGTTGTGTGTGACAAAGCAGTGGCTTGGACATGAGGCCACGGGCCACGCAGATCTGACATGCCATTGTGGTGCGCTTGAGCTTCATCACAAAGAACACGCCTCGTCCAGCAGTATCGCGTCTGTCCCACCTTGAACTTTCCGAGGTTCCGAAGTGCATTTGTGGCCCAAAGTGTCCAGCTGGCCCAAGGTACAGCGCTTGCTGTGGAAGCCCGATACGCCGGGATGGCGCACTCAATGACCAAAAATGGAAATTCAGAATGTAGCCCTATCATCCGGCCGCGGTGGACCAAGCGGACAATGCGCAGAGAGCCCAGTTATGCGACGCCCATGCCACAGTTTCATGTGTGGCAAGTATATAAACTCGGGCGGGTCACGGCTCGTGGAATCCACTGCCCAATTCACGCTGCCTATTTTCACACTTCACCGTCTTCCTATCTTCTTCTTTCCCTTCCATTTCCTAAAACTCCTCCTGCTTCGAAATATTGCCACGGATGACCTCTGAGAGCCTCCGCGAACACGCAATGGATGCACAGAGATACGACTTCTCTAAGCGTCGTGTAAGTAATATTCGCACCTTTTCCCTCCGTTCGCTCACGGTCTATCTCGGACTCCCAGAAGCCTTCTGCCCTTACGATATGCACAACAGCCACGACTGGCCATCGGATACAGTCAGAAGATACTAAACAGCTCACCGAATCGCCAACCCTCTTCTTCGGAGATATTTGGGATAACCACGCCATCGCCGTGCTCTCCACCGCCTCCCCTTCTTCGGAGGAACTACCGAGGACGGCCACGACCGATTCGTTCTCCGAGACAGTGGAGTCGTCTACCTCGACTCTGGTAGTCTCAAACACCATCTTCACGCAGAGAAATGAAATGCTCTCGACAGACGTCTTCGAGCATGATGGGTACACCACCACGCGTACCATCATTCGGCCCACACCCGTACGATCGAACATCCTCACCCTCGTTACTCGGCCATCCTTGGAGGACCTGAAATCTCCGAGCCGCGCGGCAAGCATTCCGGTCCTTCGGCGGCTCCGCAGCCTGAACTGTATCAGCACTGTCGATGCGTTTGAGGAAGAGATCGATTTCATTCAGGCGGAACGCGAGAAGCAAATCGCGGGCCTGAATGCCGGTTTGAAGATACGTGTCGAACAGGACTGTAATGTCTATGTGGAAGAGAGGTGGAGGGAGGGTATACAGGCCATGCTTTACAACAGCTTCCCACAGCCAGTCGTAGGACAGGTCGTGACTTGCTGATTGAAACACCATCTCTTTACCTCAGGGACCACCACGGCTTTCCTCTCGTTCACAACTCTATAAATCTCGCTCTACAATTTACCTTACATTGTATAATCTGCTTAAATAGTAGTGCATTTGATAGAAAGACGCATCAAAGTGCAGAACCTGTGCCATTATTTTCAACTGAAAACCAAGATTCAAGCGTTCTCCCCGACGAGAGAATGAGCAGGAGAGTACTTGTGGGTGCCAAAAGTAACTGTGATTATGTAATCACATGCTCCAATCAAAGGCGGGGCATCCCAAAGATGTGAAGCACACTTCAATTCAGGTGCTTGAATCACCCCGAGAAAAGGCATAGTAGATTAGTCCTGTTCAGTATCTATGTATTCTACACATTAAAATGGTATGTGGCTGCCCCGCGCTTCCAGGAGAGCCGCTACTCGGTCAGGCATCTCAGAAATGTGTTTATTGACGCACTCGATCGGTATCTGCTCCCAGGCTTCGATAACAGCCAAACGGAGTTCTTCTACGGATGTGGGATGATGTGGCCTTCTTCGTATAATTTGCTTGAGTTCGTGCCAAATAGGCTCAATTGGGGAGAGGTCCGGAGAGTTGGGAGGGTGATAGAGCTGTGTGATGCCATGATGAGTGAGCCATCGTTTCGTTAGTTTGCTGGTATGTGCTGGTGCATTGTCCTGCTGGAAAATTACCTGGCCTCTCTCGGTCCTCATCTCTCTATAGAAGCCCCTCAGAGCCCCCTCCAGCACTTGCTCGCAATACCGGGCAGTGTTCATTCCTCCACCTTTGCCTCCTGGGTACTCCAACACAACAAGCGGCCCTTTTTGACCCTCCATTACGCAACCCCACACCATTACTCTCACTGGCGACTGCTTGAAGGTCGCAACAAGGCATTCATCGAGGTATTTTTCATCCGCGCGCCGTGTGATGTAAACGCGTCCATGATTGTCGCCGAGATAAATATAGCATTCGTCGGTCCACATGATCTTCCTCCAATGGCGGGGCGTGAAGTCACAATAGAGGTGAGCCCATGTGAGTCGCGCACGCTTATGAACCTTCTTCAGGTAGGGAACCTTGCGCGCTACCCGGCGGAAGTATCCTGCGTTGCGCAGAACCCTTCGAACAGTTGACCCCGAGACTGGTGATGGGAGTTGGTTTCCGATGTTGGTAAAAGGTGTTCTCCGCTCCCTTCGGGCAATGCGTATGATATGACGCTCCGCAGTATCGTCAAGCTTGTGTGGACGTCCCGACCGGGGGAGATTCTCTGTCGAACCCGTTGTCTTGTACTTTTTCCAGATGTACCGTGCTGCGCTGTCATGGATGTGGAAAACCCGGGCCGCTTTGGCGACTGTTGTACCCGTGAGCACGGCTCCGATGAACTTGTCTTTTATGGACGATGGATACTGGCGTCGTTCTGTCTTTGGTTCAGGCATGATGAGGGAAGAGCGATGAGGACCGCGGAGGAGGGACGTTCAACAAATGATCGGGTCAGATCACATGGGTCGTGTTTATTATATAATCGTAGTTACTTTTGTCACACGTGAGTATATCCTAAATTTCGTGTTTTCGGTTTTCGGTTTTCGGCTTTCAGCTTGGCATCCTCAAACCAATGGGAAACACCGGCCCGGAACTCATGGACTCCTTGCCCCCAACCATCACAATCCACTGGGGTGGTATAGCCCATCTCATCACCTCGCCTACGCTGAATCTTCTTGAAAGCAATGGAATACCATCAGAAGAGGAGGTAACGCTCATTCGCGAAGCAATCCGCCGCGCACAAGAAGAGCTCGATAACCTCCAACGGGAGGGAGCTCGCCGGGCGATGCAGCTGCTTTTCCCGTCAGGGTTCCCAGATATCCAGCTTTTGATTGATAACCAGAGGTACAAGGGATACATGTCTCCCTTGTCTATGGTAGAATCGGACATGCGCATCATATTGAACGCATTCATAGACCAACACCGAACTCTCGTTTCCCCAATCCGTCGCTTCCCGCCCGAACTCCTCATCGAGATCTTCTCCTGGGTTGTAGGTGAATCTCCTTTCCCTACCAAACACTCGGCTGCTTATCCACACGAACTGGTGAGCTACATGCCTCGTCATTCTCTCGCTTTTTCCCAAACCTGCGTTTACTGGAGACAAGTCGCGCTATCTGCGCCTGAGCTCTGGACGTCTATCCCCTTCCTCAGTTGGATCTACCCCAGCGACTCGCCAAACGCAAATTCTCAAGGCTGCGTGTATTTCGTCAAGCTCTTTCTTGAGCGATCGAAGGAGCTCCCCATCCACGTCAGGGTATGGTTGCCGTACTCTTTCCTGCACGACGGCAACATCGCCAACGCCTCTTCCTTCGAGCCTCTTCGCTCCGTTCTTGCTCACGCCCGCCGGTGGATCACCGCCATGGTCTATGTCAGCCCCGCTATCTACGAGTCGCTTCCTACGCTCGATTTTTCCCTCTTACACGCCCTCAACCTGCGGGTCGTCCTGCCCACCGGACCTGGTCGTATCCGCGAAGGCGATTATCGGGGCCACAACACGGTCTTCCGGTCAACACCCCGACTTCGGAAGCTTATCCTGGACAGCAAACCACTTTTCCCTGAGCTGCAGGACCTCCTGCTCCCTGTAACGAGCTTTGTGGGATTACCAGTGTGCGTGGTGCACCTTGGTGCATCTCCCGACCTGGTCAAGTGCGAGTTTCGTGGCCCAGCGGGGGTGCTGTCCATACATGACCCTCCACGTGCGATTAGGCATGTGAGGATCAAGAGCTTCAGGCTGGTGAACACGAACTGCACGCTACCACTCGGTGGTGAGATTACTACAACATTCTTTCGCTGGATCCGGATGCCGAACTTGGAGGTGCTCAACATCGTGGGCCCTGGGACGATCAAGGCGACACCGGTGGTCGTGGAGCTCTTGGTTATGACACTCTCAAGGCCCTCTCGGCTTCGCTCGTTCACGTTCCACGTCCGTGATTTGAAAAGAGTGGAACTACATTTCTTGCTTGAGGTGATGCCCCTCCTGGAAGTTCTGGACATTTGGGATATACCATCAGTCTGTCTTCGACGGCTCGTTCTAGAAACGGCGGAGGATGGCAATAAGGTCGTCCCGAAATTCACACCTCGCCTGCATTCCCTCACCATCCGCGAGTTCTCGGATCCCGACTTCAAGATACCGGAGAAAATTTATGACTCTCGTCGGCTCTTTGTCAACAATCCCTCTTCCAGTGAGCCGCCCCCAACCCCAGTCGACCACGACCTCACAATATTCCTCTCCTACCGCCGCACTTGTGAATGCGCCAGATACCAAAACATTATAGAAAGCTGGCAAGAAGTTGAACCTGGGAAGCACGCCAAGGGGTCCGAGTGTACGATGCTCCTCGGGTGGGCTAGCTACCTCATCAAAAATTTCCTTGGCTTTGACCATTGGAGGCTTGATTGCTCACTAGAGAAGTTCGACGTAAGACATTTAGTGTCTCCGAGAAAAAGTAGCTGACCATTGCTTTAGTTCACTGGCAATGGCAGAGTACCGGCACCCATTATCAACGGTTCTTGGGATGCCGAGAAATGCGATAAACTGCTCCGTGTTGTGGAAGAGTACAAAGTGAAGGACGGGAGGCTCCTTGAGGTGATTAAATGTCTCCCTCACGAAGTGGCCTACTCCTAATAATGTGAATTGAAAACCTATCACGCAGATGACGAGGTTATACAGAATCATGTCTGCCATCCGGGATATGCCCGACAGATGCCTGCTTCATGACAGGATTTACTCCTTCCGCTCACGAGCAGGTGAGCTGGTGAAGAAATGGACCCCGCTCGTGGAGGAGAGCTCCAAGGGGAGGCGATGGAAGATATCAGAGGATGGCAGGACATTGAGGTTGGGAGATGACTTGAAACCGAGGAAGATTGAGGTCGAATGAGATGTATAGGTGTTTGTTGGAGTTCAATTGGAGCTAGCAGATTCAACGCGATACCCGTCCGTTGTATACTACATTGTAAACCACTACCACTGTACCTTACATTATACAATTCTCTTCCCAGGTAAAAGAAAGATCAATTGTATTTGACATGAAATCGCACCATTCCAGTACACTTGCAACTCCGAGTCATAACAGCCCATTCTTTTCCGAAGAACCGAGATTGAGATTCCTCTTGTTCAGTGGGTGACGCGCAGACAAATACCCCATTTTCAAGAACCGCGGATTCGCCATCAACGTAGCTTCATAATCCAGAGGCCATCTACTGCAATGATGATTCCAAGACTGACGACAAGACTTCCTCCGCTAAAATACGAGCTCGCTTGAGGACAGTTGTCTACTGAAGAGGCGACGGGGGACTCACAAGACCCATTTATGGTACGTCCACGCCGTCTCTGGAGTGATGCCAATGCGCGGCAAGGCAATTGCCCATGGAAGGGCGTAAAATATGTTGGAAACGAGGCTTTGGTAGAGGTACCTGAACATTTTGCGCGCCATGATCAACCGCTCTGAAATGGTGAATATTAAAGGACCGGACTCACCACCTCGTCTGCGTCGCCAATAAAATAGTGGCAAGCTGCGTCGACACGGCGTAGCAGATGTAGCACCAGTCGATGCTCTTCCACATCATCGCCGTGATTTCCGCCGCCTCGTCCGAGTTGGAGAGGTAGCGCGCGAACGGCTTGGCGCCACGGATAGAGAGTGCTACAAACAGTGGGACTTCGATGAGGAGCGCTATGGCCACGGAGCGCAGTGCTGGTATAGTTATGACTTTCGAAAAGAGCATGCAAAATTTTCAGCATTAGATGCCGTCAAGTGATAAACAAAAGAAGAGGACGGACATTTGATGTCAGACCACGACGCTCGCGAGGTAGGATGTTTTGCCTGTTGGTAAACACCCCACCTGTGTCCGACGAACGCATTCGACGTCGCCTCGAGTGCGTTGACTGGGACCATGATGAGCCCCCATCGGATGGTGTTGAACACACCCCAGGCAGTAGCATATACTTGACCCATCTCGACGATGCCGTGGATCTGCCATAAACTACGGGAATGAGTCCGGTGATCATATTAAAGGAGTCGTGTCCTTACTATATCGCATTTCGTATGGCGCTCTCCGTGAAAGTCCATCTTCCTGGAAGTACCAACTTCTTGAGCGAAGGGAAGTCAAACCACCTCAGGCTTCGCGTATCGATAGTATGGCGAACGGCTGCCCTTCTAACCAGATAGAGGAAGTAGACTAGACCGGCTACAGCACCTATAAGGCTAAAATAGCAATGGCAATGGGCCGTTTTTTACTGGTTAGAATTTACATAAGTAGGCGAGAGGAATACTCACTCGCAGACGAGCTTGATGGTAGCGACAGTATGTATAGTGGGTGTAAACCCTCTGACATGAACAGTAGATACCAATGCAAGCTCGAGAAAAATCTGGATTAAAGTTTGCACAGAGGACATCAACAGTGGTACGCTGCAAATTTGACGTAAGGGGTTGTTCTGCCTCATTTCTCGAAGAAAAACGGATTGGGCTTACTCAGGTTTATCCAAAGCGCGTGTGCCCAAGCTTACAGCAGTATTGAGCGTACTTGCCAGGGAGTCGAACGCGAGGATACGGATGTATTTGACGGATGTAGCACGTGTCGGGCCAGGCACATAAGCGCCCACGAACCCAGGAGCGGCGAAGAGGAAGATGATTGAGAGGATGAGGCCGCATAGAGACTGGACAGATATGAGGGTGTATGTTAGAGAAAGCCTCTCTAGGAGCTGGGTCGCTGAGTCCCGGGTCGTGTCTCCGCTCCCAATCGTCGACCTGTGAGGTGAGCTCGGTGAGAAGCATAGCTTTATCCTCTGTAATCCTAGCGCACCATGCTGCTCGCGGAAGACCCTCGTTCAAGACCTCAATGACACAAGAGAAATCTGAAAGAATTCGAGTAACAAACGGTGGACATGGAAATCGATTCACTTACAGGTATAAGCATCAACTGTGGAAACGAGGGACGAGTCGATGTTAGCAATCCACATTTTCGAAAGAGTCCCGTAGACAGCTGGGATCAAGAAGGCAGCAAGATTGAACACGAGAGCCCCATGGTAGCTGAATCAAACACGATTGTTGAGCCTACTCCGGCTGCTGCGAACGAAAGGACGGCCTACGTGGCTCGGAATTGTGCCAATCTCGAGCTTGAGAGCCTGGCTGGCTGTTCTGTGTGTTCTCCGTCGTGTTCATCAATGGGAGAATCATTTGTGGGAGAATCGGGTCTGGGAGGGTGGCCCATCCTGAGGTTGAACGATATACCGGGTTCCGTGAGTGGTAGAGGGGCGTACGAGGAGGAACCCATGACGGGCGCCTCATTCAGGCTTCCTGGTTCGCAGGGGCGTTGGCAGCTGAGGCAGCTGACCTCGAGTCTCGCCGATACCTGCTGAGTTACACTGATGTTTGGTACTGTGGCACTCAGAAGGCTTCAGTTACTTCAGTTACGAAATCGACTGAATGGCACCTTATCCCAGCCGAACGTATGTGCGTACACACTAGGTCACTCAAGGTTTGCCGCCAGGTCACTGAGATGATGGGCGCGATCTATCGTTTAGACTCTCATCCAACGAACGATAAGATCTTCTCGGGAACATTGGAGCACACGGGTTATTAGGCATTATACTTATCAGTATATATATTCAACTATGTCGACTACAACTGAGAGGGGTACAATTTAGAAGGTAACCATAGCTGTGAGGAATGAGGAAGGAGATCTCGAAGCAGCCCAAAGGTCGCATAAATTCCTCCCTCAAAGAAGACGCGTCGTCTTGGGGAAATATCTCGAATTGACTGGGCGAAGACAGCTCTTCAAGGTCTCAACACTCAATTTCACACCAAACACTGCCCTAATTCTCTCCTCCACTTCCACCTCTCGCATCATCCCCGCCTCCAGCTCACTCCTAACCAGCCCAATCTGCGCCACGCGCTCCGTCCCCAACCTCCCGCTCTCCTCCGCGTCCAGCGGGCGCCAGCGCATGCACAGCTCCTTATACGCCGGTACAAGCCAGTGGTGCACCTCGTACTTCGTTCCGAGGACCACTTTGTCGATGGGGGAAGCGAGTGTGGTGAGCTGCTCGATGGCGAGCGTTCGGATGTCTGCGAATGCCCATTTGGTGGCGAGGATGAGGACGGAGGTCCATTCGTCGACGGTTGTGAGGTCGGGTTTGGTATAGTGTCTATAGTGTAGATGGCTCAGCTGGAAACCCGTGAAAGTTCAGGAGGGAAAGCGGCGGCTTACGTAGGGTAGAAAATGGTTAAGAAACGATCAAAATCCTTGGTCTGGACATCATATAGAACGATGGGCTGATCGTTGCCCATGCTAACAGAAGAAAATAAGCGGTGGAAGAAAATGGAATGCTGATCAAAGAAGTGGCGATGGAGGTTGTATAGCATCGTGCCGACCTGAATGAATAATCGGTCAGACAAAATAAACAGATGAACGACGGAACACTTACTCTGCACAATAAACTTCCGTCACTGAAGTGATACTTGGGGTGTTTCGTCCAGTCGAGTGGCGCCAGTTGCGAAGCCGGCGAATCTGAATCCTTCGACCCGGAGGAGGGTACTTCATATATTGCACTAGGAGCAAGGGAAACGACGTCGCGTTGTGGAGGAGTGGAGGTTTCTACTATATCTCTCCCCCACTCCAACTGAGAGGGTCTCTCTAGAATCGAGGACCTCAGCGGCGAAAGAACATGATGGGCCCGCCTTCGGAGATGATTCGGCGAAGAGGATCTCGTGCGCCGAGTGGAAGGCATTCCAATGCGCAGGTGTTCATGTGAAAGCCGTCGGTGAAGGCTCCCGGTACTATGTTCCGGAGTGCTCGTCCTCGAACCGCTACGCCGGCTATGCCGACTGCTCCCCGCCTCCTCCCCCGAACTCGCCTCAAAAGGCGGCGCCTGTGCGCTGATCGTGATCTGACAAATCGGTGACTTTGAGGAGGAGAATTGCTGGACGACGCACGCTCCGGGCGGGGTATATGTGTCCGCAGCCTTCTGGGCGAGCTCGCGCTCGTGCGAGAACGAGAGGCTGGGGCTCGGGGAATGGAGCCCTCGATGAGAGCTCGCGGGCGAATGCATGATTGGGAGTGGTATGGGCGTCGCTGGGTGGGAGGAGTGGTCGTGATGCGATCCCTCATGCGTATGAGGGGACCCTTGACTCTCGTTGACCAGACGAACGAACACGTCCATAGGGACGGAAATCATGGGTGAGCGCGGTGCGTTCGACTCGAATGTCAGCTGCGTGTTCGAGCTAATGTCGGAGAGGTGGCTGAGGCATGGGCTGTCCAAGAGCCCTTTCGGGCTGCCTTTCACCGAGTGTGGGTGTGGGTGGTGGAGATTGTGGTCCGCAGCATGAAGCCGGAATGGGGAAGGGCGCCGTACGGGAGAGTGAAGAGGAGACGGCTCGTCGCTCGACGATGGGTATTGGTCGTCCTCGTTTCGTGGAGGCCCTTGAGCAAACCAAGGACGTGTGAGGAGAGACGGCTCTCCGGCGGGAGGAGAACTAGAAGTTCCTGCATCTGGCGCGTGGCCCACTTTTGAGTGACCAGAGCAGACGGCGCAAGTCGCCGTCGACTTGGGGTGGCGACAGATTGGGATCGACGCGTCGCTGATGCCGGGGTGCAATCCCTCTGACAACAACAGAGGCGATGCACCTCTTGGTTCTGTCGAGTGAAACTCCCAGCTAAGATCCCGAGGTGCAAAATCGCTGTTCTGCGATGAGCATCGTATCGGGGGTAGATGAAGAGGAGGAGAGTCGAGGATAGACGGCGACATCCTACTCGGACGGTCGTCTATCCAAGAACTGCGTTCGCCAGACGAGCGTGTGGCCATCGCAGTAGGGTGCTAGTTGAATTACAGGAGGTTGAGTAGTTGGGTAGGCTAAATGACAAGCGTTTCGACGTTGGTAAGCCTCGTTTCCCCGACGGAGCGGGGTATTATACCATGACGCGCGCCTATCCGACATTGCCCAGACGTGCCGGATGTAGGCTATGAACGACGAGACGACGTCAGAGGGCGGTTTGTGACTCGAAAAGAAGTGAAGATCCGTTGGTACTTGGCAGCTGACGTTGCCATATAAGTGTTGTACTAGCATTATGCCTGGAGGTAGGACGTGGCGAGGCTCGAGCGACGGAGACTGTGAGGCTGGAAGGAACGGGAAAGGTACAAGTCGGTCAAGTGGACACCCGTCATAGTATTGACATGCGCTAGTACATCCTTGTAACTCGGCCTTGACCATACAGCGCCATTTGATACCAAGAGGGTAAAGGAGGGTAAAGTAGCAGGAAGAGTCATGAGCCGATGTTTGCATCAGAGGAAAATGAACGGAGACGCCGGCCCGCCCACCTGTCCTAGCATTGTTCTGAAAAACGGTATCCTGAGTTGCTTCGGATATGCCTTCAATTAATCGATTTAGAGTACAGAAATTACACAGCGAATACGATTTCGTACTAGGTATTACAATCTGCCATCTCCACTAACTTCGACCTCAATCTTCCTCGGTTTCAAGTCCTCTCCCAACCTCAACGTCCTCCCGTCCTCCGATATCTGCCATCGTCTCCCCTTCGCACTTTCCTCGACAAGCGGAGCCCACTTCTTCACCAGCTCTCCTGCACGAGCGCGGAAGGAGAATATCTCATCACCCAGCGGGAACCCTTTCCGCTGGTCTCGGATAGCGGCCATGATTCTGTTCAACCTGGTCATCTACGCAACCAATCGAGAACGTTAAATCGGAGAATGAGATGAGAATGAGGGATACACTCACCTCGAGCAGCCGTCCATCTTTCATTTCGTGCCCTTCCACGACACTGAGGAATTTGTCGATCTTCTCGACATCCCACGAGTCTTCGGGAAAGCGGCGTCCCTTGCCGGTGTACTAACGAAGAAGTAGTCAACTCTATATTACTTCAAATAATAAAATAAAGAAAGACTGACCTCGAATTTCTTCATCGAGCAATTAGGATTCCAGAATTGATACTCGAAGCCTAGGAAATTCTTGACGAGGTAGTTCGCCCACCCGAGCAGCCTTGTACATTCCGATCCCTTTGTGTGGTTCCCTGGTTCCACCTCTTGCCAGCCTTCGATGATGTTTTGGTATCTGGCCAAACCACGAGCGCGGCGGTAGGTGAGGAATATTGTTATATCGCGGTCGACAGGAGTTGATTGCTCCCCAGAGGGACTGGAAGAGAGGCGTCGAGAATCATAAATACCTTGTAGTCTGGATCCAAGAACTCGCGGATGATCAGGGAATGGAGGCAAGGTACGAGAGGCGGAGGCGGCTCAGCACCACCTGACGCGTGGCTGGCTCTCAGAACAAGTCGTTTCAGGGAAGCCGACGGCATATCCCAGATATCCAAAACCTCCAGCAACGGCATCGCCTCGAGCAGTCGAAGCAGCTCTATCCTCTTCACGTCGCGCACGTGGAATGTGAACGAGCGAAGTAGGGATGGCTTCGCAAGCGTCATGCCCCAGAGCTCCCTGACCACCGTCGTTGCCTCGATCGTCCCTGGTCCCTCGATCTCCAACACTTCAAGTTTGGGCATCTTGATCCAGCGAAAGAACGTCGTTGTATACTCCTCGCCGAGCGGCAACTTGCAGTTCGTATTCACCAGCCTGAAACTCCTGATCCCCGCATGCATAAACGGGTGGGGCGGGTCAGCCGTCGACAGCATCCCCGCTGGGCCCCGGAACTCGCATTTCACGAGCTCGGGGCATCCGATGAGGTACGCGACGGTGACAGGCAGGCCAACGAAGGTCGTCAGTGGGTACAAGAGAGTGTCCAGCTCGGGCAGCATCGGCTTGCTGTCTAAGATGAGTGTCTTCAACATGGGTGTCGTTTGGAAGACGGTGTTCGTGCCTCGGTAGTCGCCTTCACGTATGCGGTCGGGGCCGGTGGGCAGGACGACGCGTAGGTTGAGGGCGTGCAGGAGCGAAAAGTCGAGGGTGGGTAGCGACTCGTAGATCGTGGGGCAGACGTGGATCATGGCGGTGCTCCATCGGTTGGCGTGTGCGAGGACGGAACATAATGGCTCGAGGGAAGCCGCATCCGCGGGGTCCCCTTCGACAAGGCTGGTGTGGGGTAGCCACACCCTGACGTGGATGGGGAAGTCTTTCGACCGGTCGAGGTAGAGCTTGATGACGTTTATGATGCCTTTCCTTTCAATGATTTACGATTCATTTAGGTAGATCTTGTTAAGGAATGGAATGGATGTCCAGAGCTGGGGTATGGAGAGCGCGACCTGTCTCCAGTATGAGCAAACGTGGGTGAAAGCAAGAGCTCGGAAACTGTTGCAGAACGCCAGCTCGTACGGGTAGGCAGCTGAATGCCTGGTAGGGAAAGGAGACTCCTGCACGACCCAGGAGAATATCTCGACGAGGAGCTCGGGTGGGAAGCGGCGGATGGGAGACACGAGACCTTTGTGTTGGTCTATAAACGCGATAAACATCCCGGGCACAGTCTCGCCCAACATGTACAGGAAGGAAATGTCAGATTCTGCGTTTTCGTTTTCATCGTCGAATATTTGGGTCCGGTCATCCAGCAAATATTGCGCGCGTTCCGCATCTGCAGACCCTGATTGTGACATTAGCTCGACGGCATACCAGACACCTTTCCGCCTGACTTTCTCCAGCTCATCTTCTGCTACACGGATAGCTTCTCGAATGCGTTCTTCCTCCTCTGGCGACGGTATTCCGCTGGTTTCGACTAGATGTGGCGTAGGTGAGGTGAGCAGTTGGATCATGCCTGACATGGTGGTTGAAACAAAAGGGTCATTTCCGGGCCGATCCCAATTGTTGTCAACAGCGCCAAGCCTATGACACTGGATTTCGAAGGAAATTCACCGTATATCCAGTTCACCTCCTTACTCGTTTTTTGTAATTAAAATGGTATGCTCTCTCTGAGCTAGACAAACAGTAATTCGACTCGAAATATGGACTGGACTCTCCATCTCAAAAAGGCCGGGCTCCCGTACGTGCTCACGCACAATTTTTAAGGCAGTGGTTTTGCAGAGACAATTCGAAGAGAGGGACGTGCCGGGGAATTTGCATGAATAAATGCATTAGGACCAGTTCATGCTGTATTCCGATTACTTCCAGAAGCATCGGTACCTCACGAAGCAGCCAGCGTTCAGAGTAACAGTATCCAGTGAACGGGATTGTAGGCGTCGGCGATTCCCTCTGCAGGTCAAGTGCAGAAAGTCACCGCTAAGTCGGGAATGATGTCAGACGTAATTGTATACTCTCTTTTGATGGCCATTATGATGCGCCATCAGTTGCAATGCAAAGTAGCCGCGCAAACCTCACCCCGTCCTCAAATTTTGATTTCCGTTCTTCAAGTCCTTTACAAAAGCAGCAAAAATAGGGCCCAACTGGGAATTGAACCCGGGACCACACACAATTGGACTCCTCAAGGAGCGGGCATAACCCGAAGCGTGTATCATGCTTCTAGACCATTAGGCCGATGGAAGAAGCGCGCATTGATGGACAGTGGTGCGTGAGCGCCTAAATGGGCGGTTGTCCGGCCCGATCGCCTATGAGACAGTGAGACCCCTGAGCCTCAGGCCTCATTCATGACTCGATGACCATCGACCACCATGTTCCACCCTCTCGAATCTCCTACCCCCTCTCTCTTCGAAGGCAATGATATGCCATCACCCGAACAGGAAGCTCGTATCCAAGAAGCCATTCGTCTGGCCGAAGAAGAAAAGAATAGGATTCCCAAGGATGAGTACAGGGTTCTGCGTATAATGGCCGAGGAGTTCCCTGAAGCACAGCTTGTCCTGGACAACCCGGACTGCCTGTACAGCGAGGCAGAATTCCCAGCCATCTCACGCTCTTCAGTTGGATGAAGACGCCCCGTCTCGAAGTTCTAGAGATCGAGGGTGTCGAGAAAGAAGACATGATCGTAAAAGACCTCCTTACCTACACCCTCCCGAAGCCCTCCCTCATCCGCTCATTCAAGTTTCTCGTGAGTTCGCTCGGAGGAGATGACTGCCGTGCGCTTCTCGAGGCAATGCCCCTCCGTGAGGTTCTCGAACTTTTTGACCCCCTGCAGGTTTATATCCAGGTGCTGGGAGTGCTCGACCCAGCTGAATCCGCACCGGGGTTGTTCCGAGTCATCAAAGCGACGAACCGCGACTCCGTTGACATTGGGCTCAAGTTCCCGCTCGTGCTGCGGCTACGCTCACTCGTGATCCACAATTTCACGTCGGGCTTCCAGGAGCTGGCCGCTGTGGATAAATTTGAGGATGTGTATGGCCGCAGGCGCCTCTCTGGGTTGGACGCAGCATGCGCCGAGTCAACGGCCGCTCTCGAAACCAAGGTTGAAGAGAATTTAACGATCTTCCTCACGTTCAAGACGCCCCGCGCGTGTGATAAGGTCCATAACCAGGTCGAGGGGTAGCAAGAGGTAGGAAGGGGGAAGCATGCGAAGGGCTCGGAGTGTACGATGGTGCTGGGTTGGGCGAACGTCCTTATCAAGAACTTCTTCCCCTGGCGAAGTGAGGCGATGAAGTCGTTCGAGCTATGTTTCGTTCCGTCGTCCCTTTTCGTAAGCCATATGAATGGATTTTGGGTAGTTCACCGGGAAGCCCCGCGTGCCTCGATGGAAATGGGACTCGAATAATTTGGACAACTTCTTTGAAGTCATCGAAGGTCACGAATTCAAGGATGGAAGGATACTCGAAGTATGGACTGAATGCTTTTCGTCCTCCTAAGTCTAACCGAAGTATAAATTCCTTGTAGATGACCAGGATTTACCGAATCATGGCCCTTATACCGAGCCAACACCACCAACTCGACGTCCACGATTTCCACACGAGAGCAGCGGCGCTCGTCGAGAAGTGGAAACCCCTCGTTGAGGAGAACAGGAAAGGGAGGCGGTGGCAGATGTCGGATAATGGCCTCACCTTACGACTGGGAAATGACTCAACCTCGAGGAAGATAAGTAGAGGTGAACTGACAGACGAATAGAATTACTTGACTGCCTAAAGCTGCTTCTGAACTTGAAGAAGGCCCGTAGTTTGCGCACGATCCGCAACGAGTAGACGGCTGATACTCAATTTGTTTGATAATTTACTATATGTTCTATGTAATATGTAGTACACAAAGATATCAGGATCAAGCACAAGCTCATATTTCGACTAGCTAGCCATTGGCTCACCCATTTGTACCACGACGACCACACAATACATAACGGCTCCATAATGTAGTCTGTCCTACACCAGCACGCAAGCCAGCTTCGCCAAGACGTCATCTTCACAAAAATGCCCTTTCCTTGCCCTTTCCTCCTGTAGTTGGAGGGGCCAACCCATTCGAGCTTGAGCTTCCACCAATCGTCGAGGTAGGGACTGGACCAATGACAACATCGTCACCAGACTTGGAAGCCATCTCACAAACAACAGCACCTTTCTCCTTCAATTTATCCGCCACACCTGTCTCGCACCGGCTGACAACGACAAACCTCACGTATGAAGGCAAGCCTCGGATGCTCTTCGAGCTCATCCAGCTGACAAAGACATCCAGTGCCTTCTTGTCGTCTTCTGCCCCCTTGCCCTCTCGTTCACCAGACCCTGCTCCAAGATCATCGATGATAAATACAAGTGGGTCGAGGTGATTCCACTTCGCACCTTCCCTGCCATCTGCGAACGCCTTGATGGGCTTTGCGAAGAGCTTCTCGAAGCGGCTCTCAAGAGGCTCGCGCAAGGCACCGGGGTTCTGACTGAGGACAGAGCAGAATTTGGAGAGGGCGTCAGGCTCGACGGTGCATGCTTGGTGCACGAGCGTCATAGGAAGGGCATCCAGGAGGTCGGGGGTAGTTCGTCGCGTATTCGAGACAGCATCGGGTGAAGAGGATGGCGCAGATGGGCCAAACGAGAAGTACCCGCCCAAACATCCTGTCTTTGCCAGCCACTCGGATATATGCGCGACGAGCTGGGTCTTTCCACACCCAGCCTCCCCGACGAGGCATAGAACATTGTTGAGCGGCTTGAGCTCATCTGCTTTCACTCTGCCATTCGCATTGGTGTCGCCACTCCTGATGACGACGCTTCTTGCTGTTGTAGGTATAGGAGGTCTCGAATAGGTCGGACCGGACGACAGGAATAACCACTCTGCAACGAGCCGCACAAGGTCTGGACGGTACCCTCCTTGTGCATATACCTGAGGTAGGTCAATCGGGATCATGTTGTGCTGGGGTAGCTCAGGGTGTTTAGCTGTCGGGGACGAGTCAGGAGGTAGCTACGGCACGACATGCAAAATGGACCTTACCCATAGAAGTGGCGCAATGAATCCTTCTCGATGTCCTATGAGCAGGCAGTTTTGGCTTCTCAACATTGGCTGGATCAAGCAGGTGTCTTTCGCACGCTTGGTAGTACTGTATCCAGTCGTTGAGCTTGAACTCAAGCTTATCTCGGACAAGAGCTACACGTATGCGTCACAGTCAACATTCCATGAAGACGAAATTAACTAAAATGAAGTACGCACCATCAGGATGCCTCAGGAATGCATCGACGCTCCTTAGGGCCTTGATCGCCGCGCACAGCATTTCCTGCATCATCTCCGTCCCATGGTGGCCTGTCTTCGCCAGCTTCCTGGTTGAGAGCGACTGCGACGGGATGAAAGCTGAGTCTAGAGCTTCTAGCAGCCCCGAGGTGTTCTTGTTCTCGTTATGAAGATCAGATTCTGTGAGCTGCTTTCGGATGCCAGCGCAGACACCAAGGATCATGTCAATAAGACACACGAACTAACAAAAGAAAATGGTGCGTCAGTACTGCTTTCTTCTAATGGAACATGGGCCCACTTCGTTTCCATCAAATGATTCTCTGAGGTAGCCCATCTTGTTTGTGAATCCCGCGAGGTGCTCCAAGCTCTCAGCGCGACATCGCTCTGCGAACAGTTTCTTGTTAGTATGGGCGATGTTGAGGTTCCCATCTTGTGTGCTGAGGATCTTGACTCTCAGATGTAACATAGCGGACTTGTACCCTTTCTGTTGCGTCGTAGCAGGAGGAGTAGGGCTAGTAGACCGTTGGCCCGTGACGGGTAATCTAGGAGATGGCAGTGCTTGCTGCGTCAAGTTTACGTTCAGTTCGATGCCTGACGGGTTTCATTTCATTAGAAGGAAGATGGAAACATGAAAATGCCGTCTTACGTGCTGTAGGCCCGCTTCCTGCTTGCGTCTGCATATCTTGGAGCTGGCGTAAATCGAACACATCCGTTCTGCCCACAACGGCCATACGTTTGTTCAAAAGTGAGGTCACTTCTTGCTGTAGTTCAAAGCGGATCTGCGAAGATTCTGCTAGGTGCGGACTTCAAGAAGGCGTGGCAATTAGTTCATGACGCAAAGCTAGTTGGAAATGTGGCGTACATGAACACATTGTTGCCCCAAGAGACGGTGGAGCCTTTCTTCTCCCCTTTTCTGGTAGCGATTGATTGGCTCCTCTCGACATTTTCCACAGAAACGTAGTAAGGCGATGGCAAGAGTTGAAAACCCCCCGACGTCAAGCCTTCGACGCGGTCGACTGCGCAGGAAAATGTCAATGTTGCGACAGAGGCGCAAAAAAACTAGGAACGAACTGAAAAATTGCACCTTGCGCCGTTCCTCAAAGTCAACTTTCCCGCTTCTAAGAAAAATATAAGTACAAAAGTAGGGATGACATGTAGAATTCGTACATGGGCGATCTCCTCTTTTCTTCGATGATTTCTGCCATGAAGGACAAAATTGCGATGGTCGACTCAAGGCGGAAGTGCTACTGGGGGATTGGCAATGAAAATAGAGATGGTTCGAAGGTGGTAGCTAATCTGACTGGGACAGACAAAGGCGTTTTAGAGAAAGGAGGAAAGAGGTAAGACAATTAATTCAAGGTCTTTATAGTGTGAACAGTGGCGTACAAGGTTTGCCACAGCTCCAAGTTTGGACGTCTCCGATGACAAATGACACGTAGCACGGTCTAGTAAGTCCCGATACCAGGAAGTGGGTGACCTAGTGGCTTTGCGATACCGTAGGCTGTCTCACTTATGCTCGCGGTGGGCAGGGATCGATTTCGGATAATCGCTTCAACGTTGGCCGGTCTGTACACTTAATGCACGTGTGAGCGGGCTGTCCACGCCGGTGGTGGCGAGATGGAGGCGAGGGGCTTCGAAGTAAGGTGGTTCCTGTGTTGGTCGGGCTACAATGCACATGTGCAGTGATTACCCACAATGGAGCAAAAGATCAGAACAATTACATCAGAGAGAGACGAACAAGACGGACAGAAGGTCCATTTGCACACCTTTCAGTTAGGAAGGGCAATCGAAATCGACGAGGCAGTGCTCTTTGGCAGGTGGCAAGTTCTGGGCGTACTTCGGAGCACACTTGTATTCTGTGCACCGCGAGGACCGGTGGAGATGAAGGGTTAGGGGGTGAGGGTTGTGAATGGTGTTCAACCGTGACGTTGGAAAGGCGGTATAAGTGGTTTGTAGAATTCTGGGCTTCGCGATCGAGAAACCATATCCGCCCAGTGCGCCAAGACAAGGAAAAGGAGCCGTCTCTGCGTGGGGGGAGAATGGGTCGTTTTTCTTGGAATAAGTATGGCATTGCCGACCGATGGGCTTGCCATCGGACGGAGTCAATGGTTAGGATGGTTGGAAAGAGTATCTACTGCCGCCTGCGGCGCCTTCATCATCGGCAAGAAGGAGAGGATCACGTGAGCCACGATATTCGTGGCAAGCGCCAAGTGACCACACCTTTCCTCAGTAACACGTTCGTACCCCTGTGCTCCCTTTTTCTTGAAACGTTCTCCTCTTCATTGAGGCTGGAGCTGGAGAAATCCCACATTTGAAGACTCCGACGGACTGGTGGCCGAATTCGACCTCTGGAAGATGTTTTCACGGTTTTCAAGCATGCTCAGTCTTACGACGATCGCGTTCCTGCTTTCCTTCTCATGTCTATTTATCGGGGTGGTTCACGGAAAGGAGGATGATAAAACACGTCTGGGAAACAGCACAATCGATAGGGTGAGCTGATATATTCTCTTGAAATTGCCAGAGCTCGGCTACACGAATGGGCATAAGCGCGGAGGTGGAAAGAGCCAGGGTTGCATACACCATGGATCAGGCATTTTGTTGGAACTGCCATGTTCTCCTACGAGGCACTCTTGCCGACGAAATTCTGACTGTGTTGTTCCTTTGTAGACGCTGCAGCTCCGCACACACTCAATATACGCTCCATACATTGACCAAGACCTTCAAAACCGGTCCGTCGTCTTTCATCCGTTTGGTTCTGTAGCGTGCTTACAACTCTCATTATGCAGCTGGTGGGACTTCGGAGGCGACGCCTATGTGGTACGTTGCATGGTTGAAAGCCCATACACGATAGACTCATGAAAAACGTTTTCCAGAACACGAATAAGCACATCCGCCTGACACGAAACCGGCCATCCCAAATGGTACACCATACCATTTCTATTCCCCTTCCCGACGGAGCTCTAATCATCTCTTCAACTATTTCAGGGATGGTTATGGTCCCGCCTCGCTCTGACACCCTCCAACTTCGTCATTGAAGTCGAATTCAGAGTTTCTGGGGACTCTTCGCATTTATTTGGCGACGGTCTGGCGATTTGGTTAACACAAGACCGTGGGCAGCCAGGCCCTGTCTTTGGTAGCAAAGACGAATTCAATGGATTGGGTATCTTCCTTGACACGTGTGTAACCTCCCTAACCATCGGACACGCCAAACCAAAGCTTATAAGTTACTTTATACTCTAGATACGCAAACGCGCGCCATACGTATGCTTTCCCCCGTATTGTTGCTGTGTTGGGTGATGGAAAGACGAAGTATGATTACGCGAGTGATGGCGATACGCAGGCTATCGGTGCTTGCTCTGTACGTCCTGTTCTCTCTTTGGCCAATCAGGGTTTTTTAAATCCTGACAACTGCCTTCAGGCTAACTTCCGACGAACGAACGTTGCGACCAAGTTAAAGATTACTTACGTGCGAGATGCTTTCCTTGACGTATGTCACTAATGCCTATCAAGTTCTGAGGTGACACGTCTAACATATTGTCTCTTAGGTCAAAATCCAATACAAAGCCTGTACGTTGTTGTGCTACGTCTCTTTCGCCCTCAACCAGGCCCTAAAGGCCGGAAATAGGGGATGACTGGACAGATTGTTTTTACCTCGAGAAAGTTGCACTACCACAAAATCCCTTCCTTGGATTCTCAGCGATGACAGGAGACGTCTCCGACGCACACGAGTATATCTCCTTCCCTTTCCCCCTCTCTGCAAACTGATTACCTTCCAACCTACAGCATCATCACTGTGACCTCCTACTCCGCCATCATGTCGCAACCCGATTCGCCTTTGAACAAGCATAAAGTCGCTTCGTCGTTCTTCGGCTCGCGCTCGCATGCCGATTCGTCCGGAAGCTCCTGGTTCGGGCTCTTCTTCAAGCTCCTCCTCCTCGCTGGTGTTTGTGCTGGCGGGTTCTACGGATGGAAGGAGTATCAGCGGAGGCAACGGTACGGCGGCTACGGAGACGGTATGGGTGGCGCCTATGGCATGCGGACGCCAGGTATTGGGGGTGGCTTCGGCGACGTGTATGGGAAACGGTTCTGAGGGACACGAGGCTGCTGCGAGGCTTGGATAGAGGTTCGGTTCAGTGTATGTTAAATAATCGCCCTGAGGAGCTATATTATTCTTCTTCGCCTCAAATTCAACCGCTCAGCCTAACTTCAAGTGGGAGATTGCTTGCGTAGTCCATGTCGTTCGTTCATTTCATTTCGGGCGGTAGAATGCTACAGTATGCTGGACGTTAACTTTGATACGGAGGGCTATGTACACAGTCGTTTTAGTCGACTGCACCTTTCCTTCCGTCCCTGTGTCCTTGATCCCCTCTCCTCGGACCTAGACGACGGGAGATGTTGAGTGAGAAAGACAAGTATCAAGGGCTGGGAAAGAAGGAAAAGGTAGACTACAGGGGAGAAAAGACAGACATTGTATCTACTTGCATGATGGATGGATGGGCGAAAAACTACACTACTAAGGATATATGTACCTACTGAATACTAATGCTACGTAAAATTGACGATGAGATTGCGATGCGAGTTGCCGATGCATGGTTGTCGAGTCTTGGGCGTTACAGGGACAAAAGTGTTGCGTATAAAGTGCAGCACGAGTCAACACATCCGTTGTAGGTTGGAGGAGCAGAGGAGAAAGGGGCTGAACACGACTACCACAGGGTGGCAAGTCGCCGGCGGCGAGGAAGGACGGATGGCAGACATTTAAAGAAGGCAGTAAAAATGTAACCAAATATCAAAGAAGGATGCCGAGGAGAAGGTGAATAACTACACTACTAAAAGATCCAAATGCAAGAGACGAGCGAAACGAGAAGAGCACATTTCAAACAGAACAGACATAACTTGGACGAAAGAAAAACAACGAGAGGACGAAGAAAAAGAAAACGTCATGAGCGGAGCAGGTGTTGCTTCATTGTTGATGGCGTTTCGTGTTTTACACGCCATAGCGAGTGGCTAGTCGCTCCTGGATGACGGGCGGGAACGAAGCAACTTGGGCCGCCCAGCCAACCTCATCGTGCTGTTTGAACCCTTGCAACAGCGACTGGAACATGTTGTTGAGCTCTGGGGAGGGATGGTTCCATCGAATGATAGAGTTACAGAACCATAATAAGCTCTGGAAGACAGGAAAGTTAATCAGCCATCAGGGAGACAGTTCGACGTTTCGTGTCAAAATTGACGCACCTTTGCCATACCGCCAGGATTCGTCTGGACAAGCGTGCACAACCCACGGAACGCAGAGTCCTTCTCTTCGTTGTCCCGAATCTCGTACAGTGCCTGGCACCAGGCCTGTGCGAACTCGGGCAGGTGAGGAGCCACCAGGCCGGGATGCATCAAACCAATGCGGCCTATCGACACTGCAGCATTCTCATGAAGACTCCTTGGTGCCTTAGGGTGCAACAAGATGGGGATGAGCCGTTGGATGAGTGGGTTAACCCATTGTTGAAACTCGAGTTCATCTAGAGGGACCAAACAATCAGAGGTGTACAAAACATTAGGATCCAAACGTACCACGTCCATAACGCAATGCAACCTCTCCAACACTCCACGCAGCATTATTCGACGCGCTGACAAACTCGAACTTCGGCTCTGGATCAAGCTGCAAGATGAGCTCCTGCATGATGCCTGGCATCGCCGGCCTCAACAAAGGGAAGCATCCCATCGCCAGATCGCCAACAAGCGCGTAGGCAGACTGCCTGACAGGCGCTTGCGGGTGCTTCAGGCACACTGTAAGCAGCGAGAGGAGGTTTGGCTGGCTCGTATTGATGAGGGGCTCGAGCGACATTCCGAGTCCTTGAATGAGACCAGATAGCAGGTCGAGGGCCACGACAAGGAAGGCCTTGTCGGGCTCATCAAGGTCAGGATTCTGTTGATACTGCTGGTATTGAAGGAGGGCTTGGTGAATGATATTGTTGCAACGCTCAAACACGGGTCCAGCGTAGGGAAGGAAGGCCGGACCCATGGCGATGGTCACAGAAGCGAGGCACTGTAGGAACCTGTCAGTCCTGATGCAACTATGAAGGACACGATGAATTACCTCAAGCAACGGAATGAGGTCTTCATCGTCATCCTTCAACTTGGACCACCGGTTGGTCAAAGGCGGCATGAGGATGTCAACATAAACAGGGTTTTGTAGAGCCCGTCCAACAGCATCAGCCAATGTGCCAACAGCGTCGTACAATATCAGCATGTTCTTGTGCTGGTACTTGTCGAATGCAACGACAAGATTCCTCAACACCGGCTCAAGATAAGGTGCCAATTCAGGGCCGGCATCCTCCTCCAGGGTAGCAAACGCGCTGCATCCTGCTTCCTGGACACGCTTGTTGTTGTCCAAAACCATGCGAAGGAGCTAGTTATAACACGGAATGAACGCGGTGAAGTCAGGCCACGGCGACTAAATGACAGGACTTACACCTTCCATCGTCGGGATGAAGTATTGGGTCTTGTGTTCTTCTGATTTGGGTTGTGTGCACCAGCTGGCGTAGCGCCCAAGAGTCCAGCATGTGATTGATCGCACGAGCGGCTGTAGAAGAAGCGAGGTCAGAGATACGAACGGTAAGATGACTGGATGAGTACCTTAGGATCACTCAAAGTGTTGATTAGGTAAGGAATTAAAGTGGGCAGATGAGGTTCGATGGCCTCGATGCATCCTAATGAAAGGCCAATCGATCAGTTCCATGCCAAATCTACCAGGAAGGCGGTTATTCACCTTCGGCCATAGCACCCAGTGCGAGAATACCACTCTCTCGCTGCAACCAATCCTGGCTCCAGAGCTTCTCCTTCAGAGGGCCAAGCAACACTCTCAAAAGGTCTCCCGAAAACCTCACAGCGAGGACGTCGAGGGCAGCAGCAGCGCACTTCCTCAAGTTCCACTCAGTGGTCATTTCATCGGCGAAGTCATCATCGTCGAGGTCGTAATCGTCTTCTTCATCCGAATCGAGGAGTTCCTGGCCGTAAGAGCCGATCTTCTGCTTAGGCGCCTCCGAGCCCTCTTCGCCATTACCCTCCCTCTCGAATCCATGGCCCTTGCCACCGCCATAGTGGCGCGGTTTGATGTCCGTTTCTTTGTCGGGCACAGCGGTGTTATCCTCCACATCTCCTTCCAGCCATAAGAGATCGTCTTCTCCATAGACCATGCAATCGAGTAACGTCGGACCGACTTGATCCAACAATGGGTGCAAATACGGGGCGAGCTCCTGGTCCTCCGCGAATGTGAGCCAGAACTCGCAAGCTTCGAGGGCGACGTTCTCGTGTTTATCCTTTGTCGAGAAAAGCATGTACTGTGCAACATTTGACATCTCTGGCATGAGTTTCTCTGGTCGGGCGGCAAGGAGAAGAACGAGCGCCTGGCAAACGTGCCGGCGAACCGAAGGGTCCTCGTCCGATGCCCGCTTGAACAGGCAAGCGATGAATGCGTCGATGTGAACGAAAAGCGACTGACAGTTGATGGGGACGAAGTATGACAGACACGCGACAGCATGCGCCCTCATCTTTGCTGAAGGGTGCTCAGAGAGTGCGAGGAATTTCGGAATCATAACATCGAGGGGCCGTGTCCCGTTGATATCGATGTCCATTTTGCGAGGGTAGTCCTCGCAGGCTTTCTCTAGAGCGTTGAAGGCCGCCTACGGGAGTAAAATCAGCATCGCGTTGAATGCAATAGCCCATAACCGAAGGAGTTATAGTATACGCAACCAAAAGCACGGGATCAGGGTGACTCAATGATGGGTACACGAATAACATCAAAGGACGCCAGATGCGGGGGAGAAGATAGACATAAAGAAATTCAAAACACACCTCCTGCCTATCCAAATCAGCGGAATCAAGTGCGACGAACAGGTGCTGAAGGCATTCTGCCCAATTCCTTGGCTCAAGAACACCTAGAAAGGCCACTATATCCTGACTCGCGGCGTTGCGAATCATGATCGACGAATCATTGAAGGCGTTGAGTACCGCCGCTTTCACAAACTCGACAACTTCGATGGGGGCAGACAGGATGAGGCGTGCATTGTTCTTCAGCAGATAGCCCGCTATCGTCCGTATGCGATCCTCCTCCTGGGCTAGGTTGCTCAAGATGTACGCGAGATATGCGATGTACTCTGGTGCGCGCGTGAATTGGTTAAGTTTCTATTATCATGCGATGCCGTCAGCGCGAAAATCCTGGCCAATCGAGGGGGGCATGACCGCAGACGCACCTCTGTGATGCTGCGCTGGACAGTGGCACTTGTAGTGGTTGATTCGTGGATTGTATGAAGGATTTCCTGCAGGCCCGCAGGCTGGGGCGTCCAGGAAGACATTTTGAAATATTACACGCGTATAAATGGAACAGATACGGCGATTCAATGGACGTGGAGGAGGAGGAAGGAGAGGCTGTTGATGATTTCGAGGCCAATAATCTTTCTCCCCCTTCCTTTGTTGACGCATATTAGCCATCACCCGCATCCGTCACGTCTGTCACATGCGGCTTCCTTTCTTCCTCGATTCTCAGTTCGCCGAATCTACCGAATCCCTCTGCATCTCAGCAATTACGGCTCTGGTATCTACGGCGCCTCAAAAATGTGAATTGCGGCCTCGATACAGTAGTTCGTCATTGCAACCTCTAATCTTGGCAAACTTTGATGCAGCCATGATCAATCATGGAATCGATTCGTCACTTCTCCAACTTCCCGCATTCTGGACTTTATACCCAGTCGACCTCATTCCTTTACGTTGACGCTGTCTGGGGAACACGTGTGGAAAACAAGCCTCATGCAGAAAATGGGCAGCATGGAAGATCGTTGATCATCACTGCCCAACTTGGGTCCAAGTCGGGGAAAGATCGATGGCTGATATGTATAGCTGCAGTTCTTCTAACTCAATAACTGTTAGGATAGACATCAGTATCAGCTCCCGACGTATCTTCTCGAAGGTCAGTGTAGCCATGGATTAAAAGCACCTGTTTATATCGTACTTGAGGAAAGATTATCTAGTCGGGAGAGTCTGAGCTTCTCTGTTGTGGGGTTCAACTTTCTAAAGAGGCTAGCCAGGAGGCCCGAGGGCCGAACATCCGTACCTTATCTAACTCTTTGCACCCATCAGACAAGGGAACACGAGGCAGAGGGAAGAAGTTAGACGCACTGAAAAGAAGGACGTCCTACTCTTCTAATAAGCAGGAGGTCCATTAGGCAAATCCTCACAGCTTCATCGCCGCCTCCCTGTAGCTGGTCGGCGTCGCCGTTCCAGACGACGGCCCAGATTCTGGCAGAGCACTCGGCGATGGATGTGGCGCATTGTGATCTCTCATGTACGCTGCCAAGAATTTCCTCCAGTTGCCTTTGGATGGCACGAAATGTCCTGCGACAAATTTCGAAAAATCCAAAAATATAAGCACTCCAGTCTAACTTCTCTTCCCCAGACTAGAAGCACTTACCACCATCGTGTTCTTCCACCCTCTTGTTTGCCGAAACGCCGACCAGTTGACGCGATCTCTCCTCCACCACAACGACATCCGTCCGGCCAATTACATGCAACGTGGGCGTCATGTAACTGGGCGTGAAGAACGGTTCGCAGAAGAGATCAAGCGGTTTAAACCCGGAAACCGCCACACAAAACTTACTATACGATGTGATGCCCGTCAGCCCATGCCGAGATGCTGATAGACAGGAATGCCAAACTCACAACGGAGGATGAGGTGATTCCCCGTCGACGAGGAATGGAGGGTACAGGTGCGGTCGTTCAAGCTGTCGTTTAGTAGAAGAGAGAGAGTTGGGCGTAAATACGAGATAGAAGCAGAGAGTAGAGACGAGGGCGTACGAGAGAAGCAATTACAGCAGCGAACGCTGCACCTTGGCTACGCAAGACATAACATGGGGTTAAAGAACGCCGCCGGGTGCGAAGGGTAGTAAGTAACGTACCTAAACCCAAGCACACCCTGTCGCATAACGAAATATCAGCATGCCATTCAAATCCCACACCTTCCCGCCATTTAAATTTATTCCCCATTGACATGACCCGCGTTCTCCGCACTGCACGCATCAAGTATCAAGGATGCATAGCAAGGGCCATTCGTCGTAGGGCAACCGGGCAACAGAAGCCAAAAGGAGAGACCGAGAGAGCCAAGCTGCGAAATAGAGCACTCACATCAAATCTCTGGCCAATGAACAGGTCTCTAATACTCAATATCGATTCCTGGATCCCCACAGCGGTCTGCTTGCTCTTGTCTGCTTTCCACCACCCCCTTGGTGTAAGGCTGGGATCGTCCACCACGGCAGACACCTCAGACTGTGAGTCTAATGAAGACGGAGGGCCAAAAAGGTCGGCAGGGGTAAGGATGATTGGTCCGTCTGCGAACACTGCAGCGACGAGCAACGCGTTAGGTCAGGATACATTGGAAGAAAGCGAGACATACCGAATTCTATATCTTTGCATTCCTTCCTCAACGCTCCTAGCTTGAACAAGCAGGATTAACATCCACAGATGCTAGTTTTGCGACGCAGATCATACCCGTTTGCTGAAGATGGCCGCATTCTGCGAGTATCTATAGGAGCCCTCGAGACGATCAACGTGTAGTCACAATCTCTCAAACAGAATACTAAACGCACCCATGAAGCACCAAAACTCTCTTGGTGATAGCTGTCATCTAAGCTTCTCAGTAATACGGATGCTTCGTAGACGTTGAATCCGAGTTGGGTGCTGACGCCTAGAGCGATGAGATAGGACCAATGGAAGACGTGATGGTTGTGAGATGGGTACTAATGAGCTGCGTCCAGATGTGTGGAAGGCGATGACGGTAAGAGGCAAAGATATTCATTATTTGTCGGCAGTGGCGGCATCTCGAGCGTCAAAGATTTACCCCGGCAATCACGATAACCGGTTCCGTTCCGCGCTCTAATCTAATCTCGCGCGTGCCCGTTCTACTTACCTTGGCATGAAAATGCAAGGAATTACAATTGCAACTACAAGACGAAAAGATGAATATGCTAGATGGATGGACGAAAGGGGTGGGGATGTCCTATAAAATCTACAATTGTTCCTTTGATCCAATGGAGAGGTAAAAACTACATGTTTCCTTCCCCTCCTTCTCTACATGCTGCAAGATACAACATATGGTGCCTCAGACAAAACATACCGCCCTGTGATGTTAGCGTGCGCGGCGAATTTTACTCCGCGTACCCATCGTCCTCAGTGATCCTCGGGTTGATCTTCTCAATGACGGTGCTCACGCGCTCGTACACCGCGAACACAATGGCTTGACCAGGCGCGACACGAAGCACACGCGGTGTGATGCCCTTGTAGAAAGAATTCACTCCCTCAGTTTTCCACATGTCGGCGGCGATGGCGAAGATGCGTTGGAAGGCTGACTGGCCGGGGATCGCTGGCGCTTTTTGTAGACCTGAATAGAGTTCAAGGAATTAGCTTAGCAGAGTAGATTTGTAGAAGGTAGGAGAGAATACTAACGCGTCTTGATCGTGTCAATTGGCGCGTTCGAGAAGGGACCCATAGCACCTGAAATGAGACCGATGATCATGTGCTGGTACGAAGGCAGGTCGACGAGGTCAGGTTGGTACTTGTGCGCAAGTTTTTTGATCTCTTGGTATGCAGTGAAGTTGGCACCTATCCACTCGTGTCAATAAGGAAGCTCTGAAGCACAAAATTCAAGAATTTACGCGCCTTGGTTGGTGGCCTGTCTTAGCGCAGTCAGAGAAACCCCGCGGTACAAGGTTGACACTCCTTCCTCTCGGACGATGGTATACACAGCATGACCAGCATTTCTGTACCGGGGCGCTTCTAGAGGGTCGGCCAGCGAGTGTTGCTGAGCCTGCAGACGAATTTTCACGACCTCCATCGGTGTCACGACCGCGACGGCTTCCGTTGTACCAGCGGCGAGACCAGCTAAAAATAACTCGCGTCAAGACACAACTGATACCCGGAACACGAAAAGGAGAAACTGACCGATGAAGATATTCCCCACACTCGTCTTTCCCGTCTCCTTATCCGCGAGCCAACCTTTGTACGCCTCGAAACTGGCGAAGCGGATGGCCATCTTCGGAACGATGCCTGACAAGACGGCACCGAGACCCTTGTACAACGCCAGGGGTGTTTCGCGCTTTACGATGTACGCGCCAGTTGCTAGGAATCCTCTAGCTTTGGTCTGTCGTCGTTCCGGTCAGCCTTCGGAACACCATTGCGGAGATTAGATCGAATGAAAGACTCACCCCGGGAGCACGTCCGGACTTGGACAGCTGCATTCGGACCTTGATAGTATCCAGCGGCTGGCATACTAGCTGTTGAAGACGTCGTCAGCGACCTGGCGCAGCTCGCACATCGCGAGCTACGAGCTCACCGCCTCGCATCCGCCGGCAATGCCTCCAGCAATGATATGGGTGGCGAAACCGACGGGTTTCTTGTTAGCGTTCCGAGACATTGCTTGACGAGAGCACAGGGGCGGCGATGCAGGCCAGGACGCACTGAGAACACGAAGAAGAGAAGCGGAAAGAGAGCAGGAGATTATGGTGTGGGGAACAGTTATAAGGCGGAGTCGGTGGTGTATTCTGCATGAAGTGGAAATTTATCATGTGAATGGGGCCCCACCGATTCCGTAGCGCTGAGCCGGGGTCAAGAGGAACCGCGTCAGCCGCGCCTTGTTCCGTTCCAGTTTGGGACGCGTCTAAGGTCATCAATTGCGGACATCCGCTCTTCTTCCACTTGGTCAGGACATCCGAGTCGTCAGTTCTACGGCTCAGTGTTCTGGCGTCATCTGGGAGGATTGGAGGAAAGAAGAGAATTCTCAGTCCGCATATCTCCCTTTTCACTACGCGTGGGTATATCTACGGGAGCGATGCACCCCGGGCAGCGTTTTCTTTTCCTTTTTTTGCTTCATTCACTGCCCACCGACGACGGGTACGATGAATTTCAAGTGTTGTTAGATGTACCGTGCCGGGAAGATACCCCTAATCACGTCAATTTGGGGTGTTCAGGGTCGGAGGCGGTGAGACTTTGGGCCGGTTCTCCCGCTTCAGAAATTCGATCATCTGCACTTCGACAGCGTGTTGCCAAGAAAAAGTGACATGTCGTATTTTACTTGTGGTGGTGATTGTTTCCAATGCCTATGTCTTACTCTTTTGCTGATTTTTTGGAGAGAAAAGGTTACAGAAAATATGAGATTAATTAGGTCCAATTCTAGCAATTCTGTAGGCCATCGGATGACCAGTTTGAAGTTGTGAAGGGTGCCAAAATAAGCTCTCCTTCTGGTTCAAAAAGAGTGGTACCCCAGAATTTGACCTTTCCTTTTTCCCAGGGCTCACAATAGAGTGTTCTGATCACCCTGATGGATCTGATAAGAAATATTTGGGTAATTTGAATTGGCGTGCCTTAGACGCGGAATTTGCTAGAAGCAAAGAGCTACTTGTTTCAAGCCACCATATAAAAAGACCCTCCCCCTGGAAAATGGAAGAATAATTCCCTCCCTCTCTTGCCAAACCCTCCTTTTTTCTCGAGAACAAGGCCGGCAGCCTCACTGTGCTTGTATTTGCTGCCATTCGGGCTATAAATAGCACTTTATCAACACTAGAGTGGCCAGAACTTTTTTCTTTTTCAGGCCTCTTGTTCACAGTCCCAGTCTGAGATACTCAGGCTGTCAGCATCTATGGAAGGTACTGCTGTAGAAGGTACTGCAAGTACACCTTCCCAGCATCCAGCTGCTGGTCCAAGTGCAGTCCCCAAGAAGAAACGCAATCAACTTACTCCAGGTGGCAATGCTGTCCTTGAAGGTAATCAATCACTGCCACATCACACTAATATTGGCAGCAACAACTTACCTCCGACTTTCACCACCGTTATGCAGACTACTGGCGACAACATGCTAGTCTCGACATGCCGGATATATCAGCGAGAAGGGCGCTGCTAGGCCAAATCCAGGCGCGTAATCGCGTTTTATTGAACAGCACACATATTCATTTACCATTAGAAGCACCCGGGCTGCGAATTCTACGCCATGGCCAATGTCAACCAATATTTTCGGCGTCAAATCCAAAAACTAAAACCGCCTGCACCACAGCCAGAGGATTTTCGTGAGTCACCTCGTACTACATAGACCCTTATATGGTCAATATATGCACGCGACTGACTGCGAGCAAACCCCTTTCTGTACCACGCGATCAGGTTTTCCGTCTTTGACACCTGACGCCCTGAAGCATCTCAGTGTTCTCGTGAAAGAGCAACCAAACCCCTCAGAAACGGTGCTCAAAACATGGGCAACACTACTCGCTCCAATGGGAGCTACCGAGCGAGACATCCTCGCATGGAGTACCTACTCAAAGGAACTCCTTGAAATACAAGCGCAATCGCTTAGCAAATCGGAACCCATATCCGCTTCGATGAGGCTGCCTACCCCATCGGACACGGTTACCCCAGAGCCCTTGACGGCCGCTTCATCAATGTCACCCCAAACACCTATTCATGAACTCGTGCCGATTCTCGTTACCGGCCCTTCAAACCAGGCATTCAAGCACTATAAAATAGAAGCCCAGTCCCCCGTCATTCCGGCCCAGCAGCCCTTTAATCCTACAGCACCTACAGCATCTTATTACAGGCCTCGGCCGGCCCTGCAGGTGGCCACGATGGCACCGCCGGCACCGAGCGGACCCACATCTACCCCGCAGTCAATGGTCATGTCGCCCATCGTCGCGGCAGCATATACACCCATATCGTATACGCCTATATCTCCAGCCGGAGGTGATCCGCCGCGGGGCGAGATTGAGCCGCCACAGCTCCCTCCTAAACCCGCACTACGAGCCATCATAGAAGGTGTAACCGATGCTCTTGCAGACCCAAGAACGCCACAAGACGAGGTGATGCTGTCGCCCACAAGTGCGACCGAATTCGAAGCTGTATTTGCTACGTACCGGCAACGTCTCGCCCCCTTGATTCATGAGCTTGACTCGTAATGAGACATACAACTAATCTGCCGAATAATATCTCTTGTACACCTCCAGCCTTTACCTCTGTATGTTTATACCCTCATTAATTTTCTCCTGTACTTGCCCGTATCCTTGCACCTCTCTGACTCGCCTATTTGCTATCTTATTGCTTTCCTCGATTGTGGCTTCTCAATTGCGTCTTCACCGTAGCTCTCACAGACTGTTGTTGCTTTGCTCGTCTCAGCTCTCATATTCGACCTCCTACTTAGCACAAGTTGGAACCAGAGAGCATTTCGATACTCCGGAAATTATTGTACTACTATTAGCATTCGTGGTGACATTATAATATACACACAGACGTGATACAGCAGTAAGGTATTGAATAATGCGAGGGGGTAGACGAATAAAATAAGAGCAATCAAGAGAACGAGCCTACGCAGTAAAGGCTCAAACGTACGGTTCGCATTCCGTAAAAAACTCCCAATCCTGTTCAACAAAGGCGAGCATGTACTCGACCACCGTACCGCCTTCCTCTTCTTCCTCGCCACCGCCTTCGACAACAAGATCTTCACCAATGACATCGACACCATCAACCGCCGGACCTCCACCATCCGCATCTCCATCTCCGGCCACACCACCACCCGGTTCTGCATCACTGAAGTCAGCCTCATCAGCTCCAACCAACGAGAACTCCTCTCGAGCAGCAACAGCAGCTGCGTGTCGGTCTTCCACGTCTTCGTAGTTGGCAAGTGCCTTGGTCAGCGCACTCTCATCATTGACGTTGAACAACGATCGCCAGTCGAACTCGCCCTTCTGGATAACGAGATCATCCAAATGGCGCTTCTGATTAGCTTTACGAAGCATAGCCTCTTCGACAGTGTACTTCGAGACGAAGCGATAAATGTGCACGTCGCGTATTTGACCAATACGATGTGCTCTGTTGGAGTCGACAAATACGTTAATTAACATAAGATAAAAGGAGGATGAGGACCAACCGATCCTCGCACTGCCTATCCATCTGGGGATTGAAGTCACTGTCGTAAAAGATGACAGTATCTGCTCCTGTCAGGCTATACAAGGCAAGGCAGGCATTAAAACTTGGCTGTTCGTTGGAAGGATGAGACACGCACTTGATTCCCACTCCGCCCGATCTAGATGACGAGATAAAGCAGAATATACGTGGATCGGCATTGAACCGCTCGGTGATGTACTGACGGTCCTCGATTTTTGTGGCTCCATCCAGCCGAAGGTAGAGATAACCATGAAAATTGAGGAAGATCTCTAGGATGTCCAACACACGGGTCATCTGGGTGAAGATGAGAATGCGATGTCCGCCCGATTTCTTCTCGCGCAAGAGAGTCGCGAGCTCTTGCAATTTACCGCAGTCGTACTGGAGGAGAGAGGCATCGGGAAAGGCAATCTGCAACTTTACACTTGCTTGATGGAGAACTTCGTCAAAATCAAGAGGCTGTTGCAACACCATATCCTCGAATCCCGAGAGCGCGATGCGGGGCATGTCCAATGCAACCACTGCTGGGGTCACGAACGCAAAACAGTGGACTAAAGGCACCGTCTCTCGAGCCCGGTCGGAGTATGACTTGATGGACTTGTTAACTCGGTCGACGTTGTCCAAATAATTGAGGCGAGTATCAAGGTGGCAGAAGGGGATAATAGTGGTGGACATCTGTTGCACAACGGAGATGCATTCTGAGCTGTAGATCGGAATGCGGGAGCAACGAAGCTTGTTGAGGTATCCAATCTGCGACCAACGGGCAACGGTCTTCGCCCGCTCGAGATAAGCGGCATATTTGCGAAATCCTGCGATTGTCCGCATGTCTTTGGGTGGCGCATCTCCAGCGCCTTCGCCGAAATACGGGAGGCGGGTGGTCGCATCGAGGTATCGCGTCTCCACAGCGGTCAACAGCGAAACATTCTGCCGGTCAATGAATCGCAACCCAACCACATCCAAGTTGGCGCTCTCATCGTCTTCGTCGAGAAGCTTCCGCCGAAGGAGCAGTTCCTTTATTTCGAAGTCAGCGATGGCTGATCTTGACATTGCAAATGAGGTGACGATTGGGCGGACTTCGAAGAGGTCGGGATGATTGCAGACTTTCCGGAGTTGCATCAGGATATTAGCGATCTTTTGGTAAATCCCTGATTGTAGCGCATCCCTTGTTTGCGCCCGAGACATGAACTCGTCATAGAGGAAGCGCTGTCGCTTCGATAAAGGGCAGAGCGTAAGATGTTCAAACTTGCTTGGAAGTTCCTTTTCGACGTCTCGTTTCAGCCGACGTAGCAGGTACGGTCGTAGAACGGTATGAAGCTTGGACACACGTTGCATGGTGTCGTCGTCAAGCGTCTTTCCCATCTCAATCGCCTTTTCCAAAGGATCTATAGCAAAGAAAAAAATTGTTAAGAATTGTTCAATTCTTCAACGCTCCGAGCTTACTGGAGAACCAATCGCCGAATTCCTTTAAGTTGGCAAATTTGGCACCTGACATAAGGAACTGTAAAAGGGCCCAAAGCTCCGTCAGATTATTCTGGAGCGGGGTTCCGGTTAGCAAAAGGCGTCGATAGGACCTGATTTGAAGGAGGAGGGCCCATCGCTGGGACTTGAAATTCTTGATCATGTGTGCTTCGTCAAGGATCATGTAGTACCAAGCTTTGCGTTTGAAGATTTTGTTATCTCTGCTGGCAAGCGTGTAGGACGTTATACAGACGTTAAAGTGGTGCTTGTTATTCCAGCCATGACGTAGCTCCTTCCGACGTTTGGGGTTGCCATGATAGCTGATAACCCGAAAGCCTGGCAAGAATTTCTTAAATTCCATCTCCCAATTCAAGAGGACGCTCGTCGGAACAATCTAGAGCATGAAATGAGAACGGGCATATAAAGCCAACGCTAAGGCACTCACGATCAGGTGTGGTCCCCAGATACCGCGATCGCATGCCAGATGGGCAAGTAGTGCAATAGTTTGGATGGTTTTTCTGCAAACGTAACATCAAGCACAGAAAAACGGGGAGATATGAACAGTACGAACCCCAAACCCATTTCATCAGCCAAAATACCGTTGAGCTTGTTGACATGAAGACTGGCTAACCACTCCAAGCCTGATTGCTGGTAAGGGCGAAGGACTCCGCGAAGTAGAAGCGGAGGAGTGACTTTGCTCTCAGGATCCCAATTAACAGGGGCGACGGCATAAGGCTTGAGGTATTCAGGAATGGCGGAGCCATCCGTCTCGTCCTCCTCTTGGCTCTGTTCCTGGTCTTGATTCTCTTCAACGTCGTCTACATCGTGTTCTTCATCCTCTTGCTCCGACGGCTCAGCCATTGTCTGATCTGCTTCGTAGAGATGGGCGGTATCGTCGATGGCATCCATAACTTCATGATCAACTAGATTGGCAGCATCCTCTGTCTCCTCTTCCCCAGGAATAGGAGACGGTTGGACTCCTCGAGAAAGAGGTATCGGATCTGTGGTGCTATGTCGCTCAGGTGTAATACATCGAGACTCCGATTGCGGATGTCGAGGTATGTCAACATCAACACCTTTGTGAACAGATTCTGGGAGAGAGAAAACAGATTTAGGATGAAATTCGGATGTACTAGGCGAGGGAGTGTCGGATGGTACTAGAGTCGACCCTGTCGGTGGGGGCGGAAGAGGGGAGGCAGTCGTTGGAGGGGGCAACCAGAATGCAGAGGGAGGAGTGGTTCGAATAGGCGAGGAATCCGGTAGTGGATTGACAAGATCGTCCAAATCAGCGTCAGAAGACGTATCTGACCGCAACTCGACGTCCTCATCTTGTACGACATCAGCATGTCCGTTCAGAAGCTGAGCAGTGGACGCCCCGAAGTCTTCTTGCTCGGGATAGGTATCGGTTGTGGTCGTAGCAGGTGTGCCCGACCTTGTAGCTCCAACTGAAGAAGCAGCTATTGCGCGTGGTGAACAAACACCAAGGAGCATTGTGGTCGACTCATCCTCACGGTCTTCGGCATCGTGAACAGAGCTTATTGTCGATTTTCCGTCCTGTTCAGTGGCCTCGTCGTCTTCTCTCGTGCCGACAGACTCTTCAGCAACCTCCTGTTCTTCCTCGTCTTCCTCGTCATCGCTATCCTCGTCTTCATCTTCCTCGAATTCAGCAGGGCTTCCAGACCGACTACAAGAGCGGAATCTATCTCCCCTGGCAAGATCTGTCTGCTGTGTCGCCAAAAGATAGCCTGATTGGTCAAGCATAGCATCCAGGTGCGCATGACTCAGTCGTCGCTCCTCATCCTCTTCTTCCAAGCGCCGTTTCTCATGAATATGCTGTAAGAAGCGTTAGTTTGCCAATTAGGTGCCGTTGAAATTTATGACCACTTGCATGAACAGCTTTCCTCCACTCTGCGATGACAGCATCAATCGCAGCCTTCGCCAGCTCTTCTTGAGGAGATTTCTTCTTCTTGTCTTCCTCTGCATTTCGTGCCTTTGAGCTCGTCCATTCCTTCTGGAGTATCGAGGCGATGTGGTTACCCAACGTCTTCGGAGTCGGCTGCCGGCTCCTTTTTCTTGCGGAAGCGACGATCTCGTCAACGACGTCGTCCCATGGGTCCCTCGTCTCCCGCAATGGACCACCAAGAACATAGTTTTCGTCAATAGCGCCGAAGAGGAAGTCCGAGTCAGGAATATAGCGCCCTTCGCGGCGTAGCTGTGCGACCCTCTCAATGATTTCAGCTTCCTCTTGTGCCTCTTGCGCCAGAGCAGCCGGGTCGATATCTTCATCGTCTAAGAGTGTGTAGGATGATAAGAATGCTGTTAGGGATTTATGTTTGTGTTGGGGACGGCGTTGATCAGGATGGGAGATGGTTGGAGGCGGTCGACGAACAATCAACTTGATGCGTTTGATTGTGTTTTTTGGAGGTGAAGGAGGAATGTCAAGATTATGGGCCGGAGGTGGGGGTTGCGGAGGCGGTGGTGGTGGTGGTGCGATACTAGACGTCTTGAAGCCAACGGGCGGACGAATCTATAGAACATGTCAAACACAACAATGCTCGATACTAGACGCAGGTCTCTCTACCTTGGCCTTGACATGTTTTGGCGAGGCCTGTATTTGAGGAAGGTCCTTTAATCGACTGCTTCGTCTTGACAAGTTTACCGAAGTTGATTCATCTTGGAGTGGAGGGCACGACACGGAAACTTTCCGAGGACTACTTGGGGCTGCAGGTGTTGGTGCTGGTGCTGGCACATTTTCACGATCGTTAGTGCCTGGCGGAGGACTTGGCTCACGAGGTCTCTTCCCGTTCACTCGTTTGGGAGGAGCGAAAGATATAGATTCATCGACGCCTGGCGGCTGGCCCATAATGGAAGGAGGTTCGATAGGTACAGAAAAGCTTTCGCTCGCACTTCCGACATCAGCGGTCGTGGGTGCAAGAGGCGAACCCTGAAGCCTCACTCGGCGCCGTACAGCACCTGTCTTTTGAGTGTCTTCAACAATTGGAGCAGATACTGATTCCATAGGCCCCTGGGCAAGCGGCTCTTCCTCCTTCTCCTTCCCTTTCCGGGTCTTGTCGCCCCGCGAAGATGCGATGATATTGATTATCTCTTCCGTATTGAGCGTTTTGTTTGGTTTTCTTTTTATGGGAGAGTGCGACAAAGGAGGCGCGGAGGTCGAAGGAGTCGTTATGGTTTGTCGGCGTTCATTCATCTGTCGACGAGTCTGACGTGTGGATGTTGGTGCAGGGGCCGCGGTATTGAATAGGTCATGGTTCGCTTGGAACTGGACAAAGGGCATGAGGAGGGAGTTTTATAGCCTTTGGTAGATCACTAACCTGTCTGAAGACAGCGCTGTTATCTGACTTGGCCTCCTGGGATGAATTCGTCAACTACTGCATGACACGTTCATTAATGAATATTACTCACAGCAGGGTTATACGAAAGCATCATCGTGAAATGTTCCATATGAAATTGCTCTCGAATCTAAATGACGCGTCGAATTGTAAGAATATTTCGCACTGAGAACACAAAAAGCAACGCACCAAATCGTCATGTCTGTCGATGACACTCTCCAATTGTGCTTTCTTCTGCGCAAGTAGAGCGTCCCTCTGAGATTCAGGCCGCCCAGCCGCCATCTCAGGTATTCCCGGCTCGAGCTGCGTGGCGCCGACGGGGTGATATTGACGATAGCGAGTGCGTCCATTGCGATTTACCCCTTCCACACCAAGTCCCAGCGGCTGCCTCCCACCCCCAGCAGCTGCCCTGGACGATTCCGCCCTCGAAGAAATCGATACCCTGCTCCTGCTCCTACTTCCGCTCGCCGCCGCCTCGCTAATTCCATTGAATCCACTGACCGACATTCTTCTTCTCCAACAATGAACGGACGAGCCACCAAGGACTAGAGTGCTCCTTCACTCTGACACCCGCACATGGGCTTTCTACCTATACCCTTTAGAAGCCTGTGTTGTCCAGAAAGTGGGTGCTTGGTACGTGTTGCTGCACCTCGGGCTAGGAGCGTGAGACGGACACGAAGTTCGATCTTATGAGATCCTCGATGGTTTGCGCTCGTTCTTGGATAGACCGGCAGCTGCTAGGTCGCTGATTGTGGTGCTGTGACCGTATGAAGGCAGTTACAAGGAACGCGCCCTGTGGATGAGGAAACGTTGGTTTGCGCACGGCCATGATTTTTTGGTGTCTAATAGGCTTTGTTTGGCACAGCCAAACACCCTTCGGTGAAGAGTTGAAAGGGACCAAGGCTGCATTCGAGGCAAACGTTCGCTGGGGCATAGAGAGCGGTGGGAAATAGACACGTTGATACAGTGGTATCATACATACATAAAGAATTAAATAAGAGAACAACAGGATTAAAGACTATCTTTGGTGTCCAACCAACCGAAGAGTCCAAACGAAATGGGCGGGGTATGAGCGTCAAAATGAAAGCCCAATCCAACAACCTTTACACGACCTGTGGAGTTACACCGTTACACATACAACACGAGGACCCGGGGGTAGTTATGTGGTCGTAAGGCAGCCTCTGCTGCACCGAGTCGTACGTTTCCTGGCACAGGCAGGCCTTTTATGGAAGATGTTCATGAGAAGTCGTCATCATAGGCATGGGCTCGTGTACTCGAAGTCCGGGAATAGGTTCCCATGAAGGTCGGCCCCAGGCAAGCCGTACATCGAGGCAGCGTTGTCCTCAGGGTAATTATCGAAGCTGTCAGGCGAGAACAATAATCAGAATCGAACGATGAAAGCCAAGATAGAGGAGAATAAACTCACGCGCTTGCATCACCGTCACCGTTAATTCTTGGAAGATACGGGGCAGTGATCTCTCTACTCGCCAGTCTATCCCAGTCAACCTCTCTAAACCACGGGTGGGCGAACACATCTCCTGCTCCATGTCGTAAATTGCCGTAACGCCGTGAAGCATCGCCCTCCATCAGTTTCATGATGATATCCGTAGCATTTTCGTTGAATGCTGCAGGGAACCTGATGAACGAAGGGCCTCTCGTGATCCTCTCGTACAACAACATATGGTTGACTTCTGCTTGATGATATGGAGGCAGCCCAGAGAGCATCTCAAAGATGAGTACGCCGAGTGCGTACCAATCTACACTCTTGTTGTACCGTTGTTGGAGGATAATCTGGACGGAAGACGGAGGGTGTTAAGCACCGATGTTGTTATTCCGAGAGGCACCGGCGTACCTCAGGTGCCAGATAGTCTGGGGTGCCGCAAAGTGTCCACGTCGTCGTCTCACAAGACTTGGCGAAACCAAAATCAGCAATCTTGATATGTCCATCGGCGTTCAGAAGAATGTTCTCTGGCTTCAGATCACGATACACAATATCTTGAGTGTGGAGGTGGTTCAGCGCCAGCGCGACCTCGGCAGCATAGAATTTGGCAACGGGATCAGGAAAACGCTGGCGAAAATGGAGGACGGCCAGGTTAACGTTGGTGAACAATTACATAGCAAGTGGGTCGACTTACGTTTGATCGCCGTAGCAGCGTGAAGAGCTCGCCACCCGGGACGAAGTCCATCACCATATACAGATTCCCAGCATCCTGGAACACACCCCACAGGTTGATGATGAAGGGATGTTGGACGTACGAGAGCATCTGCTGCTCGTTGTTCGTGTGTTCGACTTGCTTCATCTTCACGATGCGCTCTTTATTTAACACCTTAATCGCGTAGAAGCGGAGGTTGTGTTTGCTACGAACTAGAGTGGCCAATCAGATAACGGCACTGAAATAGAGAAAGAAGGGACGCACCTAGGTGTACACGGCCGAAGCTGCCTGTTCCCAGCGTGCGTTGGATGATAAAGTCGCTCAGCCTATATGTCCCCTTGACCCGCGCGACTCTCCGTATCCGTGGCTGCATGATCTCTGATGCATCCTCGAGGCTTGTAGACGTGCGTTCTGTAGACATCGATCCTCTATGGTCGTATATGGCGGGGTTCATAATATGGGAGTGTGTCGATTGGGTCGACATCGGCAACGGTAGTTGTGGAAGCGGGTTCTCCTGCGGCTTGTGCAACCCAGGGACGTGCATGGTGAATCTCGAGGCCATTCGCTTTATCATGAACTCAAAGACGGCGTCAAGCGGTATGTGCTGGCTGTTGGGAACAAGAAGCAGACGGGTATCGAAGTGTGGGATGGGGGGTAATAATGAAAAGAAAGGCTGGTCGTGGCCTTCAATTAGAGACTAATAGCATTGTTCGCTTAGCCGATTCTGATCAGCTGCAAACAAACCCACCGAGGTCACATGACCAAGTACAAAGGCCACCACCTCGGCACAAAGGGCGACCATCGATGGAACAAGGTATTTCCCAGCGACTGAGTTCGTGAAACACTTGTGCCCTGATCTTCATGACAACTTGGGGTGTGAGCCTCACGAAAGAGAGCTAGAACTGATCTCGCTGCCGCCGTTTGAACCCCACTCGTCCTTGCTTTCATGCGGGACAGAGCGCCCACCCCCGTATTATTGCCGAAATACGACACCGGACAATACTCATTAGCTTCTCTTCTGCGCCCTCACGCACATGGTCGACGACTTGGCCTTACGGCACTTCTCGAGCTCGAAGAGCCCCACATTGCTGTGAAAAACGTCGGCCGTCCACAGGTGAGCTCATCCCAACCGGTCACTAGCGAGCTCGCCGCGTAGAACGACCAACAGCTTCCTGAAGTTGTCCTTCCTGAAGGCCCGAAAGCTGGCAAGAGCACGACGACACGACACGATAAATATATTCGAGTTCGCCAGTGCCTAATGTAACATTACGGCGAAACACCTATCATTTGGTCAGCCGACCCTCCCCAGACGTGTAGGAAGCAAAGGCGCTTACCCAGTTTTAGCGCCTCGTCATGGCACAGACACATCAACCACTCGCTCTGGCAAACGACGACCGCGACGGGATTCAATGTGAAGTTTCAACCCCCCGGTCTAGAATTATATCCAAGACGTCCAGCAGAGTTGAGCAACGCCGTCCATCCCGCCTCACAACAGTCTAAAATAGATCGTTCGCTGAGCAATATAGACACTGCCAGCCTAGTCCGTGTCCTGCCCTCCGGTAGTTCCTGAACAAAAAGTCGCAATCAGCCCTCACTTCTCGACGAAGAGGCCCGCCGCCTGAATGTTGAGTCTTTGGTAATCTAAGATTGACAACTTACCTCGATCAAAGCATTCAAATCCGTCGCAGCGGATCCTTGCTTTTCACTGTTCCGCTTGCGAGCGGTGCATAGAACCACGACGGAACGAGCCACAGACAGGAGGACATCTAACGGGGCATGTTGATCATCATTCAGATCCTGTTGATCAAGGTTATTAGCTATCCCGTCGCTTTCGGTCTCGTCATCGTCGTGCTCCAAGTCTTCAAGGTCTAGCTGGAAATCCAATGTCGATCGTAGGGTTTCATGGATCTGAGTTTCGCACAGCGATTGAGTAGCTAACGAGAACAGGAGAGCCCAAAGCTGATGGGATACTTTGCCTTCATCGTTGATGCAAAAGGTGATATTTTTGGTTGGATCATGATACGTCAAATCGGACTGCGCATATGTAGAGGCCTCCTCCGATAACAGTGAAGAGATCCGTCGAGTCTTCTCCATGAGGTGTTCCGCGTCGCCAGAGGGAAAAAATTGCAGCACTGCATCCAACGACCAGGACAGACGATCATTCTCGTCAACATCCAATATGAACCCGTACTGAGTCAGGAGCTGAGCATTAGTCAACTCTTCTCCGTAGGTGTTGTAGACTTCAGTGTGAGGCGGTATGGCAGTGTTAGAGACCATCTCATAGAATAGATCATGGTCTCTGTCGTGCTCGACGTCCGTTGATTCTCGAGCCCCACCATCTTCACGGTCATGCGGGCACTCCTGGAGAGAACCACATTCTGGACATACGCCGTAGTCGCTCTGAATACCCGTCAGCAACTGAGATGCCTTCTGATGAAGGGAAAAAAATAACCTCGAGGTGGACGTGATGCTCGATAACATGATTGAATCTAGAGCACTGTTCGTCAAAGGCGTTAATTTGACTTTGGAGGATAACCTACGCATCCGCTATCGGAACCATGGACAAACCATGATACGCGTCAACAAGAAATGCCCTTGATGATACCAACGAAAATGCACGGTAGAAACCCATCAAAGTTGGCGAATATCGACTGCGTACGAGTAGAGGCTCAGCAAATTGATCATAGAACCGAGTCACTTCGTCCTGTTGCACCGAATAGATGAAAACGACGCGACAAAAATGGGACAGCGCACCATACCAGTTTCGTCGAGCCATGTTCCGTCCGCTCATCAAGTATCTTCGCTACCTCCGTCTTGGATAGCCAAGACAGCGCCTCTGAGCCATCCTCGCAGTCGTCGTCATTGGTGCCCAACCTGCGATCCCAGAACATCGGCAGATCGACGAGGGGATTAGGTAACGACTGCAGATACCCATACCATCTCGATTGACGTCCGTTTAGCCTGACTCATCGTCAGCTCAGGCCGGAGGGAAATTTGTCAGAAGAAGGAGAACAAAACACCTACAGCTCCACGAAGAGCGCGAGAGCGAGAGAGAGCTGCGCATCTAGTCCGTACGGGGCGAATGGAATGGAACCCGCCAACGAGCAATTACGGACGGACAGAACGGAGTCCTTCGGGATCTTCACGACTGCAAGGACGCAGAAAAACATAAGGTCAGTCAGATCCGATCCACGATAAAATGTCAAAGTGTACACAGGAATGACATACGCGTTTGGTGTGGGTGTATGAGGTGCCTTCCAGAGTGCACCCCAATTCCCGTAGGTCCGGGGCGTAGGTGTAATCGTGAATCGATTACAACGTTGTGGGTTATACACCATTCCAGGAGAACCTTGACTTGCTCAGGAGAAACAGCCATGTCATTGCAAGAGTACTCGGGGATTTCATGAGTCGGGGATAAGCTGCCCGTCTTCAATTTCTACAGAACTGAGAAACTTGTTGGTCCAATCTCCTCGTTCGGGGGGCTTATACCGCAGCCACGAGGCAGACTCGGAGAAATTGACGACTTGTGTGTTCAAAGTCAAGTCATTGGATAGATCTATCATCTTGCGACAGTTCGTTCTGACCCCGCTTACGATGTATGAGCTTGGTTATGCCGTCTAAAGCAAACAATAGCCGTCAGGGTCCCCGAGAGCCCCGCCTTCGTCCGCCCACATACACCAACAACCTAATGGCTCCAGCACGCCTCAGCGTCCTAGATTACCTCCACAGGGGATTTGTATATTCGCTCGCTGGACTATCAGTATACGCAGTAGTGATGTCAGTTCTCGTCCATCGGGACACCATGAATCGCGGCAAAGGTGTGTAACAGATCACTCCGACCCACAACCCGAACCGCTCACAACTTCTCCAAGTGCAGAGGTACGTCTTTTCATCACGTACAACCTATCTTCAGAAGCAGAGAACTGATTGCTATCCACAAAAATGACTCCAGTTGATGGCTGAGAGAGAACGATTGGGACTGCCTATGACGCCGAAGAAACAGGTGCGTTTCCTTCCGAGCCCCTGCTCCATCTATGTTAACAATGATCTCTCTCCTTTACTCCAGGAACTGACGGAAGAGATGGAAGAATCCCTCGCGGAACAGGCTACCGCCATCTTCCGGAAACGAAACAATACTTCATGATTCATGGATCCCGAAGACCCCCTTGGGCGGAATGGAATTCGCAAGAGGATGTCGTCGGACCTTGGGTTCCCTGGCATTTGTTATCGTTCACACAATATGCGTTGCATTTCTCCATTTCTGTCAGCATCCCATCTATGAATCCTGTCCTTCATAGTAGATCGCGCTATTCTGCAGCACGGGTAGGAACCACCTCGAGGATATATGGGTGCATGTTGTCCATGATACGCTAATGATACAGGCCCAAAGGCAATGCTCTACGTTTTCATGGCAGAGTTCGATCACTTCTTCTACATATTGCCTACTATTTTCGTGTCGCCTCGAGGCCTGATGAGGGCCCTGAGGCCCGTCCTTGTCCCTTAATGAATGAAATTGGCCCTCTTCCATTTTCCTGAACAACTAGCTGTTGACAACGACAACATTCCCTTTCCAGAGACAGCTCATTACATTTGAGATCCGGATGGTGCGTCGATAATCAGCAACGGCGCAGAATGAGTCAATAATTTCTTCCATAGTACGCTGGCAATTGGCTAGCGGAGACAAATTCCTCTTCTGACGCAAGGGGATATCGTTGAAAGAAGGTTGACAATTCGTACAAGGAGTTCTTCGACAACAATATCATTCACATAAATAATACAGCTTGGGTACATTCGGGTATAACGAGTCATCTACGGAGAAAGCGATGCTAAGGCTACAATGTAGGGGACTTTGCTTGAGGGGTACCGGGGATAACATATTGAGTGAGAGAGCGTCCATGGCGAGAGTGGAGGATGCGAGAAGGGGAAAAGGGTATCCAAGCCTCTATATCTAAAAGAGAAAAAGGGGATTATGAAGCGGATACACGAAAAGAGTTCTCGATCATCCTAAGCGTTACCTTAGCATTAAAATTATGATATAAATGTGGGACGGTGGGGTGTGTTGCAGTTATACGTTATAGTGAGGGAGCCATGACGGGAGTGGAGCAAGGAATCAAAATAAAGAAAACAAAACGGAGCGAAACAGGAAAGTGGAAAAGAAGAAGAGTCTATAGTTGTTGAAGGTCGAAGGTCAACCGGTCATGCACATGAGTGAGGCCTTGAGGAGGACCAGGGTAAAGACTTCTACCAGTGACCAAGGCGGACATGTGCAGGGTCGAACCCAATTTCGAGCCAGGTATCGACACCGTTGACAGGAGCAGCATGATCACCAATACCGACGAAGCCAACGCGGCTGTAAACGATGGCAGCCTTGTTCGTAAGGCCAACGAAGAGGGCCACCTTCTCTTTGGTCTTAAGCAACCTGAAGATATTTGTTAGCAAGCGACGCGAAGAAAAAAAAGAAGGAACTCACTCATAGCAGACTGCGCGGACGAGGCGCTCCGCGCACTTCCTTCCACGACACTCGGGGTCAGTGTAGACCTTCGTGATAGTAGCAACACGGTCGCTGTTCCTGGTAAAGGCGACGATGGATACGATGCGAGGGGGGCATCCACGCTTCATCCATTTGTGAACCCAGACCTGGCCACGTTCAACGAGTTGGGTAGCTTCACGGATTGCATTCTGCTGGTTCAACCTGAATGGGGGCTGCAAAAGAGAGCATCATTGAGGACCATGATGAACTGTGGATATGAAGGAAGAACTCACCGATTCATCGGCAAACATGTAGCACAATCGAGCAATCTCATTGATATCTTGAGGAGTGCCAGGACGGAGTTCAAACGCCTCGTCTGGGGGCAGAGGAAGATCCCTGGGAATGAAGGTACCTCTTGTCAAGAAGCTGACCTTGGCATGGTAGTAAGGCTCTTGAACGGCTCCGATCCTGGTCAGACGCGTCCAGACGTGGACCCATGCTGTTGTAGCAATGTCGACTGCGAAAACAGAGTATGTCCTCTCGTCGGGCTGATTTTTCCGAAGCTCATTCGCGAGGAGGGCCATAGAGTTGTGGATGCCTGTGTCGTATTGTAGATAGGCATAAGGGATGGGGGTGAAGATGAAGATGGGATATTTGCCAATGTTACCGTCGGTACAGGCAAGAACGAAACGAACTTGAGGTTTGGCGTGAGGATGGGCGAGGGTGTAGTTGACAATCCATAGATGGCCTTGAGACATACGACCAGACCTTTCCAGCGCCATACATTTTAGCAAGACGGGTAGAACATGGTTCGCGTTGACTTGATTAGCATTAAGTGAATCCCAGACAAACCCAGGGACTTTGGTGGCTTGGTGGAAGGTTTGAACAAACTCCCTGGGGACTGGAGGTTGCGATGAGGGCATAACCGGGGCGGACATGAAATCGTTGGTGGGAGAAGGAGACGACTGAAGAAAGATTGAAGAGGACTGGAAAATGTTCGGTTAGAGAGACTGCGTCTCCTTTTATACCTCTCGAGTCATAGCATGCGCGAAAAGGGACGAAAAGCAGATTGTGGTCCCCGGGACGCGATTTGGCGCAGGTGTCCATACTAGTACAGCAGTGACACACCAAAGTTCATACCACCCCAAATACGGGCCTGGACAGAAATCTGAGCACAAAAGAAATCCTGCGGCCGAGCTCGTCCACTCACCTCCTGCGAAACAAGTGCATCTCGCTGCTCCTGGATCGGGGGGCGCGGAGATGGGTTGAAAAAATCGGAACTGGTGAAATCTGGTTTCCGATTAGGACAAACCAGCTTGGTTTCACCTTCGGATTCAGGATCAGAGCTGGTTTCCGAGTCATAAGAAGAATCCGTCTGGGAGCGCTAAGTCGCAAGCGCTCAAAGAGGGCCGATAATTGGTTCTCATCAGACCTGAAAACATGGACAGGGGTTACGGGCAGGGCCCGCAAGCCGCCCCAGGCCAGAATCGATACAAATTCTAGTTGGAGGCGAGCTTCTCCATTCCTGCTTTCTTCATGAAGTGAATTGAGCGATGAAAAGGCCGGTTATTGGACAGCAATGCAGTTGGGATGTGAAAGTTGGAATTCGGTAACGCAGGTTCGTTGCCTGATCGCAAAGTTCCCACGCCTAACACTTGGAACCCACCAAGACTTCAGACGCGTATGGCATCGATGAAGCAGAATTGATGATGCGTAACGTTTCCCCCTTCCATAGTCGACTATGTTGCTGAGACTCAAGTGCATTTGCTTCATGGTACGCAGGGCTACGCCAGATATTGACAAGTAAGCGGCCTTTGATTGCTCCAATTTCAGATGCTGAACAAGGCCGAAACCCGTCGCGAAAACAATGAAATTCTCACAGAAGTGAAGTATTCACGCGTCCGGAATCGCCGTTTCTCCAAATGTTTGTAACAAAAAGTTTTTTTGTGCATGTAAAGCTCGTTGATCGTCCTAGGTCAATCCCACGACCGGTCCGTAGTAGAGTATCAGCGTGAGGGGACATCGAACAACTCTAGAGGCACGTACTTGGCTCAACTTCCGATCGCCTGGGACATCGATTCACCTAATCTGATATGTTCCAACCTGTTCATATCGTAACTCCGGGAACCGTTCGAGTCCCACGCCTGCGTAGGTACGTTCAACGCTTGAATTCTCGAGGAGGCCTATGACAACCCGGATGGCTTGATAATCCCTAGGCCTGACCGCGAAAGAGTGCCCTGATGGATTCTCAACACTGCGATTCGGGCAAATACGACTGCGTTGACTGCAGCGACCTCAGTTACTCGTAACTCATCAACTTCGATCCGGATTCGGCTTCTAAATCCCATTCGCACAGTACGAATGAGAGGATTCCGAGCCACCTCGTGTTGATGCAATCCGACCTGCTGACTTTGCTGTCCGTCGAGAGGCCTCAAAGGCTCGCCCGAACAGGCCATTCATCATTTCTCTAAGCCCGCCTTCACCGCCCCGGGTTCAGAATTTCCATCAAGGTGCTGCGCGGACGCGGAAAGTGATTCATCTGAGAGCGACGGACGCAGAATATTCCAGCGTGAATGCAGGCGGTGAGTCAATTAGGCCTCCCTTGGGCCTTCCTTGGGCCGTCGACGAAGGAATGATTATCTGGACGTGAATCGGGTCGGCGGTAACTCTGATTCTCCACTCAAGACACTCGAATCCCCCGGCATTCTTCGCGACTGTGAATACCAACCGTCAAAATCTTGTTCGAAGTCTTTGATCCGTGCTGAAGACACGGATCAAAGATATCGTGCCCGTTCCCCTGCTGTAACCCGTGGCCTGGTCGCTATCATGGTCAACTGAATACCTTCATCATACGTCAACACGGCCACCGCATTTGGAGGTAAGGAAATTTTCTCCTTTTTTTCTTCTGTCTGACCCCCCGCCAAATATGATTAGACAATGACACAAAAATATAACCATCAATAGATCTATTTTGGTCGTTTGTTGATCCATTTGTTACTAATGAATTCTCTTCCATCTACCGTATGTATTTGCGGACAAGCGTTTGTTATGGTTAACGTTGGATGATCGGCGGTGGTTCACCTTTCTCCTTATCTGGCTCTGGCGACTGTGCTGCCCGCCCTGTTGCACGGTTACGAAGGTCGTCCTTTGCATCACATCTACTCGGGAATACAGATGAGGCAGAGGCAGAGAAACCGCACGTGGAGGACGAAAATCTGAACGCTCGACCTGATGATCTGGGCACCTTCGGCAAGCATACGAAATCACAGCACCTCTCTCATCGCTCGACCACTCTTCTCCCTACAACCCCTCTTAGTGACGGGTCATTGGAAACTTCCGGCACTAAGCAGGAGAACGCAATGCTCGACTCGGCCGTTGTTCTTATGACTATACAGACAATTGGATATGCCTTTCAATGGACCACGCTATCCCTTTTTCAAGCGCCTCTGCTGAATTCTGCTCCAACCTGCACAATCAATGCCGACGCACTCTCAAAAGGACACTCACCTTCGGCATTCAACGAGCCGCAGTCCTGACAAGCTTTGGACAGGCAACACATGGGGATCACCTCCAAAGCAAAGGAAGGGATACTCGTGAATAATTTCATCACACCACCGGTACTCCAACATCGACGCCTCGCTTCGCGCAATCTCCACCCTGGCCGGACGTCATGATAATTCAACACGCCGTCATCGAGGGATCACTATACCAAGCTATGAACTGCAGTGGTAACTGCTATTAAGAAGTGACGAGTCCGCCCTGTTTTTCTGCGTTTCTATCCCGATCTGTGCGCGACAACAAGCGCTACTACCACGACTGGTCCGGCGGCATCGAACGAGGCCCGCATGGTTTCATGCCAGATGCTATGGGACCCCTGCCATGCGGCAGGTACCGCCACAGCGTAGACAGCATACTATCAACCGAGTCGTGCCACCTATCCCTGCTATCCTGGAGCGGCTTTGTGAAGCTCAGCTCGCGTGCTGCAACTCGCCATCGATTGGTTAGGTCTGAGATCCCAACTGAGCGGTTGATGCACTTTGTCTAGACCTCACACCTGTACTCGCCAAGCGGCGTCATGCAGTGTACTTTGCAACTAACCAATTCGCTCTCTGGCGTCCATCGACGCCGTCGCACGATGATCTGAGATGCCAAAGCAGCGCGGGAAGTACAAAACAGCCGCTGGGCGCCTATTTTCGCTGTTTTCGTGCCTCGCACCGGCCGGCGTTCAAATGAACCGGAATGTGTAATGGGCGGAGAGCCAAAATGACTCGAGAAGAGATTCCGCGGAACTTTTCTTTTCGATCGGCTAGACTTTGTTGACGAAATTCCAGGGTTCGGATTTCCTACCTCGGGAACGCTTGCTATCTTTAGGATGCTATTCGGTTGATGCGGCAGTCAACGCAAGGACCTACAAGTTGGATAAGCGTTAGCCGTCAGAACGTCGGCCTGTCTCTGTGACTCAGAGCGGTGCACGTTGGCAACTAAGCAGTGTCCCGCCAAGTAAGACATCCAAGTACATGCGTCTTTAATTCCTTATCGATCGTTGCAGAGTTGACCCTGGTTAGCTTGACAGAAAAGAAAAGTCTCAATGACCCAAAGTGCGAGTCAGCCCTTCCATTTCATCATCGCACTGCCTCACTGGAGCAGCACCGCTTTTTCGCAAATTACTGAGGCCCGGTCTATTTTAGGGCTTCATTTTCTGTGATTAACCCGGTTAACGAACACTCTGATGTCCACCTCGTTAACCCCATGTTGCCCCGCGTCCCCAAGCCTGATGGCCAAGGAGGCCTGCATGCGGGCCCTTTTAATCGAGTCCTGTTGGTGCTATGCATCCAATGAAGTAGGGCGCTGGAGGGACGTTCGACGTCATTGCCCGTAATTATTTTAATAAAACCCCATACCCAAGGTAGAGCAGGCCCAATTCTATTCTCTTCTTTTCCGTTCTTCTTACCATTCAAAATGCGGCCCCTTTGCATATGACACAGGGTACTGAATGAGAACGACGATGAGATGGCTTACATACAAAGATCTCGCCGGTCTCCGACTGCATCGCAACTTCAATTCATTCGGGCCCTCTTCGTGATCCTTTCCTTCGACGCGTCGAGATCTCGAGGACAGGATCCATTGACACTGCCCTCACTGCTTCGCCGACCGCCGGCCGACATTCGTTTCTCTATGTCTTCCAGCTTCTCCAGATCCTCCTTGAAAACCTCCCCTACACGTTTCGCGGCATCAAAACATCTGCGTACGCCCTGAAGCTGCATCTGGATGCGCTCCTCCCGAAGGAGCATGAGCCTCGCTCCTGGACCTTTCAGTAGTAACAATTCAGCGATTGTAGGGGTGTCACTTCGAAGAACGAACTCCTCGCAGCCTTGACAGAAGAGGGAGGGGACACCGTGTGCCTGGCCGACGAGCACCTTTTCCATGGTACCCATGTCCCCGACGGCGTTATGCATGATGGCGTAGATCGACGCTGCCCGAGTCGCCTTCATCTCGAGGCGGGTGGCGAGTTTAAGGGCGGAGAGCCAGATTCTCCCTCGAGGTGATTTGTCAAAAGTGCTGAAAGAAATATATCAATCAAAGGAGTCTCCGTGGCTGGATAGACGAGAGACCTACATGTTCGACGGGTACAAAACTTCGATTAGATTCTCGAAATCCTCCCTGTTCGCGTGGAACGTGAGGTCGATGCTCCGTTCGGTATCATCTCCGTGGACGATCTGTAGGCCTTCGCGGATCATACGGCTCGTCAGTAGGTGATAAGACGGGACCCTGTAGACGCGGCCTTCAACCTGATCATGATCGGGGATCTTTAATGAAACGATCGTAAAATTGAATACCGAAGGGCCCACCATGACTTTGATCGTCTCCACGAACAGGTTGGGAGGCGTAGGCGTCTCCTGCCTGTGGCGTGTTCCATCCATACGGGTGGGCAAAGGAGGTGTACGAGTGTTGGTGGTAGTGGAGGTGTTGTTCATGGCGATGCGCAGAAGATTTGCCGGTAACCCTGCTTGAGATGTGCTCCCGAGACGCTCAACTTATAAGCAGAGGAGGATACGACAAAGACATGGTGTTATCAAAAAGTCGCTTTCAGACAAAGAGGGAGATATGCTCTGGATTCTTTCTTGCAAAGGACGGCTGTATGAAAGAGTTAATCAGCTCCTTTAACTTCAAAGTGAGGAATACTCACTTTCAGACCATGATCCGTGAAGGCAACTTGAGCAAGAACCGAAGACAAAGACCTTTAAGGGTGGAGGAAACAGGAAGTATTCTTTATGGAAGTTGACAGTTCCTTTCAACGTGCCGATCTGACGTGACGTTTGAATCGTGCCTCTCTGAAGCTCCCAAACGATCTGATACCACGGTCGGCAAACGGTCAGACACTCTTTCTCTCAAGGAAACAAAGAGATAAGTCTCACGCGCCTCGACAAGTTTGGTCATTAGACCCAACCCAATCTATGTGATTGTAGTTTGAAAGACAAATGTTATGAAAGGGCCTTTCATCAAGCGATTGGGTGTCGAGGCGATGTTCCCACAGTCAGTGATTGGTTGCGCCCCAGCGCTAGCATAAGCATTTCTGTCCTTCCTTCCTATATTGTCACGGCTTTCCAGCTACGCAACGCCAAATAGCCATACGCGCTGAGCGCTGCGAGATTCATTCTTAAGCTTTTGGCATACCTTTGACCGCTAACTTGACCTGTGGACGACTCGGAGAACGCAAATTGGGCTGCTTTCTACCAGCACTTTCACTTCACTTCATCCACGGACGAGAGATTACTCCGGCTCCTTGACTGGTTGCGCCTGGATTTGGTACCTACGCGCCGATACCGAACTTCCTGTGGTCAGTTCAAGGTCAGCACTGTTCAAGTACACCAACTCCTGAGTCGGAATGTGTTTTGGAACAAGGCCGTCCTCCATTTCCCGGGGTGCTCGGCTGCTACTCTTCATCTGCTGCTGCCGTAGCTGACGTATCGGTGAAGATCACGGCCTATTTGGTAGCTGCCCATTCTGGAGTACACATAGCGGCTGTTCAGTGGCTTGGATCGTCAAGTAGCTCAGATCCCAACCTCAGATGGGTTTCCTCAAACCTTACACTGCGCCAACTCGACGTGGTTGGTTCTTGCAGGTTCTTGCCATGGATGGATCCCATTTGCCTCTTCCTCGTTCCCCGGATTTTCGTCAACGGATTTGATGTGATCTAATTTGGGAATTACCTGTGGCGTCCTCTATGAAGCCTCCTGCCCCACCGCCGACATGGACCCCCCGGATCAAGCTCCCCCGTCCTAGAACTGGAGCTGCTGTGGAGCGTTAGATTGCCGCAACTGGACGGCCCAACAGATTTTCGTTAAACGTCGTACCGTATGACTGACAGCTCGTCCTCGTTACTCATCTACAGCATCCTCCCAGCAGACTGAGACGATCATATGGTATCAAATCTGACGAGCATCAGCGTCTCTGTGGAACTTTCTTTTGTTGTTCATTGCTACAAGGATGTCAAACCGAGATACGGCAGGACACGGCTATGGAACGACCCCTGAACGCGTCGCGTCACGATCACATGCTCATCAGAACCTCTTGTTATTGTCATTGGTCAAATTGAAGAGAGTTGAAGTCAACCTTCTTTTCCCTAGCCTACAACTTCTAGTTCGCAAGCTGAAAATTAAAACTCGGTGCTCTATGTGGTCCCCATCCGCTTCACTGGAATAGCCTCAAATCCTGCAAGCTCTTGCCCCTTGGTTTTCTTTTTCAGAACGACGCACCAAACATTTATTGTTCGTAGCTCTTAACCTCTTATAGTGTTGATCTTTCACTTGGTTTGTCTCGCAGAACTCCACTCCTGGCCCTTTCTTTGGCTTGATAACCGGCTCGTCTGGTGGGACAGGTCACAGACATTGGCGTCGGGAAAGACTTGTGCATCCTCTTTCTCTCGTGATCTTTGGGCAGAACAGTGACATTGCAACTCGACTCAGGTTTTCGATTAGCAAATCCATCAGCTCGCCAGGAAGTAAGTTTCTTCTTATTGTTGTGCCCATCCATTTGACTAACAGTAAATGAAATTTAGGCCAAGGTACCAGCCTCGTTGTCAGTCAGCTTTCTGTCAAGACTAAAGTACAGAGAGCGGGGGAAACCAGTGTGGTGTGTGTTTTACGTTCCCTACCTGGAACCCGGCCTTTTGACCCAGTGTTTTGCAGTAGCGCGTGGATTTGATTACCAGGGACGTAAAAGCGCAACGGATATACTCTGACGGAAGTAAGTCGACATTGAGCCTCTCACCCCGCAACTATTAGTTCTAAGGCAGCCGTTAATCTAGGTACTCCTCCGACCTACCTTTGGACAAGGCCCACCAATACGCTGTTCGCTGGTGCTGACATCGATAGATTCAAGGCGACTTATGGTTCTGGTATTATCGTCGTGAGTGTTGACGTTGAAACGTTGAAGCGCGAACGATCTCACCGTTTTATCTTTTCACGAACGGTCTAGGAACGTCTCCAGACTCTCGACTTCGTCACCGTCACTCCCACTCCTCTCGTCCAACCGGCATAAGGACTCTTCAGATGTTCTCCGTTTGGTTTTATACCCTCCTAGACGTGCGCTTACTGTATTTTGATAACAGTTCAAGTACTAATAGGCGATCATACTCAAGAAATTAGACAACCAAAGCATTCACATATTCATTCGCCAATTTCTACGCGTAGATTTCGCGTATATTTCGCGTAGATAATACCCAGCCGATCATCACCGATGGGTCAAGGCACAGTCGTCAATTTCATTTTGCCGCCGTGCCTTCATTCGACGCTGCGACGTCGCGATTGATTGCCTCTGCGTCCATTAGATCACCAGCGAGGATTACAAAGTAATTAATGGGTTTTCATGCCTCAGAACTCACTCCACTCATTGACTATACACTGTCCAGCGAGACTAGGAGATCTTCCCTGTCTGGAGATGAGACGTCACAAAGGAATGTACTTGTATGATAGGCTAGGAAAGCGTCGGACGGTGACCCCCCACAATCTCGTCACCTGTGGTCTTTGTCGACAATTGAGATATGAAGCAGATTAAGATCCAAGTGTGAGTCTTTTCTTCTTCTTCTTTATGTTCTCATTTCGCTCTTCATTACCGGTGACGTCCTCAAAAACTTGGCCATATCCTTGCTCTTCTGCCCGGATGAATTCTAACTCCTCCTTGAATTTGGTCTCGATCATCGCCACAATTGCACTGGTTGCAGAACCCACTTTCCCTGCGGCCCTGGCTTCACGAATCCTCAAAAGGTTGATCGTGGTCATGAGGGATATCTTCTTTGCCTCGTCGTCAGAGATCCCAACCTCGAAGGCCCTGAGAGTGAGCTCCAGGAACCCTTGTACGACCCAGGAGGCAACTTTGAGATTCCTCCCTAGGGTGATCTTTTCGATTGAGGAGAACCCCGTCATCGTGTTTAGTTCTGAGATGGCAACCGCCCTCAGTCGTAGGAAGTACCATTGGTTGGAGAGGGTGAGGACGGAGAACCACTCTTCTTTCGAGAGTGAGAGTAAGACGTCGAAAGATCTGGCCAGCGTCGTGAGCAGCCCTGCTGAATGATGAAACGGATTGACATACTGTGGATACAGGGCTTTCAGGAAGTTCTTGAAGTCGGGTATCGTTGTATAAGGAAGAAAAATAGGGTTTCCAATGGATGATGTGCTCCCCTCACCGTCGCGACCTGGAGGTTGTGGACACATGAACATCGATGCGAATACCTCCGACTCGCTGACGAAACGGTAGCTGGGAACTCGAAAACGATGATTCTCCACCTGTATAGTCATATAATATGTGAAATTAAAGTGGAAAATGCGAATCATATAGTAAACCTACCTGGAATACAACAAACTCTCCTTGGATATAGTAGTCGGGGTCGTCCACTACGACCTTGGGTTCCGGCTCAGGAGAGACCGACATGAACAACGGAGTCACGGCCTCGGTCGGTGATATGATTTCCAAGGATCCATCCGCTTTTTCCGATTCGGTGTTGTCAGACATAGTAAGGGCGTTGAGAGTTGTGAAGAAAGCTCGGTTGGGGCCATCGATGCAAGTAAGCGCCCAGATGACTAACCTTTCGCACGGTTGCGATCGATAAACTTCAGCAATCCGGTAATTGTACACGTAGTTACATGAACGGCCATGACTCCACAACGCTATACCCGCGCCGCCACTTGAACAATTGGAATGGGTGCGGAGCCGCAAGGTATCACATATCCTGTCTGCGCCATACGAATGCCATCAAGCTCCACTTTGAAGACGTGCTTGATATGCTCATCTATCGACGCCGTCGTCTTCAACCACGCCGTCCCCCGCTCGGAATTGCTTCTCCAATACTGCTCTCTCATCCGAAGGAGCTTCGTCCCAGCCGGGTAGCCCAAGCCCTCCTCTGTGATCTCCTCGTCGCTGATGGTTTCGTGGCGCAGGACCAGCGCGCGGTATCCGTCTTGCACCCACTGTACCACGAAGTACTCGCGCCCGAGAAGAATTTTCTGCATTGGGTCATCGAGCAGCGGGCCGAGGGCGTCGACAGCGGACTGACGTAGTGCGAGGCAGTACCACATCGTGGAGAGCTTAAGGATGGAGAGCCACTCTACGGTGCTCAACTCGGTGCTTCGCCAGGAGTAACTGTTAGCTACGTGTCAAACCCTGCGAGCAAAGAGGAGTGAGGGAGAGAGGACGTACAATGGGAAGAGAGGCCTAAGGAAGTTGCGAAAGTCGTTTGCGCTGATGCCTTCGAAACAGATAGGGTTCTCCTTCAACCGTCCTTCAACCGGAGCGTCGACTCCATCCCCTTGTGGGACGTTGAACATGTCTTCCAACGTTTCCGAGTGCCGGACGAGCTGGTACTGTGGGACGCGGAATAAGACGTCCTCGATCTATCAGGTCGAGGCTGCGTGAGCAGATTCTGGATGGGGTGATACACAACTTGAATCCATACCTTCAACCAAACCAGATCCCCTTCCAAGCAGAACTCCGTGTCCATGGTGGCAGCTTTTGATTCGCCACTGGTCTGATCCAGCTTTGGAGGAGGTCTTCTCTCCCTCGGACGTGTTGTGGTGCTGGGCCCTCTTGGGCCAAGAAAGCTCGACATTCGTGTTCTGGGAGAAGCTGAGGGGCTAATCGTGAAGGAGTAAAAGGGGTGAACAAGCATTAATGCGACGTAGAAGGGAGCATCAGCGGCTGCTCACCTTTCGCGTAAGCTCTCCAAAGGAGAGATAGCAGGGGCATCGACGGGCGCGAATCTGTAGCCCATCATCTCTCCTTCGGACAAATCACCTGAATTCATGCTAATGGTGACAGTGAATGCAAAACTTCGGGACTGGGTGGTGATAGAGAAAGAGAAAGAGCAAGTCCGAATTTAAGCTTCCACCTCGTACCTACCTTGTTCGCCTTAAAAGGCTTGTATTCATCAAGGGGAGAGTCAAAGGAAGCGTAGGGTATTAGCGTTACTCGGTCACAATGGGGCTAGAAGCGGGCTATTTTTGGATGAAGGCGTCGCCGGCCAAGTACAATCCACACTTGCAAAGGTACTTACCTCTGCTCCAACGGCACAAAGAGCCACGAGCTAGTGCGACTATGCCAAGACAGTAGGGTGACGATTCGAACAACTTCGCCTCGAGGCCAATCTTGGAGTCAAGTATGGACGCACCAAGCAAGGACGCACAACGCAAGGCCTCCACTACCCCAGTGAGGGAGATGAACGAAGACTAAGAGGGAACATGAATCCAGGTTAGAACGCCATCTGCAGGACCCGAAGATATCATGTTGCAGACGAGTGGCTGATTCAGATCTGGAACGCCTTTGGGCAAGGATATACTAAGGGCGAGCGTTTGTTAGTGGAGGCTTCTATGAACCTGAGCATGATGGGTAGAGACGAGTGACATGCAATTTCCGTCAAGAAATCACTCGAGAAACAAGGAGGTGTGGGAGCTGAGCATACGCCGTTATGAATCGACAAATATCTGGCGACGAGAAGCCACAGCCTGAGAGCAGAGAAGTCGACACTCAGCGCCCAGCTGTCATTCTAGAAGGGCAGTGATAGTAATAGCCCCATCGAGTGGGTGCCGCAGTAGAAACCCAGAGATTCCAAACGTTCGAGGCGAGCTCTGGTCGGTGAACAAGCTCGAAAAGAGTTGGCGGGTGAAGGCACTTTGAGGAGATCTGACCTGGGGTCGCTGCTTTGTTCCGACTATCGCAAGATCGTCGGTCTCTGAAAGTGCAACGAATATGGATGAATTGCTTCTGCATTCTTAATCACAGATCAATACTCAGTTATCAGCGAATTCAGCGTCTTGTGGCGTCCTAACGGGAGACGCACTTTCCAGTAATAACGACGATCCAATAGAAGTTTGGCCTTTGAAGAAGCCACTTAAGCGAAAGAAAATACGGTCAGATAGTCAGTACAGGTCGGAACTCATGTCATTGTATAACCCCTGTCTTGTCTGTAACCCTGGCGGTATTCATTAGCATTCATTATTGGCCGATGCTCGTCACCGACGGCACGGTCGGTTGCCTTTGTTACGCCACGCGGGGGATTGGGCCTAGGGGCCGATATGGATATTATGGTCAATATTCAATCCTGTATATAGATAACTGACATAAAGTAGGATGGTGTTGGGATGGTGGTATTAGCGAAGTACGATGCCGGCCCGATGTTCGTGGTGGAAGGAGGGAAAAGCGAAGTCGATGCTTGTCGCGGGCGGATAGCGCATGCTGCACCATCGGCAGCCTGGATGACGCGGATCAAAACATGTGCATTCGGACAATAGGGGCAGCTAAGCGCTTAGATAGCTTTCTCTTTTCTAGGAAAATTGCCGGATCGGCGCAACCTCGTGTTCAGGATAAGCGGACGGTCGAGGCTTTTATGACGCTCGACATCGAACGGAGGCACTTTTTACCTGTTTGAAGGCTGCTCAAGGAGCATATATTCTAAGCGTCTGCTGTGAAATTTACTCACTTTTCCTCGCTTTGGAGCAAAGGGACACTATGACTTACAGGAGAACATTCAAACCACACTTTCCAAATGGAATACGAGGGCCTTGAAAGCGCTGGATGGGGAAGAAACCCTCTAAATGTAGACTTCGAGGCGTCATCGGAATCTCCGCCATGAGTCTGTGGAGCGAGCGCGGCTGACAACCCTTGATGGAAGAACTTCTTGAAGTTAAATATTCTAGAAATTTGGGCTGATAGGAGAGGGCGTCGAGTTGCCGACCATGTACAATACATAGACACTGGAGCGCGCTGCAGCCCTTCACGCTTCTTTCCCCCTTCCTTCCTTCATCCCTGGCGGTCGCGAGATGGCGGTCATTAACAATCCGACTAGCATGAAAGGGCCTGCGGAAGCTGTGTGCGTACCTTTTGTCAATTCCATCAAAGCACAACCTTATCGACGACTCTTCTTGATCAAGCCATGGGTGGATGTTCATTGGGAGCGCGTTCAACCTCCTCCTCATGGGAGTGATGGCGTCCCAGATGTACATGTATTATGTGAAATACAAAGAGTACGTGCGCTGGACTCGAGGCTTCTGTTCTTCCGTGATTATTCTAACATTCGCACCCACCTGTGATCAGCGACCGGACCTGGATAAAAGCTCTGGTGGGCGCCTGCATGAATTGTTTTCCCGAACACCGACTGAATGGCTTCTTAGGTCGCAGGAATATTCGTCTTAGATGTTGTCAACACAGTGTTCCTCTTCACTTATTTATACCGCTCCCTCATTACTTTCTACGGCGAGGTCGAGTTCCTGAGCAAAACGGACTGGAGTACGTCTCACTGCTTCCCCCGTCTGTTCTCAAGCTTACCCTTTGGTTTAGTTCTAGCCACAGGTGTGACCAAACCCCATCAGCCGGACGAAATCTAATCACAGCCCAATGAACGACAGGTGCTTGGACAACAGTCAGTGTTTTCCGTCCACGTTTCGGCCTTCGGATCGTCATCTGACGAAATCGTTCCAGGGAGTGATCGCATGCGCCGTCCAACTATTCTTCGCCTGGCGTATCCTTGTCTTAACAAAGAACTGGATATACGTGGTGGTCATCGCAACATTGTCCTTGACTGGATGCGGTGAGCCGTTCTTCCTCGTCGTTTCGGTGAATTAATTGACGAGCCTTCATTATCGCACTTCGCAGGCGCCTCCCTCGTAGTCCCCATCAAGACGGGCAACTTCATTCACGTCACCGAATTCCATAAGATTAGGTCCGCCGTGACGATGTGGCTGGCCTGTGAAGTGGCGGCCGACGTTGTAATTACTGCCCTCCTTGTGTGGTACCTGTACGTGTTCTCTTTTCCTCTCGTTTATAGCGCTGGCTAATGTCAAACCTTCAGTGTAAGATTTTTACGGGTGAATACGGCGCTGTGCGAACCTAACCACCATATTTTTATTTTTCTTCAGCGTAAACACAAGACTGGTTTCAGGCGCTCGGACATGATGGTCGACCGCATTATCCGAGGTGCGCAAATTGTATCGTTGAAGTAAAACTCACCCTAAATCATGCACTTTTAGTTACCCTCCAAACCGGCCTCCTTACAATGGTGGTCGCCTCCGTCGATCTCTTCTTCTTCCTCGCCGACGTAAGCACCGTCCCCTCTCTCCGCTCATAGTAAATTCTAACATCCCTTGCGGAATCCGTAGCCAACAGGCACCCACTTCCTTTTCAACTTCCCGCTCGCCAAGCTCTACGCGAACTCGCTGATGAGCAGCCTCAACTCACGGCATGGGTGGAAGTTCAACGGCACGACGTCTGTTGGTACAGGCTCAGAGAGCCAAGTCAACACGACAGGCGGCGTGCAGAAGAGGATACATATGTCGAATATGAAGAAGACGGTACGTGCTCCGCTGTTCAATCTTCGTAGAGCGTTTCGTCTAAATACTTTTTCTACTGCGACATTCAGGACGTCATTGTCGAGCCGAGCGTGATTCGCACTCACCCCGCCGAGGTATTCGTACACGTCGAGCAACACGAGCTGCGCGACGTCAAAGGGGACGAGAGGTTCGACGAGAAGCCGCACACGCTCCACTCACAGTCGTCGGTCGAGATCTCGGTTGACGGCAAAAGGTGGGGGGCGGACAAGGATACGTGGGTCTGATCAAGTGTTTCACGGTGTTTGCATGTTTAGATATTCTATTGAGTAGAAGCTGTAGCCCTCGAAACCAATGTACTGCATAAGAAATTTGTAAAGAAATAGGATATACCCTGAACCAATCGTATTGGAACCATTCTTTGAAAGAGGCCGCCGAGCGTATACGCCTCAAATTTGTGGCATGGAGGATGTAGTTCGACGGGAAGACCTGAAAGATGTTTCGGTCAAGAAATAACAGATATTTGCAGACCGGAGGATCTTACCTCTCTCTACCAGCAGCCCAGCTTCACGCGTGCCGGATCGAAGCCGATCTCAAACCACGTCTCAACGTCCTCTGGGGCAGGAGAATTAATCCCAATGCCCACAAAGCCAATCCGACCAAAAATGTGGTGGTCGCTGCAATTATACCTGACGAAAGTCGCGACCTTCTCCTTCGTCTTGAGCAGCCTGTATTGGCGCCGAAAACGGTCAGAAAAGATGGGCCCTAACAGGGGCAAGATACCTTACTCATGACAGACCGCTCGGGCGAGACGACCGGCATATCCCCTCCCACACCACTCTGGGTCGGAGTACAGCTTGGTGAGTGTCGCAACTGTTTCGCTGTACCTAGCGAAGGCAGCAATGGTCACAATTCGGGGTGGGTATCCACGGTCAAACAACTTGTAGACCCAGACTTGCCCACTCTCGACAAGGGCGGTAGCTTCACAAAACGCTCCTTCCTGGTCCAAGGCAAACGGATGCTACGAAGGTCAAAGTCTTTGAGGGCCACATCTAAACGCTGTTTTCAGGATATTACTCACATTGCCGTCAGTAGACATGTGCCAGAGGCGCACAATTTCAGGGATGTCCTCGCGAGTGGCGGGCCGGAGTTCATGCGTGGTTGGTGGATCCTTTTGAATGAAGGTGCTCCTTGTCACATAACTGAGCTGCACTGTCTTGTAGGGCTCTTTTATGGCTGCGATCCCCGTCATATGTGCCCAAACATGCACCCACACCGACGAGACGACATCGACCGCGAAAACTGAGTACACCCTATCATCAGGCTGGTGTTTCCGGAGCTCGGTGGCAAGGAGGGCTATCGAGCTGTGGATGGCCTTGTCGTATTGGAGATGCTTGCTGGGGAGAGGAGTGAAGATAAAGATGGGGTTTCTACTGACACTGTTGTCTGTGCAGGAGAGGACAAATCTAACTTGGGGTTGAGCATGGGGGTGAGGAGGGAGGATATACGAGACGATCCAGAGGTGGTCTCCGGGCATTCGACCGGAACGTTCCAAGGCCAAAGACTTGAGGAGAGTGGGGAGGACAACGTTGGCTTTGACTTGGTTGGCTTTGAGCGTGTCCCAGACGAACCGTGGTACTTCGCTCGCGCGTTGGAAAGTTTGAACAATCTCCTTCGCGCCGCCTCCGACGTCCCCAGGCTCCGTTAGACGTCGTCCATCTGTCTCTCCCCTCTGCCCGGTGATCGTGGTCTGCTGCCGATCCAATCGGGGTGCCTGGGCAATCAGCCTGCTTGCTTCACCCTCGCCCACTGCCCCCTTTCTTCATGAGCTCCACCAGCGATATAAAAAGAACAGAACCCGACTCACGGTTCAAGTTGACTGTGAGTGATATGTTGTGACCTTGTGTCGCATAGAAATTTCCTCCGCTAATACCAACATTCCTAGACGACGCAAAGAAGCTTTGTCCAGACGGAGGCGCCGATCTGAGTGGTCGGGGTCAGCTCATTGAGTAGTATCGTCTCGGAGGCAAGCTTCGAGCACTTACTGGGTAGCGAGCGAAGGGTCGAGCATGATCTGGATAGTCGGCCAAGGGTCTCGAAGCCTCTCTGGGACACCTGTGTCGTCGTATTGCACCTCGCCCATGCTGGCTGGAGAGCAAAGTTTGAGAGGCAAAGGGCGGTGTAGAATGCTGTCCGCGAAAACGTGATTGGTACCAAATTCGCTCAATCGTCCGACCTCGTGTTCGCCCAACCAACCTTATCCGTAATACAATACTTAGCTAACAATCGAAGGGTTTGACAGGCTTTCGACATGACCACCGGAGTTGAAGTTGTATTGGACGGAGCCAGGGTGTCTAGTTGAAGCTGCAGGCCCTAGGAAACAACACAGTAAGAAATATAGAGATACTGAGAGGCAAATATGTGAAACATATCATACGTACTACAGAGATATGGGCCATCGAAGAGGCCAGCGTCAAGAGGCAGGAGGAGTGCAAACAGATGCATCGGCCTGGTGCCCACGCAGCACGGGATCATCCGAATGACCGTCGTAGTCGGGATCGATTCTGGTCGATTGGAGTCGATTGCCGTTGTTACGCCGCGCGGGGAATGGGACCTGATCTCAGCAATTCACCCTCAGGGGGCGACATGGATGTGGATGTTGGCAGTTGGTACTGTCACACTGTCGTCGAGCCGGATGGCCACTGGCATTGGCATTGGGCGTCTTCAGAATTATGAGCATTGCGGACTCGCAGTGAGCACATCCGGCGAAGCATGATGTTCATGGTGAAGACGAAGTCGGCGGCCGCCCACCGGGTGCCTGCTGCTCGGCAGCCCAGTTGGATGATACGGATCAAAACATACTTCCGGAAAATAGGGGATCCTAAGCGGATCGCTTAAATCACTTCCTGGTTGGCATTTACGAAGGCTTTCTTGACGTAACGGAGGCACTTTTTACCCGTCTGAAGACTACTCAAACGCCGTGGCATCGTACGTGTTAGGTTTACTTACTTGAAACAAAGGGTCACTATGGCGATAGCGTTCAAGCCGTGCGTACTTTCCCAACGGAATATAAAGGCCTTGACAGCGCTATAGGGGCATAGGCTCTTCATTTAAACCACTTGACATTTTGACCCCTCACCTCACAGGCGTCGTCGGAATCTCCGCCACATAAGTCTGTGGAGCGAGCGACCCCGGTCCCCGGACGAGCTTCATGCCAGTTAATTTTTCTAGAAATTTAGGCTGATAGGAGGGGGCGAGAGTCGCAACCGCCGACCATATACAAGACAGAAACGCTGGAGATTGCAACCCTTCGTGCTTCATTCCCTCATCCTTCCTGCTGCATCCCTGGCGGTCGCGAGATGGCGCTCATTAACAACCCGATTAGTCTGAAAGGGCCTGCAGAAGCTGTGTGCGTACCTTTTCTCAACCCATGGAAGCCCAATCTTACCAACAAGCGGTACCTTTCTTCTCAAGCCATGGGTGGATGTTCATTGGGTACGCATTCAACATCCTCCTCATGGGAGTGATGGTGTCCCAGATGTACATGTATTATACCAAATACAGAGAGTGCGTACGCCACACTACTGGCTTCTATTCTTCCCCAATTCTGACCTCTGCACCCGCCCATTGATCAGCGACCGGACCTGGATTAAAGCTCTGGTCGGTAGCTCCATAAAATTGTCTTCCTGAACACCACCTAAAGGATTCCTTAGGTCGCAGGAATATTCGTCATCGATGTTATCAATTCCGTGTTCCTCTTCACTTATTTATACCGTTCCCTCATTACCTTCTTCGGCGACGTCGAGTTCCTGCAAAAAACGGACTGGAGTACGTCTCACTGCTTTCCCTACCCCATCTATTCTCGAGCTTACACTTTGGTTTAGTTCTAGCCACAGGTGCACGCGTACAACCCCATCATTCCGACGAAAATTAACCACAACCTATGAACTACAGATGCTTGGACAATAGTCAGTGCATTTAGGCCTCGTCTCGGCCGTCGGATCGCCTGACTGAAATTATTCCAGGGAGTGATCGCATGCGCCGTTCAATTATTCTTCGCATGGCGTATCCTCGTCTTGACGAAGAACTGGATATACGTGGTGATTATCGCAGTGTTGGCCTTGGTCGGATGCGGTGAGCCTTCAGTTCTTCCTTGTCGCCCCCAATAATTAACCGGGCCTTCTATTGCACTTGTAGGCGCCGCCATCGCAGTCCCCATCCGGACAGGCAACTTCATTCACGTCACCGAATTCCATAAGATTAGGACCGCCGTTACTATATGGCTGACATGTGAAGTGGCAGCCGATATTGTGATTACTGCAGTCCTTGTGTGGTACCTGTACGTCTTCTCTATTTCTCTCTCATTTATACGACCAGCTAATATCAAACCTTCAGTGTAAGCTTCTTGCAGGTGAATGCGACGCCGTGCGATCCTAACCACTATTTCTTTCTTCAGCGTGAACACAAGACCGGTTTCAAGCGCTCGGACATGATGGTCGACCGTATTATCCGAGGTATGCAAGTTACATCGTTGAATTAAAACTCACAGTTACTCATCCACTTTCAGTTACACTCCAAACTGGGCTCCTTACGATGGTGGTCGCCTCTGTTGACCTGTTCTTCTTCCTCGCTGATGTAAGCGCCCTCTGGTCCCCTCCCTTTCCCCACTCACGTCAGGCTCTGACCGTACTCCGGCGATCATAGCCAACAGGGACCCACTTCCTCCTCAACTTTCCCCTCGCCAAGCTCTATACCAACTCACTGATGAGCAGCCTCAACTCACGGCACGGATGGAAATACAACGACACGACATCTGAGGGGGTGGTCTCGGACAGCCAAGTCAACACGACGGGTGGCGTAAAGAATCGGATACATATGTCGAATATGAAGAAGACGGTATGTGGTCCGCTCTACTATCTTCGTAGAGAGTTTCGTTCAAGTATTCCGCTACGATATTCAGGACGTCATCGAGCCGAGCGTGATTCGCACTCACCCCGCCGAGGTGTTCGTGCATGTAGAACAACACGAGCTGCACGACGTCAAAGGGGGTGACAGGTTCGACGAGCCCCACACGCTCCATTCGCGGTCGTCCGTCGAGATCTCGGTTGAGGGAAAAAAGTGGGGAACGGACAAGGATATGTGGGCCTAATCAAGCTTTTGCTAGATATTTTATTGAGTAGAAGCTGTAGCGACTCGAAACCAATGTACTGCATGAGAGAATTGTAAAGAAGTGACAATACCCTGAACCGCGTTGGCTTTAATAGAGGTCTCCGAGTGTAACCTTAAAGAGTGAGGACGAGGTTCAGTGGGTTGTAACAGATATTTGCAGCCTTCTTACCCCAGGTCTTTACCAATAGCTCAGCTTCACGAGTGCCGGATCGAAACAGATCTCAAACCACCTCTCAACGTCCAGGAGAGTCATGATCCCACCACCTACAAAGCCAATCCGGCCGAAAATATGGTGGTCGCTGCTCTTATACCTGACAAAAGTTGCATCCTTCTCCTTCGTCTTGAGCAGCCTGTATTCGTCGATTGTGGCCGAAAACAGTCAGAACGGATGGGACCCTAATAGCTAACAGGGGCAAAATATCTTACTCATTACAGACCGCTCGGGCGAGACGACCGGAGGAGGAGGAGGAGGAGGAGGAGGAGGATTCATATCCCTTCCCACACCATTCCGGGTCAGTGTATACAGCTTAGTGAGTGTCGCAACTTTTTCGCTGCTCCTGGCGAATGCAGCAATAGTCACGATACGGGGTGGGTATATAGTACCGTGCGCACCGAAGATACACCTTCGTTTGTGTCGCCTTCTGAACACTGGGGGCCCGAGACTAGTCCAGCCAGCCGGCATGGAGCTCGCTGGCCTCTCGAGCGGTATATATAATCTTTCCTCGTCTTAGGGATCGCGGTCGCCTCTGGTCTAGAGTACGATGCGCAAGGCTGTTGTGCGTGTACTATTTAAGAAGAGGGTCGCTTCTATTGTACAGCTTATGTGGCTTGAAGAGGGGGAAGTATGGCAAGCGACCTTCCTCATTGAGCATCACCAGCTGACCGATTGGAGGAAATGGTATTGGGGCCCTAGGGCCTGTCGCCGGACCGGCGAAAGTATCATTTCAGCCAGTCTTAGAGAAAAGATGATGCCCACCAGAGGTTGGGGACGATGACAACTCCTCCCTAAGCTTCTCCTCCCTAAACTTCTTCGTTGAGCCCTCTTCCATCTCCAACGTCGTCTCAATCACCCTGAAAACATCCTCCTCTTCCATTCCCTGTGGCAGCGGACTCTGTACCTTTTCTGATAGCTTTGCCCTCAGCTTCTCGCGCATCGTCATCACCACCAGCGTCGCGTCCAATCCCAGTATCTCCGACTCCTTAAACGTGAGAGGGGTTGGGCGCGCACACAGCTCTGCGTAGAGCATGACAAGGTGCCGCGGGTCGACATTGTATTTTTGAAACAGCGCAATTTTGCGGACAGGTGACCAGTCCTTCTTGTGCAGCTCGTGTACAGCGAGCTCTTTGACTTCACGGAAACCCCACTTGTCGGCTAGGTTGAGGATGGAGGACCAGTCGTCGATGGAGGCTTCATAGATGCAATATCGCCTGAGTACCGGGTTGGTGATTTTGGCTGAATGAACAAGGGACAGAGAGACTACGCACGGATTATAAAACACCCAAAGGAATTTCGCGAACTCCTCCGGGGAGACATCATTCAACATGATAACACGCGGGTTTGTCTGGCTCTCCAACACATTGCCTGGCAATCTGAGCTTCTCGTTGAATACAGGGGATTCTCTCGAAAAAAAGTATCCATGGACCCGGAAGAGGGTTCTCTGGGCCTGATAATTAAACAATAGGGAACGGCGTTAGCAATAATATACTGGACGAAGACGAGAGGACCACTAGGGTACATACAACTAGCACATGCATGTCCCCGCCGTCCAGGTAGTATTCTTCGTGTCGACGGACAGTGTCGTATGGGCAAATTGAAGATTTCTTATCTTCTAGGAAGACAACACCTAAGGACAAGCTATCCATGAGTATGGGACAATTCAAGACATGCTCTCCGAATGCAAACCATCATCTTCATGCTTAATATGATGGCTCTCCAGCACCTGCCTGAGGGCATTTTCATCGCATGGAATGCCTCCATTTGAACCCTGTTGTGCCGCAATTAGTAGTATAATCAAGTATTCATGTAGTATTGACTCGGGGTCACTGACTTCATTGAAAATAGAAGACCAATTTGAATCATCACTGATGACAATCCTTGCATCGGGCACCTAGTATCTCAGACATCCGTTACTTAGAGTAAACTATGGTTGGGTACCATGTGACATACCGTTTTTAACACCAATTCATTAAGAATTTTGGATGGGTGGAAATCCTGAAAAACAGATGAGAAGGTCTGTTAGCGAGGCAGTAGTTTACAAAAAAAATGTGGCTTACAATACCTGCTGGGAGGTTCGACATTAAAACACCGCTGCTAGGGTCCAGGTTGCTGGTCTGCTGTGAGAAGTCGGAAGACAATGGTACTCGTCTACTGCCAGATTCCTGACGTGATTGTTGCGAATTACTCGTGCGTGAGGCAGGTGGGGCAGCTGAGTGATTCCTTCGAGAACCCTGCTGGTCATGACTACTGGCAGGTTTGTGCTGACTCCCAGACATAAGATGGGGTGTATCGAGTTCCTGGCAGAGTTTTAGCCACTCTTTCTCCCCAAGGATAGGATTGATCGTCCGCAAAAACAGGCATTGGTTTGCGTATTTTCCGTCTTCTGGAATCAAGATGTCCCCACGTCTCAATTCCTCGATCTCTTGTCTATCAGGGCCGGCTCGCACTTCTGCCAGGCCCGAATGTTCCCAGACGTACGTCGCGACAGGAAGATCAGAACGAGAGTCATCCTGTAAAGGTCTGAATTTAAGCTGGGAGTTCATTTCTTGTGTTGTATTGGTCGTCGCAGCGATGCCGTAGGATGTGGATTTATCGCAACCGATGATAATGCGGATGTCACCGTTTCTCGCATCGCGGCCGCAGGGACCGTTGACGAAGCGGTACCAGTTAATGAGGTTGGCTGCTACGTATCTTCGTATCCTCGCTACATTCTCGACGTCTTCAGATGTGGCACCATCTGGCATAACAAGCACTGCGGCTTCGGAAGCTGACGTTTTGAATGTCAATCCCCTGACGTTCAAAATTCAAGGTTAGTGGCTGGCGGGTGACGCACAGAGCGAGAAGTTCCACGTACACCTCTGAACCACACTCAGCCCTTTCGATAGAGGAACTGGCGAGATAACTTCCTGGTCTGAATTCGATAATTTTGGCTACATCTGTGGCCTGAAGAAAGGGCTCCAATGGAACGAACGCCTCAGGTAATAGAGAAGTATGTGTGGGGTCGACGTCGTTGAATACGTTGAAGAGTAAAGAGAAGCTGCCACGCGGAGTAATGATGCCGACATCACCAATCCTGACGCCCATGCGCCGACACTCTGTTGGCAAGTTTCGATGTGGCTCCGGAATCCACAAGGCAAATCCACGACCCTTCGGGGCGAGAAGCCGTGCATAAATTTCGCTACTCCTCTGATGTGTTGGAAAGGAGAAAGCCAAGCTGTCAACAGGAAAGCCATTGTGCTCGTCATACGAGCCTACCATGGGAACTTGACCCGGTTGGCAGCCGATTCTTCTAGATCTGTCCGTTGTGGTATCACCTACAACACCCCCCTCTATATATTCAAGCTCAACTGATCTGAAAGAAATAAAATGTGACCTGGTGTACTCACGATTTAAATTGACGGTAAGGGATGTATGGTGCCCTTGAATGGCACGGAGGTTGCTCCCAGTAACTTCGACGCCGCTCGAGGACGCGAAGAAACTCTGTCCACGAGGACTAGTCGATCTGGAGAGTTTTACTAGTAAGCTCACTGGTCGCATCTCCCAGGGATCAAGCAAACTGTATAGTTGGCCGGGGAGAGTCTTCGGGGTTCCTGCCGCCCCTTGGCCTCTCTGCGGCTCTGGAAGTAACATGCGGCGCCGCAACAGTAGTAGCAGGCATATCAGCTGGAGGATCGGATGTGCAGCTGATAGAATGCGCGGAGCGATTTGGCTAGGTGAAGGACTCAACTTAGGTCAAACGATATATATCAGTATGTGTCTTCGTAGGAGGCTGTTCATCGAAGGACGATATGTGACAAGCCCTCTTCTCCCGTGATCATATTCTGGTTCAGCCTGGCGGCTATGTACACAGCACGATAAGAAAAGGAACTCTACGTATACGTAGCCAAACACACATACCTACGGCCCGACGGCCTACTATTTACCGTGCCGGAACACCAGGCAAATTACACGGTTACGCTCATCACGACGAAGAGTGCAGCACAGGAGGGCAAACTTGGTCGAAGGCGTGACTGGGTCTTAGGCCCGGGCCCGCTGGAAGGAGAAGGTCCAGCCTGAGGTACGTCGGAGAAAAATTTGCACCATACGATGAATACCGGCGCGCAGGGTCACTTCAGGATGTGCATCTTGGCAGTGACTCAACGTGCTGTGCACGATAAGCGCTCAAGCGCTCATGCAGCAGGGGCAGCGGGCAGTGCAACATTGGACTAGGCACAGTGTGCCCAACTAGAGACGATGGGTAGTTCCATGATTCGACATGCAGAGTTCGAACTCCGAGCCGCCATCGTGCGACCCTACGCGGAGGATATGCCACACTGGCAAGGCGGCAGGTATATATGCACCTCTGGAATGTGCGCTATCCCGCAATGGAAGGATCGAAGAGGGGAAGAGAAATAGTAAACGACCGGAGATTGACGCTGAGGGCTGTGTGTAAATAATTAGGAAAAGGACAAGTTTTGCGCGAGAATCTTGGCCACGGAGGTTGGACAATTCTGTACCTGACGCTTGGGGTACGCCATTTCGGGCGCTTATGAATAGAACGCGACAGGACACAGCAAGAAAAGACAAGCGCTGAATTAATGGTAACGCCCGCAGGTATTACATACCAGCGACAAGTTTTCTTCACGGACACTGGACCAAGATGAAGCGCTTCAAATTCAAGGTATTTCACTGAAGCTTAAAGCACCCTCGGTCAGATTCCGAATGTCCGAAGGTGACTTCGGAAGGGCACATGTAGGCGTTATTTGGCCATCAGCCGCAGGCGGTTTGGGAGCAAGCCCTATTACGAGTGCCATCATACAGGATTGCGCATCCACAATGCAACAGATGGCGCCACTTTAGGTCCAACGACAAAGAAGCAAAGAAAAGCAAAGAAAAGAAAGAAAAGAAAGCCCGCACTGCGATCCATCCATCAACACCAATTTTTAAAGACTTCGTCATAACCTAGGGCGCACAGCGCCGGACCACCGACGAGTTCAGGCCTCCGGATTCAAGTTGCAGTACTCTCCATCGGCGCGAGTGGAAGAACCGGGTGTAGGTACAGGTGCCCAGGGCATCGAGGAGCTGAGGTGTACTAAAACCAGGGAAAGTGACGAGCAAGCACAGGATGTAAAGCCATACAACACCCGCCAGATGGTAACCACCACGTGCACATACGCTAGTAGTGGTCAGGGATCCGACGCGCGCAACAAGACCTCCGGGCGCTGCTCGTCGGGTTCGTGGATTGGCATCGGGGCACCATGAGAATGAGACTTGGGGAGTGCAATTGAGAAGAGAGAGAATTGGGATGCCAAAAGAGGGAGACGTGCCTGAGGGATGGAAAGGATGAATTGATAAAGCATCGATCAACAATCGATGTGCGTTGGGGGAGAAAAAGAAGTGAAGGGGTAAGAATCACGACGGTATTATGTCGAACATGAACGGACCTTGACTTGACCCATATGCCTGACCTTCCGCTGGTATTATGTTTAAGCTTCAGATGTGGCGAGACATATCGATTCCAGAGCCGAAGACATGTCAGGGAGGTGAGCAAGGGACAATGGAGACACATGCGCGACGAGGCCTATGCGTGTTCTTGCGTAGCCGTAGCCGTCTGGCTCTAGGAAATGACACAGTAGGAAATATAGAGATACCGAGAGACGAATACGTGACATACCTCATAATCATACATACTGCGGAGATAGGTGTTGTCCAAAGACGCCAGCACGGTCGAGGGGAAGGAGAGGAGGAGAGTGGTTAACTTTGTTATGACGCGTCGGACCGGTCCGATTCAGTCCGATTCCCACGCGAAACCAGATGACATCCCGGCCAAAATCCATCTACCGTGACGCTGGTGGGTCGAGGATAATTTTTTTTTTTTGCTTTTTAAGACGTTTCTGCCATTCTGTCAATTCATAAGTCGTTTCTACTACCATCAAGGCAATATTCCACCCATTATAATTACCAGCTTGCGAAGAAATTCAAATAATAACCCACCAGGTGAGCACAAATCAATGAGAAGAGAACTTGAATTGTACAGGCTACAGCTTCCCCCATCTAAGTCTACACAGTAATTCTTTTGAGGAACCCAACAGACGGATCGTGATGGTGACAGAATTTCGCTGGGCGCCTATTTTCATTCTGAGAGCCTCCAGCAGTCTTCCTTGTTGGAAAGTCTGAGGTAGGGTGGAAACACATGGGATGTACGCGATGAGTGTAGGCGGAGGACGACGCCTCAAGTGTCACGGAAGGGTTATAAATTAAGAGCTGGAACACAAGCAACGACAAGCGCCCAACGCCGTAACGCCCGCAGACTGTCCTCCACGTACGAGTTTTTGACGGACGCTGGACCAGAGAGCTCGAGTTTGAGCGGGCATGGTCTGTCTGGGTGTCCGAGAAAACGACGAGAGGGTGTGTGGGCGTTGGGCATTATATTATTGTCGATGTGAACTGGAATGACAAACTCGCTGAGCGTGGGTAGGAGGATAAGGGAAGGTGGGGAGGATAGACCACTGGCATGCACGCCGCATACGCACGGCAAATTTAATATGAAAGCCACCTCCTTGCCAAAATTAAAAAGAAACGGACGAACGGACGAAGAAGAAACTAAATTTGATAACAAAACAAAATCTGGACTCGTACCGTGTTAACCACCCATGCCTTGTGGTACTTGGCCCACTTGATAACCTGGGCCACACAGCGCTAATTCACGATCGTGAACAATTGCAAGTGCGAGCCAGGTTAGGGTCATCTCTGAGGGCATGGGTGGAGATGCAGGCACGGGTCAGTCATCATTGGTGCATGGGTGCGTACTTCATTCATAGCGCATCGAGACACTTTGGTGGGCCATAGCAGTATGCGGAGAAGGGGAGACGATAGGCGCGGTACGAGCCATCGAAGCATCCTTGTACACCCGATGAGCAAGCACCACAATCTGGTCAAAGAAGAACCCGCCAGGGGCCGACAACGCGAGTAGTGAGTCGGGATCCGGAGGCAGGGGTAGATTGAACGCCCGGGCGCTGCTCGTCGGGTTCGCGGATTGGCGTACGAGGAGGAGGCTGGGGGTTGGGGGTTGGGAAGAGGGAATTGAGATTGAGATTGAGATTGGGAAAGAGGGAGGCGCGCATGGTACGCGGGCAAGTGAGTAGAAGAAAGAAAGGTGGATGCGAGAAAGAAGGGACGAATCGATAAACCCTTGATCGATAATTGACTGGGGGGTGGGATAAAGAACGTGTTTGTGGGTACTCACTCGCGTTCGATACCCATCCTTTGCGGTACGCAGTCCTGGAAAGCAGAAAGCCTCATTGAATCCTTGGACTTCGATTCACAACCGATAGGAATTATGATAAAAATGCCCCACGCTTTATTTTTCTCTCCGACTTTTTTGTTGAATACTTGGTAAGCACTAGACATGTCCAATTAAACTTATCACGGTGTCGACATGACGCAGACGCGAAGTTGCAGTGCGTAGTGTAACTTCAAACTTGATGAAAGATGATCGATCAGTTACATACAGCGACTGTCTTGAAGTTTATGTTCTGACCGTTATCACTTATCAGTGATACTCACCTGATACAACTACAAGTACCTGTCGGGAAGTTAGATGAGGGCAGGTTTGAGGTGGACAGGAATAAAATGGATAAGTCCAGTGTCCAGTTACTTGTTGGAGTGATAGTCACGGTGGTGGTGATAGGTACAAATACCAGAATAAGTAGATTACAGGTGCGCCAGTGCGCTGAATGGAGTATGCTTACTTTATGTCAGTGGGTTTCGCGGGTGCTTCGCTGAAGTGAAGCGACAGTCACAGTGAGGCATAAACTTAACGTACAGCGCTCGCTTCATAACGCCCAGAGCCCAGCATTCAGCGTTCAACGTTCAGTGTTCAAACTCGAACTTTCCTTGCCGTTTAGTTGATATCCATGAAAACAATCAGGCCCATGATCTCATCGCATCACCGTGCCTGGCATCACGGCGAACTGACAAGAAAGTCCCGACTTACCATATGCGGTGAGGATATGTGCGAGCAGCGTTGATTGGGTGTTGGGGCGCGGACCAGAATACTTACTAAGTACTTACTGAGCCCTACTCAAGCATGAGGAACGGGGATCACGGTGAGGGTAGACGGTGCGCCTGCGACGGACCCGGGGGATGTGTACTCAGTGCACTGGGGGCAGACGGCGTAGCGCGCGCCGAGCTGAGTATTTGGGGATCGGAGAGCGGACTCAGACTCAGGCACGGTGAGTGGTGTTTAACGTTCTATTTATTTATAGAGAACTTAACGGCGGCGTTAGGAGGAGGGGGAGGAAAGATAAGTTAATCGATCGATTATCCATGAAGCGAAGTATGTACTGGTACTTATGTCCACCGTCAAACGGATCCGGACCTTTATGCTTGTCCTTGCCTTGCACTTGACTCCAGAGTTATGGTTAGAGTCAGACATGCCAAAACATGTCGGTTCAGGCAAGGCACACCACCCCTGCCCCTGATATCATGTACTGAGTCGACGGACGGTAGTAGGTACAACGAGGCTTCCGCGTGTCCTCCTCGCCTTCGTTCGTTCTTTCGTTTGTTCGTTCGTTGCATGCATGAGCCGTAGTGCGAACAGGAGCATAATGAGTTTATATATGTGATTAGGAGCGAGGATCGAAATATGTAGCTCTCGAGAGGCTTATTTGTAGAGTATAATGCGCTGAGTGGTCTACAGACGAGACAGACGCGAGGAGACGGCAGGGCAGGGCAGGGCAGGGCAAGGCAAGGCAAGGCAAGGCAAGGCAAGGCAAGGGTGCGAGCTTACTTAGAGTTACGATTGAAGGAAGGGTACGAGGTGCCTGTAAGCTGTGCACTGTCGCATTGTGAGGTGTTGGGACGAAGGGAGGTACGCAGCGGCACAGTGGATGGGAACGATCAGATTCGAGTTCGAATTCGTTGTGGGCGACGAGTTGATCGAAGGAGGGCCCACGGTGAGAGGTTTACATTTATTTTCTTTCGGAGGGTGATTCCTGGCGAGGGACGAAGAGGACTTGTTGAGAAGAAGCGCTGCGAAAGAGGATTCGAACACGGACTGCCAGGCTTCCTGAATCCTTTGTGCACTCTTTACTCACCCGCGTAGCCGTAGCCCGAGTACGCATAATGGATCCAAGCGCAGGGATCGACGCAAATAGCTCTCGCCTAATCCGTGACTGAGTCTACTCTACGAGATGAACTCGAGGAGACGGCACGGAGATGGGGCAAGGGAGGTGCCTGTAAGCTGTGCACTGTGAGGTGTTGGCACATACGAAGGGAGGTTATACGCACAGTTGTGCACAGTGGATGGGAACGATCAGATTCGAATTCGTTGTGGACTACGTAGTTGACTTTTGGAGGGTGATTTCTGGCGAAGAGGACTTGTTGAGAAGTACCGCAACGGACATCACCTGGACCCTGCACAACGGGTGGTTGTTATTAATTGTGGGCAGACCAAGTCGTCATTGGATGCATACATAGAAAGAGAGGAGGGTGCCTGAACGATCAGACAGGCAGTGAAAGGAGAGTGAAAGTGGATGTGAAACGGACGCGGAGGTATATTAAGAATGCGCAGCGACTCTCATCACCATCCATCCATCCATACCTTTCGTTCCGGAATAGAGAGCGATGAGCAGCTTGAGAACCAGGATCCGATAACGGCCTACCGTTACGGAAATAGGGCGGCCCACCCCACTTACGCGGAGCGGGGCTCGAGGCGAGGTGGGCTTGGGACTTCCTTTTCATTATGTGTGGGATCTTCGACGACCTCGACACGAGACACGAGACGCGAGATGCGTACTGGAATCTGGGACGAGAAAGGAGAGATGGGACGTACTTAGATACCGATGCACGACGCAGGAGGCAGGCAGGCTCGTGGCAGAGAATTCAATTCATCAGATAAATTCGTATTCAGCGCAGCGGTTCCTGGTTTCAATCGTCTCGCGGGGCTTGGTTTCTTGGGCCTGGCTCAATGAACGCAGTCAAAACGTGAAAGGCTTGAAGCTGGGCGTGTCTGTATCACGATGGAATTTGGACCTGAAGGGGCTTGGGGGTTTCCGCGTCTGTCTGTCCGTCTGGAGTTGGCGTTCCTGTGGCTTGAAGTGTGCTGGCAGCGGTCCACAGACGTCCTCCGACTCGGCGATGGCTACGAGAGACGGAGCAGGGTGCGGGCAGGGGAGACGGACGGCCGGGGAAAAGGCCAGGCCCGAAAAAGTACAGGGACGTAATTATTACGTAAGCTGTCGAGGCACCGTTGGTTGTGCGGCTGGTGACGGACGCTGGGAAAAGTGGGTTGGGTTGGGGGTTCTGGGCTGGGGAGCTGGGGAGAGGGCGGGGAGGTGTCGGGGTGAATCGATGTCTGTTGGAAGGGAGGGGGCAGAAGGAGTCTGGGATTGGGAAGGGGGGAACGGGTACATTTTCCAGGCACGGACGCAGGTGGCAGGAGTGGATTGATGGGGAGACTGATCAGGGTGTGCCTGGCTGCATCTCTTTCCCAACCAATCTCCCCCTCTCACCACTACGAATCTCTCCCTCCCTCCCTTCCCTTCCTTTTTACCTCCCGTCCCGTCCCCTCCCCACCGTCTGCCACACGCACACACTACCACCCACCACCACACCACCGGATAAGAGAGAGTGACAGCAATGCAAGGGCGCCCTCCGTCCTCCCGCTCCCACTCCCGACCCACCACCTCCGCCCGCCCCCTCACCGCAAGGGACAGGGACTACGCCAGCAACAACCCCATGGGCCACCCCCCAGCACCGTATGAGATTGAGGAGGAGTATGATGATGAGAGCGAGGATGAGGATGTGTTCGCCTTTCTGCCCCCGACCACCGCCGACCAGGAGCAGCAGCGGGCCCAACAACTAGCCCAACAACAGCAGCAGGCGACGACGTCTCCGTACGCATTGGGCGGGGCGGGGACGGTGGCTGCTGCCGCTGCGTCCCTCCAGGCGCAGTACTATCCCCAACATCAGCAGTCCCCGTTCTCACATTCGCCGTTCGCGCACGAGCCAGCCCATCCCTCGCACCACCATCCCAGCCAACCACCGAGCCACTTCCAGACGAACAACCCCTACGCCGCACCGCAGTACCCCGACCCGACGTTCGATCCGTGGGGGCGGTACGGGGGCGTGGGTGCGCCAGCGACGCCGGCCTCAGCACCCGGGGTGAACTCCCCTGCACAGCCTGATGCCTCCCCTGCCCTCCCCTCTGCCATCGCCGCCCCTCCCTCCATCGCTCCCGCCAACGCTCCCACCCCGGCGCCCGCCGACGACAATGATAACACAAGTAACATCAACAGCAACAACCCTTACTTCGCCCTCGCAGCCTCCTTCCCCTTGTCAGCCGCCGCCGCCCCTCAGTCCCCCGGCCGGCAAGCGATCGTCAGCCCGTCCGCCGCTGGCCCAGGAGGGTCAACCAACTACTCCCATCCTACCTCGCTTTCCCACACCCATTCGCATTCAAACTCGCAACCACGCTCGCTCCAGCCAAACGGGCTTCCACCCCCCTCGCCCAGCACCGACTCGCAGCCGAGCACCGGGTACGGATACCCCCACTCGCACTCGCACTCGGCCTCGATGGCGCAGGATAACTTCAAGCTTCGGAGGCTTGGCACTGGTACGGGTGTTAGTGCATCTGAGCGGTGTTCCGGGGATCGAGATAGGGAAAGGGCGGCGGGCGTTGGTGTTGGAGGTGTGGTAGAGGAAGCCGAAGCCGAGGGCGGCGAGGAGAAGCGCAGGAAGGAGGTTCGCCCCGTCCGCGTCAACCTACCGGCTCTTACCAGCACTGGTGCAGAGGTGAAGGAGAGGAGACGTACGAGCAACGGCGCTTCATCTGGAGGTGTAGATCCAGATGCGGAGGAGAGCGACACCGCCGCCTCGGAGAAGGACGTCCAGCTGACGAAGGACCTCGAAGGCGGAGATGGCGGTCGGTCGCCCGTCTCGCTCGTTTCTGCTGTCTCCGCTGTCGAACCCACTCTTAACGAGCCGACTTTGAACGAACACGATCAGGCGAACCCCCTTTCTCAGAGTCCAACTGCGCAAGGAGGAGGAGGGGGGAAGAAGAAGTCGAAGAAGAGGTCGAAGAGGGGTTCGGGCATGGGCACTCCGGGCACTGGGGGTGCGAGTAATACCACAGGAAATGGGGCAAACGGGTCAAGGACACCGAGGAGGCGCAACCCCAACGCCCAGCCGTACTATGCGTACGCGGCGTATGCGAGTGCGTATGGGTACCCGACGAGGGGAGGTGAGTCCGGTTCCTTATGCTTTTTTTCTCTTGGTCCCCTTCATTTCTGTTCTGAACGCCCAATCTATTGTTGACTAACTGTGTACTTATACTCGGTACAGGAACGTCCACATCAACACACCGACCCGCCTCTGCACACTCACCGTCCGCCCCACCCACCTTCGCTTCCCATACCCACTCCCACTCGCATGCAGCGCCCCCCACCTCCGCCTCCCACCTAACAGCGAACTACCCCCCACCCACTCCCGACGGGGTCTCCCATCACCACCCTTACAACGCCAACGCCAACACCAATAATGTTAATAGGTCCGGGTCGTACATCGGCGCTGGAGCGGGGAAGCGCGTCGATTCGGCTTCTTTGGCTGATTCGTTGTCTTTGGAGGAGCGCTATGCATACGGGTACGGCGAAGACGGGTACGCAACAGGAGGGGGGAGGTACACAGACGATAATGATCCGTATGATGGGCGCTACGGGGAGCGGTACGGGTATGGGTATGGAGGCGATCGAGTATCGTATCGCGGAAGGAGGGGAGACGAGGAGGAGGGTGGGGGCGAGGGAGAGGGAGAGGGGAGCGAGGAGGGGAGTGATGAGGGGAGTATTAAGTGAGTGGTGTTTTTTCTTTGGGTTTTCGTTGGATTTCTTTCTGCCTTTTTTCGATTTTCTTTCGATTTTTTCCCCTTTATTCTTTCGATTTTCTCTCCCTTTATCCTTGCATTTTTTTCATTTTCATTTTCCTTTTTCTTTTTCCTCTCATTTCTCAATTTCCGTGATACTCATCTGCCTGTGCGGTCGCCACGCCACGCCATCCTTCTTTTCCTTCCTTGCTGGCACTAGCACTGGCACTGGCACTGGCAAGCATCACCGGCCTTCTTCGTGGGGTTGCCTGATGCCTGATGTTTACCTGTTGCATTGACATGGCCTTGACACTGGCACGCATCTTCTCCTGCGCATGCCGAGTTCTCAGTGGTTGGATTGATGGACGTCCATCCGTTGAGCGGTGACCGATGGGCGTTCGCTGTCTGTCGGTTGGTTGGCTTGGACCGTTGGACGTTAGACCGTTGGACATCACTAGGTGAAGAGCCGCTCTGCGTGCGCTGCAGCTTAGTCTTGGACGTACTTCGGTCGGTCAGGCTTGGACTTTGGTTTGGGCTTGGGCTTGGGGTAGGGGTGTTCTGGCTTGGGCTGTTCTGGCAGGGTTTATTTTTGGGACATCGGCGCTGCCTGCCACTCAGAAGGCGATGGAGAAGGAGTTGTCGGGTGCTGGTTGCTCTCTTCGGGTCTGTTCTTGGTTTAGGTTTAGGAGATGGACTTGGGAGATGGGAGATGGGGGTGATAAGCCCCGCTCTTCGTGTTATTTTGGATCTCTTGCTTATCGCTGGTCTTCCGTCTTTCTTTCTTTTTTTCCGTTCGGTTCTTCCTGGCGTTCTATTCTCTTTCTCTTTCCTTCACGTTTACCTTTCGTTTGTTTTTGACTTCTTCCTCTCACTTCGTTTCTGCTCATCTGCACTTCGCTGGTTCGATTTTTATTTTTGGTCCTGTGCGTGGGAGGTGCACGGGATGGAATGGGCGTCCTTGGGGCTCGAGGGGCTCCTCCTGCCCTCGACCTGCGGCTTCGCGCTGGACTTGCTCTACTTTGGCCTGACTGCGCGATAACGAGCGGCCCGCCCTTCCCCGTTCTCCGCGCCCACGTTTGTCGACCTCGGCGTCAACTAGCGTGATTTCTTTCAATTATCTTCTTCCATCTTCCTTCCGTCTGTCTTCTTTCTGTTTGTTTCTTTCGGCGGGCTTCTTTGCTTCTTTTGCTTTTGGCACCGTCGGGTGGACAGACACCCCTGTGCCCTGTGCCCTGTGCGCGTGGACTCTTTCCCTGGCGTGTTATCGTGCCCGTGCGTGCGAGCAATGGGTTTGGCACCGAGGCGAGGTGGGGGCGCTGTTGGGCGTGCTGTTCGCGTTGTTCGGGCTCGGTGTGGGTCGAAGCGCGATGCTCGGCCGCGGAGTCCCATCGCGCACGCCGAACGGACATCCGTCCGCACGACGTGTTAGCGTTGGCATCTCGAGAGGTAGAGCAGTAGGTGGAGTTGGATTAGGGTGGAGATGAAGGCGAAGGCGGATCTGGACCCAGCGCAGATTGGATGGCAAGCAGGGGGAGATTGGGGTATCATTTGATTTCGAGGTTGTTGGATGGACGTTTGGCGTATGGCACTCCAGGCTCCATCCAAGACGGATTCGCGTTGGGTGATGGTGTTCGCAGGGGGATTTGCAGGGCAACAGATTCGCTCGTTGGACTTGAATCTGGGCTCTTGGGTTTCCCCTTCTTGCCTTTCTTCGTTCTTTTTTGCCTTTATTTTATTTGTTTTCTCTTCGTCTTTTCTTTCTTGCTGGGCATTGTTCCCTCTTCAGCACTTCCGCTCTTGCCCCTATCTCTTTTTCTTCCTTCCTTCCTCTCTTTCCATGCAAGACCTGGCGGCTAGCGGCTGTCGGCCGAAACACACTGTCTGCCCTTCCATTCATTAATCGGGCAACCCGCCTTCCGCTTTCGGCTTCCTTTGCCTTTTCTTCCCCTTCACGTCTATCCTGTCGCGTGTCTGTTCCTCTCCTGGTGCCTTCTCGCGACGCCGGATGATGACCTAAGCCATCTCGAGGGCATCTTCACGTCCTTTGGGCTGCGCAGGGCGAATCCCGCGAGGTTCGATGTCGCGTGGTTTTTACGTGCAGAAGCGAAGGAGGGGTGCGAAGGCGAGAAGGGCAGCATGGCTGGCGGGAGGGTCCAGTGGCAGGGTGGCAGACGGGCGAGGCGGATGTCGCAGGTGCTGTTGTGGTTGCTGTGTCTTCTGTCTGTTTCTTCGCGGTTCTGAGGCGCAAGCGGGGCGTACTTAGGCGTTTCGTTTCTTCGTTTTTCTCTTTCTTCCTTCTCGCTATTTTTCCTTGATTTCTACTCCCTTCTTTCGTCTCTTTTTCCCAACCATGCCGTCCTCCACTTCCACCTGTTCCAAATCCCAATCCAAACACCCGATGGCTCTGACGCTGACTCGTTCTCTCTCTCCTTCCCTCTCTAGAATGGAGTTCGACTTTGACGCGATCGAGGAAGAGGACTCGCCGTTCCCTGAAGTGCGTGCGTCGGTGTCGAATATTGACGACCCGGACATGCCTGCGATGACGATACGCATGTGGTTCGTCGGGCTGTTGCTTTGTATGACGAGCAGGTACGAGCGTTGCAGAGAGTGTCTGAAGAAAAGAGAAGCTGACTAGGGGATTGTGTCCAGTGCCCTCAATGTGTTCTTCAACTTCCGGTCTCCAGCACCAACAGTCATCCCACTCGTCCTTCTCCTTATCTCCTACCCATTCGGCAAGTTCCTCGCCTTCACCCTACCCATCACCATCTACCGCATACCTCTACCCCACCTCCCACGCGGGATGTTTCCCGTGCACCAACCCACCTTCGCCCCATTCCGACTCATCGTCAACCTCCTGCTGCCCCTTACCTACTCCCGCGCGCTCGAGTTCTCCCTCAACCCCGGGCCGTGGAACATCAAAGAGCACGTCCTGGTGTACATCATGGCCAACGTCGCCGTCGGCAACCCGTACGCGCTCAACGCGATCGTCGTCTCGGAGATCTTTTACGACATCGTCCTGGGCTACTGGTTCTCGCTCACGCTGGTGCTGGCGACGCAGCTGACAGGCTTCGGGCTCGCGGGGCTGTGTCGCAGGTTCTTGGTCTGGCCGGCGAGCATGGTGTGGCCCCAGAATCTGGTGGCGTGCACGCTGTTGAACACGCTGCATGCGGAGGACGAGGATGATGGGATTGGGATGTATGGTGGGACGGCGGAGCATGGCGCGAAAGGCATGTCGAGGTATAGATTCTTCGTGATATGTACTTGTGCGAGCTTCTTCTGGTTCTTCCTGCCTGGTGAGTTTTGCTCTTGCATTTCTCAAAATATGCTTGTCTGATGACTGTGCGCAGGATACCTCTTCTCAGCACTCTCGGTGTTCTCGTTCATCTGCTGGGCTGCACCGACCAACGTACCCGTCAATCAGCTCTTTGGTGTCCGCACGGGTTTGGGCATGAGCGTCCTTACCTTCGACTGGTCGCAGATCACTTGGATCGGGTCTCCGCTGATGGGTGAGTCTCTTTTTCACCTTTTCTTCTCTTCCTTTTTCCCTAGCCCTCGCTATGCTGCCCTGGCTTTTCGCTCTTTTGGCTAGCCTCACCCGCAGCTCCGAAAGCTACGCAGTAGCGTGGCAGGTTAGATGGGTGATGGCACTATGATAAGCTCTGGCTTTAGCGCTTTAGCTGTTCCTTGGGGTTTTTGGGGCGATCGATGGATGGTTAGGCTGTGATCGCCGGGTCCAGGAACGGGCGGAGTAGTAGCGTGGAGTGGGCGATCGTGAACGATCGACCGGTGTTCATGGTTGTTGCGCGCCGCCAATATTTTTGTTCCCTACTATCTTGGTTGGAGCTTAGTGCTGACTTATGCTTGTTTTCCTAGTACCATGGTGGGCCGAGGTCCATATTTTCTTCGGCTTCGTGCTGTTTTACTGGATCTTGGTCCCGATCTTGTACTACACAAACGTATGTTTTTCTCCTCTTTGTGTTCAGCAAGTGCTCGTCAATGACATTCTTTCTTGTCCCACAGTCGTGGCAGCTCGCCTACTTCCCAATTTCCGCGAACGAGCCCTTCGATCGTTTCGGACAGTCCTATAATATCACTCGTGTTCTGAAGCCAGACGACCGGTTCGACCCAGAGGCCTACCACGCCTACTCCCCGCTCTACCTGCCCGCAACCTACGCCATGACCTACCTCCTTGCTTTTGCCCTATCCACCTGCGTCATCGTCCACACCCTGCTCTACCACGGTCGCACACTGATCAACGGCCTCAAGCGTATCCGGATAGAGGCGGACGACATCCATGCGAAGCTCATGAGGAACTACCCTGAGGTGCCTGATTGGTGGTATGCGATCGGGTTCTGCGTGTTCTTCTCGCTGGCGATTATCGCTGTGGAGGTGTGGGATACGGGTGTACCGGTTTATGCGCTACTCCTGGCGGTTTTGTTGCCGGTGATTTATATCTTGCCATCTGGGTTCATTTATGCGATGACGGGCCAGGGTGTAAGTTCTTTGCTACGAGGCTTTCTGGAGGCCAGGTACTGACATTGTTCTAGATTACGCTCAATCTGCTAGCGCAAATCATTCCTGGTACGCTGCTACCTGGGCAGCCGCTCGCCAACATGGTCTTCAAGGCGTACGCGGTGCAAACGCTATCAGCTGCGACGTCTTTCGTACAGGATTTGAAACTCGGTCACTATGTCAAGGTTCCGCCACGGGCGACATTCCTAGGTGCGTCTTATTTTTCACAGAAGAGGGCGGATCGCTCATGTAATCTACAGTCCAAATGGTTGCTACCGCCCTGGCGGCCTTCGTTCAAGTTGGTGTGAAGCAGTGGATATTTGACAACGTTCCGGACATCTGCCAAAGGGACCAGCCGTCGTCGCTGACCTGCCCGCATAACCAAGTGTTCTTCACGGCCTCCGCTGTTTGGTATGTCTCTTTGAACCTGTATCCTGGCGACAACCTACTTATTTCTCTTTGAAGGGGTCTCATCGGTCCGACAAGACAGTTCGGGACTGGGTCTCTGTACCATCCCCATCTATACGCTATCGTGGTCGGCACCGTCTTGCCAGTTCCATTCTTCCTCTACCAACGGAAATACCCCAAGTCGTGGGTGCGCTACGTGTCAACGCCGGTCATCTTGAACGGCGTGTCGTCCATTCCACCTGCAACGGGTATCAATTACTCCTCATGGTTCGCCGTGGGCTTCGTCTTCCAGTACCTCATCCGCAAACGCAACTTCGCATGGTGGTCCAAGTTCAACTATGTCTTGAGCTCAGCGCTGGACAGTGGAACGGTGATCAGCGTGATCGTCATCTTCTTCACCCTGCAGTTCCCGAAAGGCATTCCGGAACTGAACTGGTGGGGGAATTCGGTGTATGTGAACACAGCGGACTATCAACGGACACCGCTAAAGTCAATACCGGAGGGTGGGCTGCCGTGGAGTGCACTGGTGATACCAACGGCTACGTCACTACCACCTCTGCCGTCATGACGAGGCGGTGGGATGGGTTAGATTTTTTTTTCTTGGACTTTAGATTTGCTTTGCTTCATCCTCTTATCTCTCCTTGCGCCAGACTACGAACAGTCGCTCCACCATCCCCTCCACATCCACCTCCGACCGCGTGCCTGTTCGAAACAAAACAAAAAGAATTGGCCTTGTAACAATCTATCGAATCTATCCTATTCTCGCGTACGCGCCTCCATTATATGTTCGGCCCCGATAAACGCTGTATGCAAGCCATCCCGACCCTCCCTCCGCATTTCCTCGTATCCCCATCTAGACTGGCAACTGGACGTTGCTACCAACCGTACCCATGAGCATCCGATTGCCATACCGCCCAATATTGGTTTGGCTGGACGCGCGACGACCCATATGACCCACGGTGTTCGTCCCACCTGGTCCTCGTCTCTGCATTGCAGGTCCATCGCCAGCATCCGTCCAGTTATATATCCCCACTTCGAATACCTTCAACCCGATACCTTCACCGCTACATACCATTTCACACACCTTGCATATCTCGAACGCTTCCTGCCATTATCACCCCAGCCCTCGTATATTCTTGCCAGTGTAGTATATAGTCCGACTGTCTGTCCTACCTTTATCTAAGTACGACCTACCTACGTATACAACCCTCCTTACCTCCCTTCCCTTATACTCTTCGATTTTTTTGGATTAGTGTCTTATTTTTGTGCACTGGGCTCCTTGTGTCTTTCTCCACTCCTCTCTGGTACCAAACAGAAAGCTTCTCCTGATAGTGGAGAACACGATTTGTTAGTAACAAGTAGTAGATATATGTGAATCTAAATTCCCTTTCCTCATCAGGTGCAGATCATTTTGTGTGGCGCAAAGAAGCATTTTCTAACTGATGGGCCCTTGAGTGGACCGCTCGGCGGCCTAGAGCGCGGGTCGTATATAGGATTTCCGCGCGATACACGGGCCCCTTTAGAGACCAGAGGAGACTAGGATACCTGAACGCAATTTCGGATTTCTCAATTCGCGTCCCATCGCGTTTCGTCCGCTTTCTCTTGGTATCGGTTTGATTGCTGATCCGAGTAAATCGGTAGGGCACTAACATATCGCCGGTCGATGTCGAAACACCACTATGTACAGTATGTACGAAGAATTTAGGACGGCCTCGTGCGCGTATGTACTCTCTTCAAACATGAATTTATTATACTCGATGGACATGAGCGGCTTATTTGACCTCGGTTCAGGCTAGCCTCACGCATCAGCCGATGACGAGCTTCGGGCCTCGGCAACCACAAATGATATCATTCCTCGGGCGCGCTTATGTAGCGGCAAGGCTGAAATCGATTTTTCAACTTTTCTTCCATACATGCATGGGGATTAACGAAACCAGCATCCACAGACCATTTCTTCCTGGACGCCAGTGGATGACTACTGAGTTTGAAGGGACAATGAACAGGCGGGAAATTAATTGGTACCCTGAGTCTGTCATCCACTGGTCAAACCGCATACTTCCCGCTGATTATTCAACTTTAGCTCGAGGTACAAATTGTTTCATGCCGACAGAAGGCCGCACCCAAGGAGAAACCGTAAAGGCATTCAAGGGAGACCGCAGCTGCTTCCTCCAAGTACTCCGGTGTTCAAGGCAGTACTCCATTTCTTGTTATCTAATAAGCAAAGTGTTTACATCCTTGTCCACGATTTCATTTCGACCTACAGTGTAAAGTAACGTTAGGTGGCTCCGGCTCGAACAAGATGGCCACGCCCTCGAAGCAATATGCTTTCTCTAAATTGAAAGGGAGATGAATGCCGTGGTAGGCTTTGATCTGGAATTTGCGCATGCGCCTCGCGCCGAGCTTTCAAAAGTGCTGCATAAGACTTAAGTGGTCGAGATCGTCCACAATCATGGAGAAATAATGGTATGGTCCAGGATGACGCATCGTGGACTCTCTGGACGAGGGCGTGGCACTCGGGACTAGTGCTTGGTTACGCCGATAAATTAGATAACAGGCGCCGGGACTGATCGAGAGCCAAATCACAGAAATATATCCCTGTCCTCGAGGCGTTTCAGGCATAGCACATGTACCTCGAATAGCTTGTGGGTTTTCCTTTCATCCAGCAGAAATCGGCGCAGGCTGTCCGTGGAAGCTCATATTGGAACACAGACCGAAGACGCATGTCCGGGAACTTTCGATAGCTCATATAACACCGCAAGCAAGACGTTACTAACGGTCTTTTAATTGGGTCGTTTGAATAAAAACAGATAACGTGCCCCACAATGATATTCTCCGAGAGGAACTTTGGCTCCGAAGAGACCTCCGTAGTATCGCACACAACGCGTCCAGGACGGTCAAGACTCCGTCGTTCCGTCATTCGGGAGTTACGAACGGTTCGAAACTGCAAGTGGAGCACGTTACTGCGTTTCTAGGCGCTTCAATTCAGTCTCCCCAAGCTTGAAGATTCCTCAAAAAGGCATGTTTCTTTTGTCTTTAGGCTGCACCTTCTGAACGTTTTCAGGGTCGTATGTATTCAAAGCCGGCTCAGGGAAAAGAACACGAAATTTGCTTTGACGCCTGGACTGACGTCGGAGCCAGAATAAAGGCTGGAGAAGGTCAGGATCGATTTTAATCTTTAATTTAGCTTCGCGAACCGCAGTGCGCTCGGGGATAATCGAAGGCAACTTGGGGGACGTTTCAGTATATATAAGCCAGAAGACCGGAGCCCCTACCGCCCACTCCTGCAACCCCTTCCCTTCTACCGACCTTGACCATGCTCGGACACAAGTACAAGGTGAGTCTCTACCTCACTGGAAATAGCGTATGACTTACGATGGGTTCTGAAGACTGGCTCCCTTATTCGTCTGAATACCAAAGGCGCCGAGCATTTGAAGAAGATCTTTGGGAGCGTCTCTGGTGCATACCAGCCTTGGGTTATCACAGCGGAAACATTCTCAACGGTCTGTGTTCTATTTTCCGCCTGACTAGAGGGAGTATCTCAATATTGTTGAGACAGATCTTCCCAACATACACGATCCAGAGCATGTCGGGCACGCAATATCAGGGAATAAAGGAGGACTATCTCGAGGCGTAAGTGCTTGAAGTTCTTCCTAGTGCGGTTTCGCTAAATGTTTTGGCATCCAATATAGAGCAACAGACTAGGGGATAAGGTGATTCATGCGACATTACCAGCACTTTTACGCTATGCATGAAGAACGGTTGAGGGTCCAATGGAGCGATCGGGGAGCGTCTCCTCTGTGGCAAAGCTGCTAATTATTTTCAATTAATTGTACCAATATAGTTTGCACATAGAATAGGCATTACACACCTCTAATTTGACGAATAATTGCGAGAGTTCATGGAACGTGCGTGATGGCGGAAAGCAACTTGAGCAGCGTTCAACTAATTTCGGTGGTGCGTGTCACGATCACGGTGACAGTCACGTCGTTTGCCACCAACTGCTGAACGCGTTTTCCCTTTGCCTACATCCACCAGCCACCATGGTACGTTCTCGTGTCTATCGTCGTGAAATTTCGAGCACTTATGCTTGATAGTTACCACTGTCGCTACTGACAGCCGCCCAAAACAAACCCATGGTGCGCCATCTCTGCACCATCGCCATCCACGGACAACATCACAATGCCTGACCCAGCTTCTTTCTACCTAGTTGGTCGAGCTGAAGAACGGAGAGACCCTGAACGGCCACCTGGTCAATTGCGACAACTTTATGAACATTACTCTCCGAGAAGTTTATCAGACCAACCCAGATGGCGATCGCTTCTGGAAACTGAAGGAATGTTACATTCGGGGAAGCACAGTGAGTGTCGAGGTCTCTTGTCTCGATATCTGTGCTAAATCACGGATTTTACAGATTAAGTACTTGCGCGTACCTGACAGTCTACTAGATATCGTGAAGGAGGAGCAAAATAGAGCCCGTGACGCGAATCGTAGTGCCAGAGGAGGTCATATGGGAGGCAAGTCGTGTGGTCTTCGTTCTCTTCTCACTGATAACGTCTATACATTAGGGAGGGGAGCTCCGAGAGGTATGTGCTTGATTGTGTCTCGCCGATTTCCTTCTTTCGTGACACCCTTGTCTTATAGCCCGTGGGGGACGTGGAGCGCCAATGCGGGGAGGAAGAGGTCGTGGACGAGGAGCATGATGAGCAAGTAGAAGTGCTTCGCCCCTATAGTGTCTCTTTTTTCTCGCTTGTATTGAGGATTATTGCCCACGCTAAGTATTGTATCCTTTATCCTGTGGTTATACCCTATCAGCTGAAGCGCTTTCCTGAGCCATCTCTTCCTTTTCGATGACTGCGCAATATTTCTTCTAGCTGGATGAAGTCTGGCTTCTCGGCTTTCGCGGCTCCTCGTAATCGCCAAAGTTCACGATCGAGGGACAACTAGCAGATACCCGTGCGGCTGCACGGTGAAATCCGTAGATAATTTATAATTACTTCTTTGGTGTAGCCATGAAATTGGTTGACCCTTCAGGCTAGGCCAGTTGTCGTTGTTGTACTTAATCAAAGCGAACTCCCTTTCGCTTTGCGGGGGTAGTGGAGGCTGATTTCACACGTCAGGAGGTAATCTACGGGGAGACTGAAGGAAGGAGCGCCTCTGAACACCTGAGCACGCAAAAGGCCTCATGCTCTCCCACAGATTGTACACCATTGCCTTTGGTACCTTCGGTAACTTCCTCTAGTTGAAAAGTTAGCCAAAGAATATCAAGAAAAGAGGGGCTAACAACTTCGTACCCCTATTTTGGTGCAATTCTTCGTGGACAAACTCGACCATGTCCTCACCCTCTGAATCTGCAATCTCATCATCTGCATTCATAAGATGGGTTTACAACATAAGACACAAAGAAAACCCAAATTCTCACCTGAACGCCTGAGTGCATCATCTACTGCCTGCCGAGGAGTCACTTCCTGCTCTGGCACTCGTCGATTTTGTTGATTAGGGGCTCCTGAAACATTTGGTTGGTATCATGCACCTGCCGGCTGTAGCATCTATACTTACCCCGAGTGCGAGGCGCAGGTTGGGAGGGGTTGGAAGAGTTGAAGCTGTAGAGATCCACATTCGTCGAGGTCATGATGATCGGCCAGGTGTTGCAGAGTGTTCGCGCTCCTGACATTGTTGTGCAGCCAGTGATCTTCTACTGGGAGGTAGTCGTACCTCTCCATGGATCCTCATATGGACGTGTGGGCGATCAGGTTCCTGGGATGGCAAGATCAGTGCAGGATGGGTTGGCGGGACAGTTGGAGGTGGGGCACTCTGACGTGCTTCGCGCTCGCGAGCTCTGCGTCTTTTTTGGGCAAGAGATCAGGCATTTGGCTGGGCAGTAGGTGGTTGTGGTGTCAGCAGTGGAGTGAGAGGCGCAAGGCGAGGGCACATCTAATTGTTCATAGATTCAGGATATTGCACATATGTATAGCATGTTAACGACAACTCACCATTGTCCTGCGATTCGACGTGACGGATGTCGAGCTAGAGGCATGTGGAGCTCGATTTTCATCTCCATTGTTCTGTATGCGTCGGCGTCTTGGAGAGGCAAGTAGCTCGCTTTCCCAAGCAGTCCAACTGGACAACCGTGTTGCCATCCTTTGAACACGTGCAGCTGCTGGGGAGTTGGAGTTTCTGGTCGAGCAGCAGGGAGGCGGCGGCGGCATGGGCTCTGATTCGCATTTTGAGCGAGCTCTCGCAGAGCCTGGCCGGCTTTCTGCTGCTGCTTTTGAAGGGTAGTGAGAGCGTCCTCAGACCTGGTTTGCGTCTATCAGTGGCAGAAGCAGGACAAACAGCGATGTACCTACATGGATAGTCACCAACCCCGCTAAATGAAGTAGAGCAATACATCGCATGTCGTTGCGTCGGTGATGTAACTGCATCGGGGCAGACCCCTGCCAAAATTGATCGAATATTCACGAAAATCCGAGGCAGCAAGCGCACCTGAACCGCTTCTCTCCTAGTCGTGGCCTGCGAACACCATTATTAGGGGGTAACACCGAGCGGGAGTTTCAGGAGTGGGCAATCCCGATTCCCAGGGCTCCGGAGGCAACAGCACCAGTCTTTGAGAGGTGTAGAGGTGTAGTAGGCCTTGAATAGATCTCAGACACCGTGTTCTTTGCCTTCATTGTCGTGAAATTAGAAAAATCTATGTTAGCGCACGCACGAAGTGTTGTGGAAGAGGTGAGTCGGCCTCGACGTTGGAGAAGGATTTGAGCAGCCAATCAGATTGCAGGTTTTGCTTGTTTGTCTCAGCCAATCAGAAGGCTCCTTTTGCTCGAGCGTGAGAACCACTTCTGTTTAATATTATAGATAGATAGATAGATAGATAGATGGATTTATAATTCATAATTCTCGCCCATTCACCGCGAACCTCCATTTGCACCGATTTCCTGTCGCTATTGCCCCCCGGTCCCTAGATGGACTGCTCGGGCCTGGTGCTGTCCTCGACGTCTGCTTCCTGGCACGAGTTGTACCAAATATAAATGAGCGCTTAAATTCGATGGGGTCCATCGACCTCTTATCGTTGCCTCTCTTCTCCCTCCTTTCTCTGATAATCCCCGAGCAAAATAGCCAATACGTCTATGTCGACGAATTCCCCAAGGATCTTTGCTGTTCGAAGGGCATCTCCTACCCTCGAACGGTACATACCCTCTCACCTTGAGATTTCACTGTAGACTAGTCCTGACGCATTTCTTCGACAGTGTGGTTAAGCCTGAAGAGCCCAGAGGGCCAAGGAAGGATGGATCGTACTATCTTGAAGGTGGCTTGGTCGTTCTTCAGGTATGTCATCAAGCTCGATCGTTCAACGTTCAAGATCGTGAGGCAACCGCGCTCCCCTGATGTCCTCTCCTAGCTTTGGCGTAGGCAAATTGCATCTTCGATCACGTTTCAGCTGCACCGACTTCGGCATTCAACTGAGCAGACTTTAACATTCTGGTATCCACATGATTCAAGGCGGGACTCAGGTCTTGACATTGTGCCCTGACGTACTTCCTGTCGTCGGTCCACCTTCCTTGCCAGAGTACTCACAAGCCACAAACAAGCCAGCTACCGTAGGACGCCAAGCACACCTAGGGCCTAGGCACATATGGGGATCACACGGTCACGAGAGCCAAGCTCAGCATTTATTTGAACGCGGTTCATTTCCATGCCTCCTTCAAAGCCATCGCTCGACAGCCTGTGCCATTCGCTTCAAGTTTCTCAAATCTTCGACCTTCCTCTCTCTCAAGAAATCGGTGCCATTAGATCAACAATGCATTCAGTGACTCAGCAAGCCAGGAGGTGCCTCATCAAGATTGTCTACTTGCCTGACCTCCGATCCCTCCTCTCGAGTTGAAGACGTGACATTCTCCGCCACATATATAAGACGGCGACATCGAGGGGAAGTACTCTCGACCTCCCACATCCCTTCGCCCTCAATCACCACGATGAACAACAATATTCCAACCAGTGAGCAAAAGACCTCGGCTACGCCTATGGTCCAAAACCTCGTCGACACGATCAACGTCAAGGTGTGTCGTGGTATTCATTTACCCATAATCATATAATTGACCACTCTCTGGCACGCTCAGATTTGGGATCGCAGCTATCGTGTCCCCGCGTTTCACCTCTTGGAGAGCCCTCATATCCGCGATGGGCTGCAGATAGGACGAGGGGACAGCGGAGAGAGGACCATTGATCTCAGCAATCACGCCAGCAAAGAGGAGTTTGAGGCCCTCATTGACATTCTCCACCCATCGACAAGGTACGTGTGCCATCGGTCGTGTCCTCGACGCGTCTCATGACCACTCCTGCCTATGAAGTGCATTCGATCAGTTGCCTCACGGCCGGATGTGGTTACGCGTCCTTGACATCGCGACACGTCTCACGTTGAAGCCAGCTCGTACGGCAGCAATCCATGCCATCCTCTCCGGTGCAGCTGGTCACTTGACTCCTATTGAAAAGCTGCTCCTTGGCCACCAGCATGCCGTCCCCACCCTCTTTTTCCAAGGCTGTGCTGAAACCATCTTTCGCGCGGATATTCCGACTCCCCTGGAAATACAGCAGCTTTACGTGGACGGGATCGGCGCGAGGATCATGGTTTTCAGGGAGAAGAGAGTGCGGCTGGCCATGGTGGGCGCGAAGAACAAGACTCCGGTGACTGTCTGGAGTCTTTACTACTGCATTGAAAGTGTGAAGGAGGCGTTCGCAGACGTTCTAAAGAAGTTAGAGGACAGGTCGAGGCCCTTTGGTGATGTTGGACAAGGACCCTATGGTATGAAGTCTTCCACCGAATGATGAGGTGCGGAGGAGCACAGCCGATGTTTATAATCCTGACATTCTAGTTCAGGGTATTTACAATCTTACTTGCGTTGCCTTTTTGTTCTGATAATGACGAATTGTAACACTTGCTCATTCAATTTTTTGCCCACGATGAGGCAATTGCAATTAAGTCATACGTAGACGACATCCATCCTTCAGCAACGGCCTCCAGTTCTGAGTCGCCAGACATCTGTATCCTAATTGACTTGAATTACTGATGCATCGCCCAAGTCTTTTGCCAACCCAGGCACCAAGCGCGTCTGTTTCTCTAAACGCGATGAAAATCCGCAACCACTGACTTCCGGCTAAATACACCTATCATTTTATCAGCAGAAATCGGTACCTTTATGACAACGCGAGCACGTCGATCAGCAATCGGTCGCTGTAGTCCGAGTGAGCCTCTATAGGATACGAGAGACGGAGATCCTGTGATACAGACTCTTACAGACTACGGTATGAGATCTGAACAGATTGCCCAAAGATTGCCTCCCAAATTCGGTCGATAAGTGTTCGGTATGACGATGAACACTGAACGACATCAGAAGGGATAGCCATTTTCGGGATTTTGCCTGCCATACCAGGCAGCGCCGATCTTAAGGTCAGTGTGGATGATCAGGAAGACAGGGTTACTTTCGTTCACGGGGCGAAATCTATGGACCATCGTGTCTGGAAGAGCCTCGATGGTAGGTAGTCAAAGGTGCTGGAATTTGGATAAGAGGCACAGCGGCCCGGTCGAAGTTTCCCACAGGCGATAACACGAGGATCTCACTCCCAGATCTCAGTACAGTCATCCACCGGCCAATGAGACACCACCGGCTAATGATACACCTCGGAACACCATGAAGGATTCAACTGTTTGCTTTGAAAAAATAACCCCATTCTCTATAAGTCTTTAATACATTGTGTATAAAATTTTGTGGGTTCTGGTGAAGTCAATGCCCGGTAATAAAATCACCAAAATATTCATTTTGGTTGATTTTGTCACACCAGTCACTGGTACAGCATCTCTGGCTGTTTCTGCTCACGTTTGGTTGATTTTATGGCATACAACTGGTATAAATTTATTTTAATGGCTCTATTACACTGATTCCAAGTGGTTTTATGAGAATCCATGGGCTGGTTGAGTTCTGGGATCAAATTTAAATTTCAGTGTATCAAATGATGGTGGATGACTGTACTGAGATTGGATCAAAAACGCTCTTTCGCAAGGACAGACTGAGATCTAGAGCAAGATGATCATGGCTCGGTAATGTTTCCGAAGAGTTGGATGAAGTCGTTGCGGGGAATTGTGAACGCCCTGTTCGGGAGTCGTCTCCGCCGGTTTTGGAAAGAAACGCGCAAGTTTACAACCAAGCAACAATTCGCGCCAAGTCTCAATTTGCGCCAAGCTTCGGACGATCGTGCAAGTCTAAATGTACGGGGTGACTTTCGACACTGCACCACTGCGAGAATATATAAGCCGGCCTGAAAAGGATGTCATTGGCCTATCTCATCCACTCCTGAAGGCATATCACATTCAGCATGTCACTCACAAAGTCCGGATTGAACGGCGCGTCTACTCTGGCGCCTAATCTATTCATTGAGGCCATGAAAGTCCAGGTGGGTTATGGGACGCCTTCCCTCCTGATTAACTAACAACAGGCATGACTAGATTGAGGATCGCACGTACAGGGTCCCTGCATATCACCTTCTAGCCAGTCCAATAATCCAAGACGGGCTAGAAAGGGCTCTTATGGTCGATACTGAACGGAGTATTGACCTCACCGCCTACATTTCGAAGGAGCAATTTGAGGGTCTTATCGAAGTCCTCCATCCCTCGTCAATGTACGTAGTTTCGTTCTCGTTGACTGCAGTTCCGCTTACCGTTTACATCCTTCTTAGCACCTTCGACCGTTCCCCACGGGGAAAGGTATGGGTGTCCGCCCTCCTCGCCGCGACGCGTCTCAAAATGAAGACCGTCCGAGCGACGTCAATCCAGGCTATCTTCGATGGAGCGGGTGGGCCGATGACCCCGCTAGAAAAGCTGCGTACCGGCTACAGATCTTCCGTTTCCTCTCTGTTCTGTCAAGGATGTGAGGAGCTGGTCAATCAATCAGCCACCCTCTCAATTTCGGAGCTTCAGTTCCTGAACTGGGGAGGAATGGGCCCGAGGATCATGCTCCTGAGGGAGGAGAGACTGCAGATGGAGCTCGTTCGCGCTCTTGTACACGGGGCTGGGAAAGATTTTGACGTCGCTGAGAGAGTGAGGGAAGTGTTTGCAGAGGAGTTGGAAATGGTCAGAGAGGTTGAAGGAAAGATGAGCGAGCAGATGATTCTGGAGGACTCGGACATAAGGAGCGCTTTCCTAAGCGACAATCAGATTGTAGCACCTCGATTAGTTGGATTCAACATTTCTTATTTGTCGTGCCGGCGATGATCTGGCCTCGCCTGGCGAAGTTGAAGTAGCCATAGAATCAACCTAGTGCTCCTTCAAGAGATAAGGTGCTTCAAGATGCTCCACGAAATCAAGCTTCTGCTCTTCAAGTTCCTGGCGCCGGGAGGTAGAGAAAAGAGGCATGCCTTTAATGCGGTTGAGAGCCCCGTTGACGTGAGCGATGTCGGTGTAGTAGGAGGTGCGGGAGGGTGCGGAGCAAGTTTAGGATTAGATTAGATAACGACAGGGTGGTCACTCGCCCTACGTTTTCCACCCTTCGACGGAAATGTCGTCAAGGACAATTTTGCATGCATATGTCCGTATATGTCCCCTTCAACGATTAGTGAAGGGTGCTTAGGTGATGTTGAGCAGTCGATCAGGTTCCGCATGGCGCTACATAGGCGATGTAGAGCAAAAGGTGTGCGAGACAAACAATGTTCTCTTTCCTTTGAACAGGATAATCGCCTTTCTCTTGAGATCATCCTATAAATATCTGAGAGGCTGCTTCTGCCCAGTATCTTCTACCCAGTGCCACCCGCCGCACAAGCCTCGCTCAGACAAGAGGAGTAACCCCCACAACAGCAGGTATTCCATGAGACTGGTTGAGGTGCAGGTGAGTTTCGTTAGCCGATGATCACAATAGTAGTTCTGGACCCTCACCTCTTTCCCCACCCCGTCCAATAGGTCGCTGGCGGCCACATCTTCAAATTTCCAAGCTATATCTTGAATGAAAGCATGTTCTTGCAGGCCAACTTCCAGCTTTCAACGGTGTCCAAGATCCACCTTCCAGAATTCACCTACGAGGAGTTCCAGAACCTCTTCGACGTTGTGCTTCCTGTCCCATCCGAGATGTACGTCGCTCTTTCCGAAGATGGACACGTCGCTGCTGTACTGAACTGTCTAATATCCTGTGCGCTTTTGGAAAAGACGAAGCCGAAGGATGCTTGGATTTCCGCCCTGACGACAGCCTCTCGTCTCAAGATGGCCTACACACATAAGGCCTGCATTCGCAGCCTCAGCGAACGGTGTGTCCTCACCTCTGTCGAGAAAGTCGCCATCGGGCAAGTGTACGCCACCCATTCCCCCTTCCTTCGAGGATGCAGAGAGTGTGTTCTTGGTGATGACCTCAGCACAGAAGAGGCAGCTGCAATGGGATGGCAGAACGCGTTTCTCATCGGGAGGACCAGGATAAATCTTGTCATTGGTCCTAGGCCACCACCGTCCGATCCAAGGTACCGTCGTATCAAGGACATCATTCCCGAGAATTACCTCGAGGAGATGTTCGCTGAGCCGCTGAGGGAGATAGACGCGGAGAACAAGAAGTTTCCCTCTCCGGTGACCAACGAGAAAGGGAATGGGAACGCAGGTTTGAAACGCTATGATTCGTGGCACGGGTTCACTGGCGACATGGACTTGAGTCTCTTGGGACCACCTAGGTGAGCCTAGATGGCCAAATTTGAGGAAGAGCTATATTGAAATAGTGAAAGATAAATCATGGTTCGCAAGTAAGAGTCGACTTGCGAGCTGAGGAAGAGTTGGTGTTTGCGAATTCAGCGTCCGCGCGTCGACGTTGTGGTAGGTGAGAGGAGGGAACGGATCAATCAAGGGCAAAAATTATCCGAGATTAGATACTAAATAAGATAAAGATCGAGTCACCTCCAAAAGATAAAGATATCAGAAAACAGCTTTCATCGACACTGCTGGCACCTGGATACCCGCTTTGACCATCCTCACGACCCCCCCAAATGTCGAAGATATACGTCGACGAAACAGCTGGCTCTGATGCCACTGGTACGGGCATCCTGGAGCAACCTTACCAATCACTCGCGCAAGCCATATACGCTCATGGCGAGGCTGCTGCTTTCCTGATACGCAAGGGGTCGGAGGCAGAGTACGACGAACCAACACAATCCTCGTTGAAGAAGGCTAAGAAGAACGCGGCCGGCATAGAGAAGAAGAAGAAGAAAGAGGAAGAGCAAGCTCAACGTGACGCGCAGAAGCAGGGCGAGGAGAAAGAAAAACGCGAGAAGCTATTGGAGGAGAGCAAGAAGATTATTCTTGAGGAAGATTCGTCGTTGCCGGCAGCGACAAGGGTGTGTCGGAATCTCTCGATGCTGAGCGACAATCCACGTTGACGCACATTAAACAGGCCAAAATATCTCATCTCACCAACCTGCGTTCCAAGCGCGTTCGCGTGTTCGGATGGGTCCATCGTCTGCGAGATCAGAAGGGGATCATCTTCGTCGTGCTACGAGACGGCACCGGATACCTGCAGGCCGTCTTTTCAGGTCGTGTGGTATGTCGTGTGCTATCAGCGACGGAACGCATCTTCATCGATAATGCAGGCACAAACCTACGATGCCCTAACACTTACGCTGGAATCATCAATCGAGTTCACTGGGACGCTGCAGGAGGTTCCAGAAGGGAAGACGGCACCTGGAGGACACGAACTCGTCGTCGATTACTGGCGAGTCCTCGGCGCCGCACCTGGTGCAGACGACGCGTTCACCAACAGATTGAACGAGGTGCTGCCTTTCTTTTTTGCATTTTATCCATTTCTCATCGTTTTTCCAGAAATCGGATCCCTCGATACAAGCTGATCTCCGCCATCTCGTGCTCCGTGGAGAGACAGCATCAAGCGTACTCCGTCTACGCGCTTATCTGCTGTCCGCCTTCCGGGAATCCCTCATCTCCGAGAATCTGATAGAAGTAACACCGCCGTGTCTCGTGCAGACGCAGGTCGAGGGCGGCGCCACCTTGTTCAAGCTCGATTACTACGGCCAGCCGGCTTTCCTCACGCAGAGCTCACAATTATACCTGGAGACATGTTTGCCGAGTCTAGGCGATGTCTTCTGTGTTCAAGAAAGTTTTCGCGCAGAAAACAGGTTAGACTCTCATTAGACTTCTGCGACGTCCGGCGCTGACAGCCCGTCCAGCCACACGAGACGCCATCTCAGTGAATATACCCATCTAGAGGGAGAGCTCGCGTTTATTACCTTCGAAGACCTGATGGCGCACATCGAGGAAATTGTAAGCCTCCTTCAGCATCGCGGGCAAAAATAAGCGCTGAACTGAGCTTCACATACAGATTTGCAAGACTGTTGACATCCTGCTCGCGAACCCCACGTCGGCGGCGCTGATAAAGCAGCTGAACCCGAACTTCCAGGCGCCCGCGCGGCCCTTCATGCGCTGCCGTACGTCGACGCCATCAAGTGGTTGAACGAGCACGGAATCAAGCGCCCCGCCGAGGACACCGACGGCAATCCTATCAAGGACGAGCAGGGCCAGGTTGTGATGGTCGAGCACCAGGTTGGGGACGACATCGCTGAGGCAGCTGAGAGGCAGATGACCGACATCATTGGCACCCCCATATTCCTACATGGGTTCCCCGCTGAGCTCAAGGCCTTCTACATGAAGAAAGTGCCAAAGGAGGCAGGCGATACTGGGCCGACGTTCACTGAGAGCTGTGACTTACTGATGCCCAACGTCGGGGAGATCGTAGGTGGGTCCATCTTTTTCTTCTCGACTCGCAAAAAGTTTTCGTCTTGTCACATCTTATCCGCGGTGCCCTATGTTCCGAGCGTTATTGCATCCATGATCGCTGGTAGGATTAAACCCATCCGTCCAAAGCATGACCGATCCCCAGCGGTTTTCTTCCCTGGCACCTTTCGTCATATTTCATTATTCGGCGATTTCGGAGAAGGGTTCTATTTCTGATGCACTCTTGCCGGCATGCGGGGATATCTCTCGGTCACTTGCTCACTCACTTATCGCTCTTTTTCTTATGCAGGTGGATCGATGAGGATCGCGGACATGGACGAGCTCATCGCGGCGTACAAGCGCGAAGGTATCGACCCCGAGCCGTACTACTGGTTCACCGACCAGCGCAAGTACGGCACGTGTGAGCATGGAGGATATGGGCTGGGTGTTGAAGTGAGTGGTTAGCTATAAATACCCGCGATGTTATTCTCGTCGGGCATCTCGAGCGAGTACTGATTTCGGGGTGTCTTTTCTGTTCGTCCACACAGCGATTCCTTGCGTGGCTCGCCAACAGGTATACCGTCAGGGAATGTTCTCTGTATCCCAGGTCAGCATCCACGTCTAATACGGCTGCCGCTGTCGTCGTTGACTTATCGCTGACGATCTACCTGTCTATCATCAGGTGGCCTGGCCGTGCCACACCGTGAGGGGCTCATCGCAGAACTGAAGAGATTTACAACTGTATACAACGTAGATGTGTCCTGCCGATTTCGGTTCTGTCCTGCTTTTCTTGTTGTTCCCATGTGTTCAATAATGCTTTTCCGGATATCGTATACCTCCGTCTCTGATAAAGTCGCCGGTGGAAGTACTCGTTGGGCGAGGATAAGCTGCGATAGACTACAGTGGCTTAGAGTACTTGCTTGGTTTGATCAAGTACGAATCCGATTACTCGAGGCTGCACTTGTACACATCTTTAGCCACGCTTCGCCATGTCGTGGGGTTGATTGCGAACGTTTCGGCGAAATCGACCTCTAGATGGTGCAAGCGCTTTCCTACAATTACTAGGCTGTGCAAGGGGTCACCGTAGTTCTCCACGGGGTGCTCTAGGAGCTCGCGAAGTGTACCGGCTACGATTCTTTCGTTGTCTGCACCACCGCCCACTCGTGACAAAGCGATCGCCAGCGTCGAGTCCGCAGCCAGGATACCTTCCTTACGGGCTTCCTCCGTCTCGAGGAGCTGCGAGACAGCGGTCGGTATCGACATGTATCTGGGTGGTTCGTATATCTTCCGACCCCTAGAGAAAGAAGGAAAAAGAAGAGAAAGCGAGGTCAGTCAGCAACACCCGAACAAACCATCCAGAGAGGAGGTGATGCATCAACTCAACCTGGCGAGGTTCTCTTCGCTCTGTTCCTTGACCTTGATGTCGAGCAGGACGAGGGTGTGCATCCCGAGATCGGCGTTCTCCTTGACGCGATCATAAAAGCTGTCCGGCTTCCATGTGTCCGTGAAGAACACGAGAGAGACCGTTTGCCCGAAATTGTATAGCTGGAGCCCACAAGCGCCCACGGCATTCATAATGGATGCGTTGTGGATCACCCGAGTGGGGATCTTCAGCGCCCGAGCCCGCAGCAGAATATCCGTATGCGTAGTTGCCCTATGCAACGCCAATCGAGTGCGGGGATCAGTAGAAGTAGCATGCGGGAGAGGAGAGAAGAATTAATGTTTGTACGTCAGCATAGGAGCAAGCAACCGCACCCAAAGGGGTCACCGACTACGAGGAGCGCCACATCGTCCTTCTCGGCCCCGCGTAGGATCTCATCGGACTGTGTTTCCACCATGTCGCGATCGGCCAAGATCAACGGCTTCTCGTAAAAGGCTTCCTTTAAACAAGAGGGGAAAAGGAAAGAACGGGTGAGCAAGGGCCGCGGGCATCATGGGCAGCAGGCAAGCCGGCGTATTCACCAAGCGTTCCTTTTCTATCATTAGAATGCTCGTGTACGCTTCCAGATAGACGCGAGAGGAATTCTTGATGGCCTGACAGAAAAGATATGTGAGCGGGCGTGTCGGGAGTTTCAGCGGTCAGGTTCAGTTAGGGTGTGCTGCTGACTTGGAGGCCCCGCAGGGTGATATCCTGCTCGTCGCAGAGTCCAAGTCCGATAATGTAGAACATAACTGTCTTTGGGACTTGGATGATCGTGGTTAGTGGGAGAAGAGGTGCAGGATTATCGCGGTTGAAAATAAAAGTGATAAGATTAGATCGCCGCTTGGTGTGCCTAATTTGGAAATGGAATTGGATCCTTCTCCGATGCGGATGCCGGATCAGAGGGACTCGGTTTGCTCGGTCAACGTTGTATCCCTTACACACTGACAAGCTTCGGATTCATACCCAGCCTATAAAGCATCTGATTCAAAATCCAATGTACGCCCTCGCTCCCCCTCTGCTGAATGCCTGCACTTACAAGGCGAGCTCGCTTTAGGGCCCCTTTCCAGGACCTCCCTATCGATGTCCTTCCCCATATCCTCTCCCACCTCACCGACAGACACGATTGGCACTCGTGCACCCTCGTGAGCAAGGCTTTCAATCGCCTCGCAACACCGTTCTTGTATAGAACGCTGGATTCTAGGATTATCTCTAGGGTGAGTCCCAAGAGTCTCTCGACAGCCTGATTGCAATCGGTCTTTCACCTCTCGGCGGATTTTGAGCTCCTAGAAGCCTTATCACCACCTGTCTGTGAAGAATACATGACCCAGCTTGTGGGAGTATTTTTCGACTTCTGCAAGTTTTTCTGTCGATTTTGGACCCGGTGGCTTGACATTCGCCATCTTAGACGGCCAACTGCGGCTTGCGGGCCGAGCTCTATCCATCGGACACTTTCTAACACCTAGTCTGCAGACTCTATTGCATCCTTCTTCAACTCTTCTCAAAAGACCTCATCTTGCGCGCTATGTCCGCCATGTTACGGAAACGGGTAAGTCGTCCACACTGATAGAATGTTAATTCCCTCGAACATCGCGAATACCTCTCTGCGGGGGCTACCAATCCGCATTCGCTCCAACTTGGCAGGAGGGAGACAGCTCGTCTTCCGTCCATCCGATTTTCGCCAGCTTCCAGGAATACCCGTCAATCCCCCTTGTAAACATGAACTGACATTCTATCTCAATAGGTGGCATACATCGGGCCATGCTCACCCAATATCCGACCATTACGCAGGACACTCTCGCTGCACTTGCGCTGTGCACGAATCTGAGGTCGATAACATGGATCGACGACTGTTCAACCACCGATACAACTCTCCTCGCCTTCCTCGATGTCGCTCGCACGCTCCCATTACGTGAACTCACGATTCGGACCCACAGTGACCTCGGAGAAACTGTGTGGTCCCAGCTCATCTCCCTCACCGGCCTGCGCAAGGTATCGATATGGTGCATGGAAGGCCCCCCGCGCGTCCTGCAAGGCTGGTCGGGCCCGCTCGGCAGCACGCTCACTCACCTTGAGCTGGGAGTCAGTGCCTTCATATACCCTTGTTCCGAATGTACGTGTTGATTCTCCCTCCTCTGCAAACAGAGATGCGCAGGCGTCCCGCCAACAATCTTAATCACAGTGCTCTCTCAACTCCCCCTGCTCAAGGACCTGCGGCTCAAGGGTGCCCCGGCGTCGTCGATCCCCACCATCCTGAAGTTTCTCCCGAACCTCCGCTCACTCGACACCGAGTACCTCGGCTCGTACTACCCCTCGCATCGTAAGGCCGTCCCGCCCGTTCCCCTGCCGAAAGCAACGCGTACGCAGCAGATCTGCCGCGCCTGCGCCACCTGACGGTACGCACGAGCTCGATGGACAACCTCGGGCCGCAGCCGCTATGGGGCTGGATCCGTGAGCTGGCACCGCGTGCGGGGCTCGAGACGTTCCGCCTGCAGGCGTACACGTTCAACAACGGCGACGCGGGGATCCCGCGGCGGTTCGTGCTCAACCTGGCTCTCGCGCACGGGGCGACGCTCAAGCACTTCATGGTCGGCGAATCGTACATGACCTTGAGCGACGTGGAATGCCTGTGTTCCAAGTTTCCCGGCCTTGAGACGCTTGTGTGTTCGGTGTCGAGTCCGGACGTGGTATGTATCTGTTGTTCTCCATGAAACGCGCCCGCTGACCGGCCCAGGACTCCATCATTCACGCTATCGCCGGTGCTAAGCATCTACAGACGCTTACGCTGCAGGTGAAGTGGATACCAGGCGACGCGCGGAATACGGGGACGTCGATCAGCGTTGAGGATGCAAAGAGGATGATGCTGCGGAGCAAGGACTCGAAGCTGCGTACGATCTCTGTGGGTCACTACCAGTACACAGTGAGTTATTTGCGTGATTACATTGCGGAGGAGGTGATAATCATCACTTTCTTTAGGGGAAGTGGGTCCTACATGAAGAGGAAGACGAGAAACTCCAATTCGTCGTCTCCGCCGACAAAGCCGGGGAAGGCTGGCATACATGACATAACGCCTCAAGGCATTGATCCGCGGCCTTCGGCGTTCAATCACTTTCGCCTCAAAATATACTTCATTTATTCTGAAAACGACCTTTCATACCGTATGCTCCATCTATTAGGTGCTGTTGTACCATTATAATATCTTGCACCTTTATGATCACTCATCCTCGTCCTCATCTTTATGACAAGCGCGCAACGTAACGAGGCGTGCTTCGATCTTCGGGCAGGTTACCTAGATCCTTTCTTCATACCCAATTCATCTCATATGTATACCTCTCAGTTACTCCATTTTTAATTAACTCTCTCGTTCCTAGATCCATTTGTTGTGACGAAAATGAAGCGACGCAAACTACGCGAGGCCATTTTCTCTACCAGGAACTGGAGCTACCTTTTCCTTTCTTCGCCACGCCTACGGCCTTCTTCGCAGGCGCGGGCGATGGGGGCACATTTGCCTCACCAAAGAAACCCTGACAGCTGCAGGCTCCGGCAGAGTGTTCTGCTTCTTTGGCCGCTGGCGCTGTCTCAGCCGCCTCCGTCTTTACCGCATATCCTCTCTCCTCCGCGCGGATGTTCTCCAGCTCGTCTTTGAATGCTTCCTTTACAGATGTGTCGACGGCAAATGAAGTGCATCGAGTACTGGCTTGCAACCGCTGTTCTCTGAGCTTGAACAATGAGAATGTCGTCTCATACCCGATCGCGAGAGCCTCGTCTTTACTGATGATGGTTGATCGCTGCACGATCTCCTGGTATCCTTTGACGACCCAGGAAGATATCTTGACGTCTCTACCCCAGGTCACCTTCTCGGTTGGGGTAAGTGCTTCAGGGCACTCGAGCTCCGCGATGGCCATGTCCCTGAAGCTCAGGAAGTACCAAAGGCTAGACAGCTTCAAGACTGAGAGCCATTCGTCCTTTGAGAGCGAGAGCGTGATAACGACAGGCCTGCCACCCAAGCGGCGTTAGTCTGCCAGTTGTTTTCACCATCTCGGAAGGAAGGACTCACAAGGGGTAGAGCGCCTTCAAGAAATTCCGGAAATCGGTGCGGGAGATGCTGTCGGGAAGGATGATCGGGAGTTCGCGCGAGGCTCTTTCGGCATTAGCGGTGTTTTCTTTGGGAACCTTAAACATCTCGGCGAAGATTTGCGACTCGTCGGTGAAGCGATAGCTCGGGACATGGAACAGGGTGTTCTCCACCTATACAAGAGGTATGAGGCCCAAATATCAAATTCTGGAACCCCGGTGTTGCTAACATACCTGAAAGAAAACGAAGATGCTCCGCAAGAAATACTCGTCGTCTTCAATTATAGGCACCTTGTCGCTCGCTGGGTCGTGTGCCTCTTGATCGGGAGGACCTTCTCGCCCCTCGTGTTCTGAGAGTGAGCCACCTGCTCCGTTTGTACCTGGAAGCTGTGTATATGGGCTCGCTGCAGAGATTGTGGCCATCGCTATGGGCTCAGTGCGCGAAGGGAGAAAGACGGGGCAAGGATGTAGACTGCCTTCGAAAAAGTCTTTATAAACCCCTGGCAGCCGAGGACACTTGGTTCATGTATTCCTTTTTACGTCTTATCTGAAGGCATGCGGGGAAGAAGTCAGGCGACAACTTCTTCTCTGACGCAACCGTGTAGAGCCTAAGTGCGGGTATTAGGTCCTAAATTTTCGATACAGATTACTAACTTGCGGAGAACTGCAACACGACTTCAAAACAAGTTTTCCGAGTATACGATCTGTATTTCAAATCAGTGGGCGCCGAGGCCGCAGACCACTCCAAAAGTGGAAATGTTTTCTATATTTGTCTGAAATTGGAAGTAACTTGAATTCGCACGCGAATGGAGAGAGCCCTAAACCAGTACACCATCATGCGTGGATATAGATTTCCAATCCTGGAATGAAGACAAGGTGTTTCAACTTGGCAAAATGAATGCAATGCAGCGCACTAGCAGACATGATGGGACAATCCAAATCCATGGTCTTGATATTGCATTGAATGCGCCATCGCGGTACTATTTACAGAAACAGAAGCACAAAAATACGATCCATATTCGGGTGAACTTGCAACCCTAGAGAACCTAAGTATGAACTTCAACAAACGGTAAGGAAACATTAGCGTCATACATCCTGTAAGACTGTAAACTCACCTCTCATTTCCCGTCTTTACCTCCTCATTTTCGGCTTCCCTTTCAAGCTTGGTCGAGGAGGAGAGGGAATAGAATCAAACGGAGATGGGTCCAAACATGCTTGTTTGGGAGGCGAAGGGGAGCGTGGAGGGAGGGGTGGAGGGGGAGACCATTCTTCGTGCTGGTACCAAGAATGCGAAGATGGGGGCCGCGAACATGGTTTTGATATCGGAAGGTCCTCCTCTACTACTTCGTATCCCTTCTCTTCCGCTCGGATATCCTTCAGCTCCCATGCGAACTCGTTCTCTATCGCCTGCATAGAGGATATCAAAACGCGCTTCAGCCGGAGCTCCCGAATTCGGAAGAGAGAAAACGTTGTTTCGTAGTCAATGAGGAGTGCCTCTTCCTTTGATATTGGGTCATCTCTTTCAATGAGCTCACTGTAACCGGCAGTAACCCAATGAGAAATCTTAACAAGTCGCCCAAACTCGATCTTCTGAACGGAGGAGAGCTCGTTCATACGCCAAAGTTCGGATATCGCCATCTGCCTGAAGCTCAGGAAATACCAGAAGCTCGACAGCTTCAAGACCGATATCCACTCGGCTTTCGAGAGGAAAAGAGTGAGCGAAACATTTCTATTAGGTGCGTTAGCTGGCTTAATGATGACACATCTCTATAAGCTCCTCACAGAGGATATAAGGCCTTCATAAAGTTCTTGAAATCGGTGTGGCGGATACCGTCCGGTCCGTCGGGCAATTTGATGGGGTTGTTACGAGAAGCGCCCTCGACGTCGATGGCATTTGGCTGGGGCAGCTTGAACATCCCCGAGAAAATGTGGGACTCGGACGTGAATCGGTAGTTGGGCACGTGGAACAGACGATTCTCGACCTGATTGAGGACGAAAAGTGTCGGGCAATGGTTTTATCACTATGATACGTGGGCGGCGCATACCTGGAAGTATACGAAGCTGCTCTGCATGAAGTAGTCTTCGTCTTCCTCAATTACTGGCTCCTTCGTTTTTTCTTTGCTGCTCGTAGACGGCAAAGGTACCTCGGGCAGCGGATCAGGCGGCTGAAAGCTCATCGCGGACGTCGGGATGCTGTCGAGGGAGGTAGGGCTTGTGATGGAGATACTGTCTTCAGACATGCTGGGACGCAAGGACACCAGATGATGGTGGTCGAGAAGAAAGAGGCGTTTAAGGGAGCTCAGCGATATATCTTTTCCCCACTTGGCTTATCGATGAAATTAGACGCTGAGAAACTGCCTCGAGGCTGGGCCCACGGTCTCAACACGTTGTGGGGTCGTGCCGACTGTTAATTCTATTCAAATATGGAGTAATACTCCGCTTTTCTATCTTAAGATTAAGTAGAACGAAGGGCGGTGGTCTGGGCCCCTCTCTGCATTTCGGTTTCCGAAAATGGATAAATTTACCATATTCGTCGAAGATTTTAGTGGGTCGCACACAAACCTGAAGATATGCCACATTGGGTGCATACTATTGTAATTTGTATCCTTTACTCTATATTCTAACCCAATATGTTGCTCAGTCGCAGAACCATCAATAGGAATTTTGTTGCTCGACTTCAACGAACCATCAGTGTTTCGAATTGGGTCAGTGGAAGAGCACATCCTGTGATATATAGAAGGATAGGAGCAATATGTATTCCTAAATTCATGTGTTGAACAATTTGATGTTAATACGCAACTTGCCCTCTGCCTGCCTTTTTCTTCGTTCCCGTTCCGGCGGAAGTAGGAAAGACTGTGGAGGGAAAGACTGGGGATGCAGTGACACTAGCTGCGAAAGCCGAAGGTGAAAAAATGGAGCTAGATCCAAATATTCCTGGGCCATTTGGAGTTTCCTTGACATTCACTTTCGCTGCGCGCTCTTGCTCTGATTTCTCGTCGTTCTTCTCAAAGTTAATGTCTTCCGAGTCTTCCTCTGTGCTGTACCCTTTTTCTTCTGCCCGAATACCCTCCAGTTCAGCCTTGAATTCAGCTCTGATGGAATCAACGACGGAAGGTATCCTAGATGAAAGACGTTCTTCCCGGAGTCTGAAGAGGGAGAATGTCGTCTCATACCCGATGGTCAGGGCTTCTTCTTTGCTGATTGTTTCATTTCTCAAGATTATCTGCCTGTACCCTCCGAGAACCCATCACGACACCTTGACGTCTCTCCCCCAAGTAATCTTTTCCGTTGCCGTCAGTGCTTTGGTGTTCGCCAACTCGGCGATGGCCATCTTCCTGAACCCAAGGAAGTACCAGAAGCTGGATAACTTCAAGACGGAGAGCCATTCCTCTTTCGAAAGCGAAAGTCGGATCTCGACTGGCCTTTCAACCAGACTCTCAGTACACAAGAATAGCTTTAGAGCGAATCTCGAGAGCTTACAGGGGATAGAGCGCCTTCAAGAAGTTTCGAAAGTCGACGTGAGATATTCCAATGGGGAGGACGATCGGGTTGCCCCGCGAGGCGCCTTCGACGTCGAAGACATTCGACTGAGGCAATCTGAACATTCCGGCAAATACGTGGGATTCCATGGTGAAGCGGTAGCTTGGGATGTGGAAGAGATGGTTTTCAACCTGGGCAGGAACTGTGACCTCATCGATTCTCGGTGTGAATGGGCTGCATACCTGGAAGTAGACAAAACTGCTCTGCAGAAAGTACTCCTCGTCCTCCACGAGTGGCTCCTCCCTTTGTTTACCCTTCTCTGCGGGTTCTCCATTGATGACGGTCGAAGCGACTGGTACTTCGCGAAGATTGTCGTTGACGGCAGACATTTCCGATATGTCTCTGGTGTACGGGCGAATGGGTGGTGAAACACTGAGAAAGAGAACAGTGAGAACAAGGTTCGAATTACGTACAGGCATGATATAGAAGGCTCGCTTTGTCGTCGTTCACAAGGCCCAAACAAAGCCGATTCCGATGCGTGTTCCAACAATTCGAGAACAAATCAGGTTCATTAGATTATGCTAATAGGTCGGATGCTGGGAGTATAGATACATGAGGAGCTACTGTACACAGAGGACAAGATAATGGTCACCAACATTGTTAACGGCCTCCTTTAATCATGCCCACTCCCGTCAAGTCGTCTTTGCTGGTATCCTCTTCCAGATCCATTGGATCGTCGATGCTGGATTCGTTGTCTGCTTTCTTGGTTGCAATAGGTTCATCTCCACAGCCACAGTCATATTCATCGCTGAGGTGCGCACAATCGAACTCGGATTTCTTCAGCCGCTTGTTGACTTCGTTATGAACGGCGCATAACCTGCGGGCAGTTTAGGGTGAGCTCCACACAGAAGACATATTACGGACCATAATGAAGCAGCGCGTCGAGATGAGGTCTGTGGTGGGTATTTCTTCAATAGCAGCTGGAATTCTGCGGCGCATTCGCCGCAAGGATATAGTCGTGAACTGAGGTGGAAGTAAGAGCTGAGTGCTTCTCTCTCGTCTTCCGTGGGTTTCTGGGAAGTATCTCGGTATCTGGTATCCGACGGAGAAGATGAGACGCACCTCAGGGTATCGTAATGTCATGGTATGTCTAGAGTCAAGGTCAGGTGTTGAAGAGCTTAGTACCCGGTTGACCCTCACAAAAGTTTCCAAGTTGCGCGCCCGAGAGTTGCCCTATCGTTACGAGTGAGTATCTGTACGGGCAGCATAAATGACCCGACGCACTTCGCAGTCTCGTTTCCCAGTCGTCCCATAATAACGTCGCCCTTCCCTCCGTTTCTCACTGGCGGCTTGGTGCCTGCTGCTGCATGTAGCATCTTCTCGACTCCTCCTTCACCGAACAGTTGACCCGTCCACGGGTCGATGTATGACCGCGACGGTGGGTGCATGAGGGCGACCATCGCTAATAGAACCTAGGCAGAAAGACGGTCATTCAATAGATCTAGATGACCGGATAGTTGGGTACCACGTACCATGGCGAACACAACCAGTATTAGAGATTTGGCAAATCTTGAAATCATGTCTGGTACAAGCTGGAGGAATGTGGAGGGAGACGAAGAAAAGGAAATGTGGGTGCCCGAAGTGACAGTGTTGGGCTGGCTTTGGTCGATGGCCACACGGGCCGCGAACGACCCCGAGCTTCAACTTGGGGGTCCAAGTCGAGATTTGGATGTTTCAACAACATCTTGGGTATGATTCGGAAATCCTTGTCTCTTTTCTAGCACCAAGGTCGATGGTGGAGAAAGAGAAACCCTTGCCTGAAGTTTATGTAGACGTGCAAGTCGGCGTATGCATCCTTCAACTTCGACCACCATCATATCCGCTTCCCACTGGGCAACTTCGCCAACACGTCTCCTTCACATGTCTTCCGACTCTCAGGTTGCCTTTCGAGGCTTCTGCAAAACCAGACTATTATAAGGACAATAGCACACAAAAATAGCGCATGGACACACGGCCAATCTTTCCCTGCCCTGTTGCAGTGTCATGTGGGACGATAGTCATCCCAGTCTGACTCGAGGGTTCTCTTGTGGACAAAAAGCGACCTTGAACTTGACTTCCAAAACTGCAACAACTATCATGCCTACACCTGCGACACAGCTCGAGTCGTATGATACTAAAGGTATGTTGCTTGTGCCCATGGCCGTCCAAGGCGATTATAACACAATGTTGACACCTGTGTAGATGGTCTGAAGGTCATCGAACGTTTCTTCATCGTCCCACTGGATTACTCGAAGCCGGAAGGAGAGAAGATTCGCGTCTTTGCACGGAGTGTCATCCCAAAAGCCAAAGCAAAGACGGCCGAGGAAGAGGCTAAGCTTCCTTACGGTGAGCAAAGATGTCGCAGAAAGAGTTCAGGCAAATGTTGATTGTGAATTTCGGAAGTGGCATACCTTCAAGGTGTGTATTTTCGTCGGTCGATGGAAATAGTGGATTGAAGCGCATGAAGGCGGTCCTGGATTCGAGATCGGTCTCATGGGTAACTCAGGATATACCAAGGAGGTGAGGAGACGAGAGACGATAGCTCTCCCTTTGTCGACTTGATTGACGCGACACTTGTGCAGTTGCATGAAAAAGGCTATCAGGTATGCTCCTCCTGCGATCTGTCGCCTATTCGAGTCAAACTACAATCCTTCAGACGCTCTGGGTCGACCAACGAGGAACTGGCCTCAGCACATCTCTTACCCCTGACACCCTTCCAAACCATGTCAAGACAGACGAAGAGATCGCGCAATATCTCAAGCACTTCCGAGCAGACAACATCGGTGCACTTCTTCATTGTCCTTTGCCAAGGAATCCATCTGAACTTTGAACAGTCAGGGATTGTGAATTCATCCGCAACGAGCTTCTGGGCCACAAGGAGTCTCCGGAAGATCGCAAGTGGTCACTCATGGGACAGAGCTTTGGGGGCTTCTGCATTATCACCTATCTGTCGTTCTTCAGCGCCGGATTGAAGGAGGTGTTTATGACGGGCGGGCTCGCTCCGCTAGTTGACCAGCCCGACGCTGTGTATGAGGCCCTTGCCAGTGTGCCTCCTTTACCTCCTTTGTTTCATCGATTTTTGAAAGAGTTCTCTAGAAAGGGTGATTAAACGCAACGAAGTCTATTATAAGAAGTATCCGCAGGATGTTCAACGAGTATGCATCCGGGCTTTGACCTCTGCTCCTAAATTACTTACTCGAAGCCACCTCAAGGTTCGTAATATTCTCGCCTTCCTCGAATCCAACACCGTCACCCTTCCAAACGGAGGACGCCTCAGCCCAACTCGGTTCCAACAACTAGGACTCGAATTCGGAATGCACGGTACATCCTTTTGTCCTGACACCGTTAGACCAACTGAACCTTAGTCGTGTAGGTGGCATTGACAGAATCCATCGTAAGCCGTTTGATTGCTCAACACGAAGGATCCTGGCTGACCCCATGAGACAGAAATTGTCTTCCGGGCTACCAGCGACCTCGACCTTGTCAAGAAGATATCGTACAAGACTCTCCAGACCATCCAGCAGCTGCAAGGTCTTGATGGCAACCCACTGTACGCCATATTGCATGAACCGATTTACTGCCAAGGGCAAGTTCTGTCATGCTTGTATCCTGAAAGTCTCATGCTAATCCCAGGAGGATCTTCGCATAGGAAAGCCGCGAACTGGTCTGCATCCCGTGTAGTCCAGAAATACGACTGTTTCTCGTGGTCGTATGTCAAGGCTCAAGACGTTTCGACCCCGCTCTACTTCCTCGGCGAGATGGTGGGTTCCTGTTCGAAAACATGGCTTGAATCAGGGGATGACGAATACTGTCGCAGATCTTCCCTGAGACGTTTGACGACTACGCCAATCTCCGCCCATGGAAGGCCGCCGCTGAGATCCTTGCGAAGGACGACTCATGGGGCCCGCTCTACGATCTTGACCAGCTTGCGAAGAACGAGGTCAAGGTGTCTGCTGTCACGTACGTCTTTCCTTCGCACAAACTAGCTGTATATTCAAGTCTGATCTTGAATTTCTGCAGGTACTTCAATGACATGTACGTCGACTTCGATTTTGCGCAGCAAACAGCGTCCAAGATCAAGAACACGGAACAGTACATCACTAACCAGCTGGTGCACGACGGCATTCGTGAAGATCCTGCCGATATCATGAAGACGCTGTTCAGGCTTTCGGAGAGAGCGCTTGATTAGGTCGGCTTTTACGGTCAGATCCACCATAGTTGCTATAAATGTAAGCGTGATTTTGTAGTCTCGTTCACCTGTGCTGATATCAATCTCTAGACGGCGCTTGTTTGTGTTGCAATTAAGGAATTTTATTTTGTCCGAGACACTCACATTTCTGACAAAAAATCCGCCATTTCCGCTCTTCACTACTGTCTCTCTCTGTGGCCAACCTAACGAATTTTTTGGAGACGTCGCCTGCCCCTCAAGATACTGGGTGTGATGACCAAATTCATAGGTGGACCGCTCTGAAACCTCGGGCCGATGGTGGTCATACTTGCCATGCGGTATTCCTCTGCCACGTAGGCCTGATGCCTGTTCCCTATGAATAGAACTGGTTCGCCACGTTCCAAACGCTGTCCCGCCCTCAACGTATTTACACGGCAGGATTCTTCGACTCTGGGCCCAAGTTGTGGAAGATCGACGTGATACCTCCTTGTCTATCCCCTTGGATTACTGTGGAAGAACCGGGATGCTACATGTGCTGCTCTCCTGACCCACAGAGCCATTACCCTTGGTTACTATAATGCTCATCACGATAGCTCTCTTCAATCTACGGCTCTATATCGCAAATACATATTAAAACTTCAATTCTGTCAGTTCTTGTGCGAATGCTTTTCCAACAAGGTCGCTCATGTTCACGTTGGCTTTCGGGACGACTTGTTGCCCATCGATAACCCATTTGTCGAAGTGTCGTCGAAAGTCGCGCACGACCGCTTGGTTAGCTCCGTATATTTTCGGCATCGTCATGTCAAGAATAGCTTCAAGACGTCGTTCTGATGGGTGACTTTCCCGAATCAAAAGGAGTTCGCATAAGGTTTCCAGATCCATATCTGCCAAGTCTCCTTTTCTTTCTATTGGACCTGGCTGAGAGACGATGTCACAGTACGCATCGAGCAACCACTGAGGGACGTTGTAGAGCTTGGCAAGATCCATTTTTTCCTTTCGTCCAAGGTTGGCTTGCGAGAGATGGGCAATTGCTTCCTTACGAAGCTTTATAAAGTTCTTGTAAGCTGGTCTCTTCTCCGGAATGTGAATAAGGTGAACCTCACGTCATCGAAGGCGTGGTGAGTTCAACCACACTCAACCACACTCCCTTTTCCTCAGTATCGCTCGGTGGGGTCACGACCGCTCGTTCAGTTTGGATTTTGCTGCAGTGATGGAGTGCAATCGATTAGTACATTCGGCACTTACGTATATACAATGATTTACTTACAAGTTTGGATACATGATTCTGAGGAGGTTCTCGAAATCATAAACTCGGACTCCTTGAAGATATACAGGGTGATCACCGTCCAAACCCTCTCTTGAGTCGTTGAGCTGCTGGAGGCTTGCAAATGCCTCAAAGGGTGTCCCAGAACGGCCCTCGAAACCAACCCTTGGGACTTTGAAGAGGGTATCTTCGACCTGTGTTTTTTTCTTGTTCACAGAATGAAGAACCGCGAATAGAGCATAAACCGCGAAGGTAATGTAGTCGATATAATAACTAGTGTGTTTCTTCAGCTTCGGAGCCTGAGCTAAGCTTAAGGCTGCAGGTTGGTCTGTCCCGTCCATGATGTAAATTCTAACGTCAAAACAATAGCTGATCAAGAGAGGAGCTGATCGGCTTTGGGGCATGAAAGGAAGAGATTTCATTGATTTGCTGATAAGATAGTGAAGTGCAAAAAAGGTACATAAAATACACAGATATGATCCAGTGGGTAACGCGGCAAAACTAGAATGTGATCCACCATGACCTTAATACTTTAAATCAGCCAGCTCCCTTGCAAATTGTTCTTCGACTATCTTCTCCAGGTTGACTGCTTGTGATGGGACGACCTGGTCTCTATCAACCGCATGGTTAGCCGAAAAGTTCTGGTTGAAGCTGCTCATAACCTGTTCTTTCAGAGTGTTTCGTCCATATGCATTGTACGGACTAGAAAGAGAGCTTGTGACTATGTCGAGCAAAGCTGACAGGCGTTCATTCGGTGGGTAGCGTTCACGAATCATGAAAAGTTTTCCCATAGTTTCCCAATCCAGGTCTTCGAGATCTCCGGTTCTATCCAGGGGACTTGCTTGTGAGATAATCATGCAGTAGCCTTGGACTAGCCATTGAGGGACGTTGTACATTTTGGCTAAGTCGATCAATTCTTTTCGTCCAAGATCAGCTTTAGAGAGCTGGGAGATTACTTGTTTCCGGAGCTTAAGGCAACGTTAATGCTGCTAGATTGGCAAGAACAGACAGAATCTCACGTCGTCGAAGGCCCAAAGAGTGGAGAGATGAAGGACACTCAGCCAGCGATGTTTCTCGGGGACATGAGGAATTGCATTGGCCCGATGATTCTTACTCTTCTTTCCGAGTGTTTGAGACTGATCGTGGGGACTAGATGCGTGATGCCTGTTTTTCAGAACGGATGGTGTTAACACGCGCTTCCCGACAGAAAGTGACCCGATTGACAGGTTGGGGTACATTACTCCTAGGAGATTAGCGAAATCTTCGGTCTTGACACCGTGAAGGTAGACTGGATGATCGTCGTCATAACCTTCTGCCGAACTGTTGAACTTTTGGAGGCTTGCAAACGCTTCGAAAGGGGTTCCGCTACGTCCTTCAAAGCCGACTCTTGGTACCCTGAATAGCGTGTCTTCCACCTACATTCATATTCTCGTCTGGGTCATTTGGCAATTTATGGGAACTACAAAGCAGGACGCACGGCAAAGATGATATGGTCGAGGTAATAAACGGAGTGTCTCTTGAGCTTGGATGTTTGTGATACAGCTGAAGTTTGTTCTGATCTGGATCCCTCCATAATTCCGTCTAGTAGAAATGGACCAAACAAATTCGAAGAGGTGAAGTCAACTACTGTGGACGTGAATGTTAGAGCACAAGAGACAGGACACGCCGCATTCGCGTTTAAAATTCTAAAAATACGATAGATAAGATAAGATCAAGGCGACATGGCCGCAAATGCGTTGAAGTTATAAACCCCCGGCCTGCTCTCGAACCTGAAGCCAACGGGATTACAAACGGCCACCGTCTTTCCATCACGAAGCATGACCACCTTCATCCCTTCGTCAGGCTTGAGAGGGAACGAGAGCTTACTGGCCCCAGCCTTGACCTGATACACTGTCTTGTTCGTGCCATCAGCATTTGTGTGCGTGTGGATTGTAGCAGCTTTGGTGGCGAATACGACTACCCATGCCCTGTCTTCAGTCTGTGACAGTCAAGTAGGCTGGTGAGTCGAAGAGGAAATAATTCGTAGACGAGAGGATCGCACCAACTGCCAATTGTTTGGCCGAGGGACGGGGTCCCTAGACGACGCTTCTTTGGGGTGTGGCCTTGCCCACATGAAGATCTGGTCTTTCGTCACGGCAGGATATACACCCGTTTTAAAGGTTTTGGCAAAATAGCGGTTGAGATGAAGCCACGCAAGATGGGGGTAGCCATCGACCCAGGCTTGCGAATTTGGTTGGGCGCCCTTCAGCGAGAACGAAATTAAACAGTCCAGAAGATGCGGAATAGGGTGAAGCACTCACCTTGATAGGACCAATGTAATGAGACTCGCCATAATCTAGGGGACACGTTGAATAAGGCATGACGATGGTCTGAGGCATTCGGACGCACCATTCCATGAGATGATCTGAGCGATGTCGATGCGGTCTCGCATAGATATCAGCTGCTCCCAGCGTTTAATGAACAACCAATCGTCGCCACGGTAAATCCACTAAAACAGACATGAGAAGACGAAGCTCAAGTCCCGTTCGTCGCTTACATTTTTGTTCCAAGTCTCTGGGCCGTAGTGCTAGAAAACGGTTTGAGAGAAAAACCAAAAAGACCATTTAGAGAGGCATACGGTAAAGAACCAAGGTGAAATAGCGCCCATAAACGTGCGTCCGTCTGTCAGATTCTGGAGGTGGATGTTATCCGAATCGAGCTTCACATTCTTGATCTCTGAATCGGACATTCCAGCATGCAGCTGAATGGGCCATCCGCCGTTCCACTGAAGTACCATAAGAGGCTAGTCATCAATTGATATAAGGCACTGAAAATACACATTGAAGGCACCATCCATTGCGGAGATGGTGGGGTATCGTGCCGGATTGATGAAAAAGGATGGTATTAAGTAAATCTGTTAGCAGCGTCAGCGCCGTATTCTGGCGTAAAGAACGCAAGAGGACGAACGGGACTAATCTTGTTCAGTTCGCTCTTCACATACGCCCAGCCGCCCTCCATGCTCCCCTGTCCGAAGGTGCTGTTCTCTCCGGAAAAAGTAGACACTACGATGCCTCCGGTACGCGGGTGGTGGAACATTCTTGCGCTGTTTGCATGGGCGGAGAGGTAACTGCGGAAGAGCTGGATGTCGCCTGGAGAGTCTCCTGGTACAGATCTGAAGGGTATCGTGTAAGTGAATCGATAAATTCACGGAGGTGAGTACGAACGTCATGTCGAAGCTGAAGAACAGCTTGAAGTTGATGTATTCAGGAAGTCGATCAGCTGCTTTAAAGCAGTCTGCGCAACGTTGGATTTGCCAGTCCTCTCGACCAACGTTGAGCACAAAGCCATCGCTGAAAAAAACAGACAGTGTACGTGAGATGAAGAGGGAGAGACACTGACAGAGAACGTCCGGCTTACATATCTTGAGATGATGCGAGCTTGATATCGTCGAACCAATTGTCAACGGTATACGGCTGAACGAGGGGTTAGAGGGATTCGAAGCTCCGAATCGCCCAAACGAAAAACGAACATATGTATTCCCAACCATGAAACTACGAGCGGCCAGACGCATCAGGGGGCAGTCAGGCGACTGAGGCTTGCTCGAGGACTCACTGAGCAAAAACAAAATTCCTGCTCGCAGCTTCGATAGTCGCACTTTCCCCCTCCGCCAACAGCCTTCCGCCAGCAGCAAGCTCCTCGCTTCCAGGCTCAATATCAACACTCGCCTCCCACCGGAAGTCCTGGATGTCCGGTCGCGGACTTGACGGCGTACGCATCAAATCTAAGGCGCGGTGGAGCGAGTCGCTGGGGTCCAGTTTAGGCAAGGGTCCGTTCTTGTGCTTCAGCTTGGGCACCAGTGCTGGTGCTGGGCCGACAGAGGCGTCCTTGCGGATGAGTGACGGCGCGGGAGGTTTTGTTATCCCAGACATTCGTTCCGTTGATGAGTGTGGAATATGGAAGAGAGATGAGAGAAAAGGATCAGAGTTTGTGGGTAGAACGCGTCGTATTTATGTCCCGAATGCACTCAACGTGCAAGAGGTGTTTAACAGACAAGGGTGTCAAGGCGTGCCGGTTTTTGACCTGAAACAAGCAAACAGGCGAGGTGACAGTTGTACAGCACTTCAGCCGACTCTAGATACTAAGGAGAGTGCGCCGGAAGCTTGCTGGACAAAACGGAGAAAAAATGGTCCAACAACCTCGGGTGTGATGCAAGCGCGAGGTCGTCCAATAGTGGACTTATGCGCGATAAAGAGGGTCAGAAGGCCTAGACAATTCTGCAGTAAACGGAGGAAAAAGGTGGGGCGGACGCCATTAGCAGGGTGCTTGCACAAAGTTTCTGGGCACGCGAAAGGAAAAAAAAAACAGTCAAATTTGAGGATTGGGCACCGATGACATTTCGACGATGCAGGGTTGTGCTCTCTATGCCTTGTCAGAGAGGAGAAACCGCCACCTGGAACAGCCTGGACGTCGCGACTGGCGACTGGTCCAACGAGATGGAAGTTGGGTTGAAAAGAGTGGTGGGAAAAAAGAACTGTGGTAGCCCCTTATTCTTCAGAACCCCACTCCGGTGACACTGTCGCGAGATTCCTTGAACGCTTGGTTGCTATTATCCAGATTGTATGCTAATTTTTGGCTATATATAGTGATAAGTACAACAACTAGATGCCCACTTTACTTTTAGACACTAACGCCGTCCAGCAGCTCGCTTTCCATGAACTTCGCCCATTCAATCTTGTCCATGGTGTAGCTTTCTGTCTCTGGGTTAGGGAAGGAACCATCCTTGACCGCCTCACAGTATCTCTGGACACCATTATCCCGCACGTCCTTCATGTTGGCAAACCGTCGAACGAATTTTGCCTTATGCCCTGACCAGGTACCCATAACATCGTCGTACACGAGGACCTGGAGAAAATGTCAGTTCGACAGCATCGCGGGAAAAAGGAACAAGGAAAACGCACTTGCCCACTTGTATGAGGCCCTGCTCCGATGCCAATAGTCGGAATCATTAGACGATCCGTGACATATTTACCCAGTTCCAACGGCACTGCTTCCACAAGCACGGCAAATGCTCCTGCTTCCTGGAGGGCCAGAGCATCCATCACAACCTTCTTCGCCCCACTCACACTTCTTCCCTGCACCTTATACCCAGACATCGAGGTGTATCTCTGCGGCATCAGTCCCACATGTGCCATGACCGGAATCCCGATCTCCGTCAGCCGGCGCACGACATCCACGATCTCCCGTCCTCCTTCGAGCTTGACACCCTCGACTCGACCCTCCTGCACGAGCCGGATGGCGTTTGTGACGGCGTCACTGACTGAGGTGTGGTACGATCCGAACGGCATGTCCGCGACGAGGAACGGATGGGTCGTACCCCGGGCAACGGCCCGCGTATGGTGGATCATCTCCGAGAGCGTGAGCTGCGTCGTCGAGGCGTACCCCAGGCAGACCTGCGCGAGCGAATCGCCCACGAGGGTGATGTCGATCAGCGGCGAGGACGAGCACCCCAGTGCCGATGGGTAATCGTACGCCGTAAGCATCGTGATCGGTGTTTTGGACTGGCGAAGGGCGTGCAGAGCTTGGATCGTGACCTTCTTTCGCGGTATAGGAGTCGTTGGGTCCTTAGATGGGGGCCGGACGCTCATCCATCGTCGGAGCTGGAGGTTGGCATGCAGGATGTCGTGTGAGAGGCGGCGATGAGCAAGGAGCGTCGACATGTTTCTGATATACGATGGGTGGGGGTCAAGGATCGGCGGGTTAGATCCGCTTGGAATTTATCTGGTGTGCGGCGGGAAGACGAGTCAGCACGCGTTTCAATCGCCACAAGAGGCTGGGTAGACTGGTACCATTTCCTCAAAAAAATTGCCTCCTCATATGGAGCATCGTTCGATCGCCACTGCGAGCACCGAGGAGTACTCTTACGATTTCTTTTTGGATTCTGTCAGCGGAACAAACCCGAAGCTGCCCACGGAAACTGCAGAGACCCGATCTGTTCTGAGTTTCTGACAACACTCAAACGTTCAAACCTTTGGGGGAGGAGACTATGCTGTATGCTCCTTGCTCACCGGAGAACGTGCATTTGAGTTGGATGAATGGTCTGAATGGACCGGGGCGCAAACGGCTTTTCACAACGCCGGTGCCGGACGTCCTTGGCATACGGTCACGTGTGCGTTTGAACGAAGAGCGCGTCCGAGTCGCGTCGTTAGCTATAGATCCTGTGTCATGCATCATGATTGGCACGGTGGAATATATTTTTAGAGCACTGTTGAAGTACTGGACTGCCTTGAAGCCGAGGTACACGTGGAGGAAGACCAACTTCTCAACACGATGTGTGTCCTCATGAAGACTGCGTGGGCATATCGATCAAAGTGGACGCCGTGGATAAAAATCAAACCTTCTTACGTCCTCTTCCTCAGACTCCTACCACCACTAACGCAATTTCTGTAAACCCTTTTCTTCATCCAATACGTGCTGCGTTACGCTTCAGATGAATGGAACTACTGAGCTAGAGACTGAGGCTCCCAGCGGGCTCGAATCGGGAGTGCAGCTGCTTGGCGGTGATGATGAACTGACTGCTCGTCAATCAGCCTCTCCACTGGCTACGCCACGCGTTATGCGAGCTCCAGATACGAAATTCTACTTCCAAATTGTCGTATTCGGTGTACGTGGTCGAATTACAAGACGAGAAGTCAAGCTCACATTATTCGATGCAATAGGTTGGCAATACCATCTTTCGCGTCCCGAGGCACGGATTTGAAGTCCCAGGGACTATATTCGAAGCCCTGTTCGCCCTTCCTCCATCCCCCAATGAAGTCAACAGTGTTGAAGGACTCAGCGATGATCATCCTATTGTCCTTGATGGAGTTGAGGAGGACCATTTCAGAGGCTTCCTCGGCGCCTTGTATCCTTTGTAAGTTTGCCTTGCGTGTTGTATCTGCCTTCTAACACGGACTTTATCCAAGCGTTCAAGTCATGACATACAACGACTGGGTCGGGGCTCTCCATCTCGCCACGATGTGGGAATTCGGAGAAGTAATCCGTTTGTGCTACTAAAGTTGGGCATTACGTTGATACCTCGCGGTCTTTTTAGATCAGGAAGAAAGCAATATCAGCTATCTCTCCTATGCTCGCCGAAAAGAATGCGGCAGAGATCGTCTTGCTGGCCAAGAAATATCGCGTCGTTGATTGGTTGAGGGATGCTTACACCCGGCTGGTCGAACAACCCACCCTGACACTTGCAGATGTCCGGAACCCGTTCACATTGGACTACGAAACCATTTCGCAGATATTCTATGTTCGGTCGGCATCCCCTCATTACACGATGCAATTTGTCTACTGCCCCTATTGCTCAAATCACATCCAAGGATACCAGTCGTGCCCCTACTGCACCCAGGGAAGATCGTTAGTAAACCGAGCCACCACTAGCAGAAAGGATTTGCTCCAGGATATTTTCAAAGCAGAATTCGACTCCATGGTTCTGAGGGACGATCACGTTGATCCCCCGCTTCCACGTAAGTTGTTTCCCTTGTTATCATATGCTTGATATTTGATATGAAATTCGAGCTGCGCCTTCGTTTGAACAGGCTGAAACACAAAGTAATGCGGATGGATCGGTGCCATCTGCTCCGCGTACGTGTCAAACTTCCAGTGTCCTTCACTATAATCGCTCTTACAGTGGGATTTTCAATCAGGGAAGAAGAAAAAGAAGAAAAAGTAACGGAAGACGGTGTCTCATTTGATTTCCCACCAATGAGAGCTTGACGTTCGCTAATTCTATGCTCATGACATGTATCCTACTGTAAAAAGACAACTCATATCAGTAACGGTCAGGATGGTATTAATGGCAAGTATTTAAGAGAAGCATTCGTTTAAAAATTCGGTGATCGGGGCGGTCAACTAGGCCCACGCTCAGCGAACGCCTTCTTGGGTTTCCAGAGCCGGTTTGGCTGGAAGAGGATCATGGGAGATGGGTCCAGCTTCTCGACAAGTCCGCGAAGTGACTGCGTGGGAATATCAATCAAATAAGGCGCCCTTGACAACTCAAACAGTCCTTGCACTCAATCACAAACCATCACCATCATTCTTAACCCATCCCTCTCTTCCAATAGCACTGAAATACGTCACTTTATTCATATAATGGATGCTGCCTCTGATCTGGGCGCGCACTCTTCTGTCGACCTTGACGAAACGGGACGCGAGGTATCCCCTCGCAATGAGTCTGACGTTGTCGCTTCCACTTCCGTTTTGCCAGATCAAGCGCCCAATTACACCCCTGACACACTTTTCTACTTCATTATTGTTGTCTTTCGAGTAGGTTTCTGTAGAGTGCTTATGCTCGTCTGCCTACAAGGACCCCTGATGCTACTGTATCTTCCCCCTCACAAGGTCGGAAGGACCATCTTTCGCGTCGCAAGACAACGGTTTGGAAGTACCACGAATTGAATACGGATATTAGCGTGATCTAAGAAAAGGTCCTCCTGAAGTGTCTCGGCACACTACGGCTTTTGTGGATGACACGTGGGTATATCGATGAAATTAGGCGCCCGTGATAAGATCGGAGTTTGTCGCTCCTTCGTCCTTGATCAGCAACCACGATCATTGCTACTTTCCTCCCCTCATATATTGTTTCTGTCTACTTGCTCACGTCAAATGTCTGTCGCTGTTGACGAGGCAGCACCTACTTCCATTGATCTCCCTCCAACTCCGGATTTCACGACGGCGGCTCTGGGAAACAGCGCGGAGTGCACTACTTCGACGTCGTCGCCGGTTTGTGCCACAAGTCCACTGTTCTACTTCACGAACGTGACATTTCGGGTGAGTGACTGCAGGACAAAATCGCTGATTAACCTAACACACTTGACCCGGATGTGTTAGGTGGGGAACACTATCTTTCGAGTTCCGCGGCACGGTTTCGAGGTACCTGGGACAGTATTCGAAGCGATGTTTTCCCTTCCATCCTCTGTTGATGAAGAAGGAGAGGCAGAAGGATCGAGTGATGAGCATCCTATTGTCCTTAATGGAGTCGAGGAGAACCACTTCAATGGTTTTCTTGGTGCCTTGTATCCGTTGTAAGCCTAAATAGCTTGAATGCTTTCATCACGCACTTATGCTGAGGTTACCACAGTGTCAAGAGCATGGACTACGACAATTGGGTCGGAGCACTCCATCTATCCACGATGTGGGAATTCAACCAAGTAAAATGTTCCAGGTTAAGGTGAAGCTTAAAGCTAACATTTTTGCTTCTAGATCAGGGAGAGAGCTATCAATGCCATCTCACCTATCCTCGCTGAAAAGAATACAGTCGAGGTGGTCCTGCTAGCCAAGCAGTATCGCGTCTTAAACTGGTTAAGGGACGCGTATATTCGACTGGTAGATCAGTCCTCACTTTCAATCGAAGATCTTCGCACTCCATTGACGTTGGACTGGGAAACAACGACTAGAATATTCTATGCTCGATCACTCCCAATGGGCGTTAAACCGACGCTAATACATAGTGCATCTTGCGATATCAATGATGACTGGGGAGGTGGGAACTGTAGTTGTTCACCCCAGATTGATCGATCCGCCTGCTCAAGATCGAGATTCGTTGAGGAAGTTTTCAAAACAGAGTTCAGCGTTATGTGCCCAAATGCTGATCACGTCGAACCTCCACTTCCGCTCGACAGTTCTGGTGTGTCCCATTATCTGCTATCATTTGTTTCATCAAGAATCTAATCGACTCCCAGAGGCGTCGACCATCTCGAAGAAGAAGAAGAATAAGAAAAAGTAGCGAATAGTTGGCTCAGGCTCCACAGCTGTTGTTCATACATTCGCTAGCACCGTAGCCAACTGTGTTTAAGCTTCTCTATCGTCGAACCTGTGGATAGTTTTACGATGTGGGTGGTGGATTCGTGGAAGCGTCTCGCTCGCGTTCAGCATGATTATCTCCATTCAACAATGTGGCCCACTGTCACTAAGCAAAGTGATGCGAGCTTGTCTCGCAGCCGCTCGTTAGAGAAGTTACGGAATACACGATTAATGGATATGGCATTGAATAACGGAGTCTTAAAACGAGGTGACATCTTATAGCAACAAACATGAGGAAGGAACGCCAGCTCTTGATGAGGAGGGCCTGGACCGGCTTGACTTCGTCGTGGCATTGATCGATATGGATAGGCGCCCGTGATAACGTCTCGATGATCTTGGCATGAAGCATCATTCGCCCCTTTTCTTCCCCAACGCCCAACTTCACGGCCGTTACCTCATTTCACCCACTCTCAATATCCAATGTCCGACATACCAGCATGGGCAAGCGTTGGTGTCATAGAGGAAGAATCTGCCATTGGCATCCCCGACGCACCGAACGCTCCTGCTCCTGCGTCTCCTGGACCCTCCACTGCCTGCGCGAATCTTCCCGTCGTTCGTCGAGACAAAGAGTACTACTTCCAGAATGTGGTGTTCCAGGTATACGTTCCCCGCCGAATCCCCGGTCGCATACTCAAGTACTCACGTCTCGCGGCACGGTTAACTTACATGCCGCTTTACAGGTCGGCAGCGTTCTCTTCAACGTCCCGAAACAAGGCTTCCAAGTTCCTGGAACTATATTCGAAGCCATGTTCTCTCTCCCCACAGGAATGGATCTGTCTGAAGTCGAAGGATCGAGTGACGAACGTCCAATCGTGCTCGGAAACATACCTACGAACCATTTCAGGAGCTTCCTCAAGGCTCTATACCCATTGTGAGATCGCCCTTAATCTCTCTCGCATGGTGGCCTAATGCACCGGTGCCGATTTATTTCAGTAACGAGATAAAACTCTCGTACGATGATTGGGTCGGGGTGTTGGCGTTGTCTACCATGTGGTACTTTCAGGAGGCAAGAATAAATTTGTATCCCTTTCAGCTCTCCTAATACAAGGAATGCAGACTCGGCAAAGGGCTATATCTGCCTTAACCCCTCTTGTAGCAGAGAAACCTCTCCCAGAGGCCATAACACTTGCAAAAAAGTATCGGGTACAGAGCTGGTTACGGGACTCGTACACGCGGTTTATCAATCGCCCGGATGTGCTTACCATTCAAGATTTTGCTCCGCTGGACTGGGAGACGACTGCGAAGCTCTTTTGTGCCAGAGACACGGCCGCTCGAACAGGGCTTACTCAAAATTTCTACTGCAATACCTGCAACGTCTGGACTGGTCCTTCATACTCCGGCAACAATGAGAGATGCCATTGTCGACGGAAAGAGCTGGTCGAGAAGCTCTTTGGGGACGAGTTTTCAGCGATGATTATTTCAGGTAAGCTGCCTTCTACCCCATCGTTGAATTAGGTATCTAATTTATATGAGAGAAGATGACTCGATTGACTCGTCCAAGACATCTAGCAAGAAGGGAAAGAAGAAGAAAAACTGAGCTCCTCAGCAATCACCCTCGCTTCAGTGTATATCAAAAATGCACAGTATCACTCTATGAACTTTGTAAGATTACGAAAAAATGGCATGTCACTTTGTCTCCTACACTCTTGCTGCAATTGCGTTCATTTTTGCTTGTTCTTCCGAGAAAAAATTAGCCGAAAAGGCGCTGTCCACGAACTCCTTTACATGGCGCATCTTTGGAAGCTCTTCCACGGGCTCGCCAGGCGAACTTGGACTGGGAGGCACGAAAGTGATCATGAGGGTATATTCGTTTCTGTATGGAGTTCCTAGGGTGGACTCCCCCTTGGACGAAGCCTATCAGAAAGCAAGCAAGTTAGTGGAGGTGTCACGGAGGCGAAGGTCGGCGTGTACGTGAACGGCAATCTTGTCGTCACTCTCGATGACTTCGTGAATTGTTACCTGTGTCCGATGGTAAATTGGCGGCGCGAAAGTAGAAGGGAAAAAATCCAAGCCTTACCCTAAACTTCCTGAACATCGGCATCATCCCTTTGAAAAACTCCCCATACTGCAGCCTGTTGCGAACTGGGCGACCCAAGGACGTGGGCAAGATTCGGTGCTCTAGCTCATCGTCGAAGCACGCCATAACAGCCTCATGGTCCCACTTGTGAAGAGCGTCAACGTAGGCGAGAAATGCACGAAGATTGGACGATGGTTCTTCTGGGACGGAGAAGAGGCCGTTTGGCGACTCGCTGGGGTCGGGTTGTGGCGGGGATGCCATCGGGGAGGATAGAAAGGCTTCTATCACTCGTAGTTTTAGATGGGGAATGGGAATGTGGTATTTGTATACCCCTTAAAGGAGTTCGCAGAAACGAATATACATTATAGAAGGACCAGGTTTGACATTTGAAGTCTATGTCCCGTGATAGCTATCTGCTTCCCAGGATTGAGAGCCACTGAGAAAGCGTCCGAAGCTTGAAGCTTTCATCGGTGTTCCAGCCGAATTTGTGTCATTCAGCGCAAGTGCACGCATATGATGACGGAGCGATGAGAAAGATCAAACTGACAAGTTATTTTTGGCTCTCGGTGTCTTGATAGCTGCAGTATGGTTAATAATAGAGAAGAGCGAGAAAGCCGGAAGGGACCAGATGTGAATATTTGAATCCTCACATGTGTTAATGCTTCAGTGAAAATGTGAAATAAACTTAGCGCTTATCCAGAGATCGAGGAAACTCCCACCGTCACTCCAGCGCTAAAGTTTAGCTGACACATCGTCACGCTCTCCCGTAAGAGTAAAGGAGGCAGACGAGCAGCGATGATAGTTTAGGCAGACTTGCTTTCATACTTGGACTCAGCGTCGCAGTGTCGAATAAGAGATATAGTACATAATCATCAATTGAATCTGCGAGAGAAAACGTAGGGTACATCAAGACGGATCGTATGCGCTCGTGTCGTATCGTGTCGTATCGTAGAATAGTAGTGGGGCATAGTCATAGGAAATATATCATAAACATAGAGGTAGAACGAGAGAAAGGGGTGGTGTTACAAATGGTTTCTTTTCGTTTCGTTTTCCGAGGCTGCATAGAGATTAGCGTGGTGAAAGCGCATTCGATCCAAGAAACAAGGCAAGAAAGAGAAAAATATGAATGAGGGCGACACTCATTAGATGATGTAGACGTCCTCCTTCTCGACTTTGTAATCATCCAAGCGTTTAAAATATTCGACGCGCTCTTGACGCTCGCGTTCCCATTTCTGTTGAATGGCGGCATCATTAGACCAAGAGCCCTCGATAGTGGCGTCATAGAAATAGACGCACCTCTTCAACATCCTCTCCGTCCTCCTCGACAGCTTTCTCTTGTTTCTTAGCAGGAGCGCGTCGAGACTTGCTCGCGGGCTTCTTCGCTGGCGTCTTGGCTTTGTTAGAACTCTTCGTCTTCTTCCGATCCGCATGTTCCTGCTCACCATCGTTCGTTAGAGCAGCAGCGGAAGGCTTTGCGCGGGGCCGTAAGTGCTTCGCGATCGCATCGTCGCTCGCCGCAGGGACAGCTTCTTCCGCGAAGCTGCGCTCGACCTCCTCATTGAACTCCTCTAAGGGGTCTTCGTGTGGTGTGGGCCGGGGTACCTTGCGGGCGGACGCCTTGGTAGGCGACGGCGAGCTCTGGATAGACGACGAGCATGGGCTGAAGACGTCGTGACCCTCGTGCGACAGCCGGCGTCGCTTCTGCTTGTCCTTGTGGGGAGTATCGGGGATCGGGAAGTGGGGATGCGATACGACCGGCTCTGCATCATCGCTGCCACCCTCTTCGACTTCTGGGAGTGGTTCATCGTCGTGCACGCGCTTGAGGCGGCGGACAGGGCGTGGAGAGGAAGTATCGGCGACTAGGACCTCGCCAAGGTCGTCATCATCGTCGGCGGGGGCATCATCGTGTGGTGCCACTGCCTTGCGATCCTTCTTGAGCTTGCGTTCGAGAGCGACGAAGCCGAAGGGGTCTGACCCAGAGCTTCCTGGGGTATGGCGGCGCGATGCAGGACGGGCGTCGTCGAGCTCCTGCCATGGATCATGAGCTACCCGGCTCTCGGGCTTCGTAGGGGAGAAGAGGACTGCGGAGAGAGTAGCTGCGATTTCCTGACGGGTATAGAATGGAGATGAGAGTTCGGAAGGTGGTGAAGAGGGTGGAAGGGGCGATGCGAATGCAGGCGGGGCGGGGACAGCCACTTCGGATGCTGGTGGCAGAGCAGCAATGGTGGGCTCACCGACATCCTGGGGCTCATCGTCGACAGTGTGGTGGCTCTCTCCTCGATTCATCGCCTCTGTTGCGGGCAGAAACTGGGAAGTAATGTCCTGCAGCGGCAACTTCTTCTCCTTCAGCTGGGCGGTTGGTTTACCCTTGGGTGGAACCTTGGGTCTGGTCGCCGTTTTCCCCCCTGGTCCTCGGGATACACTCGTGGTGGTGGTGGTAGTTCCTCCAAGTGTAGGTCGACGGTGGGTCCGCGTCTGTCCTCTGTTGGCCTGTCCAGCATTTTCCTTCTCGCTCTCGTGCCCCACGATGTTCTCAGCGTTGTTCCTCCTGGTGGATTGTGAGGGGTTCGCTGCGCCCCGTTGGGAGCGTGTTACATTGCGAGTCTTGGGCATGGTTTCAACGGAACCAGTGCCACTGAAAGTGGAAATGTAAGGAATAGAGAAATGCAAGTGTTGGTTGTTGGTTGAGTTTCGACCACAAATCTTGAGGAGGTAAGTAACGAGCAACCGTGGGAAAGCGGAGCGACGCGCCTGTCAGGTGACCGCTCACTGACCACGTGTCGACGCGTCGAAGACCCAATATTGAATATAATTGAAATAAATTGAAACTTAAAGAGTCCTTGCACCCTATCCCTCCGGACTTCCTCCAAATAAATTTTTGGTGTTATTATCATGTTAGTTACGTCACAGTAATTCATCTGCAAATTCAGCTTCTATGAGTGTTTTCTTCTTATCTTCAGTGATCGGCTCTTCTTTAACAGTATCGGATACTACCGCGTGAACCTCGAGACTTCCACATCTATACTCGCACAGTGACTTTTTTGAACGTCGGCAGCTACTGCAACTGTCAAAGGACCTGCCTGCAAAATTTGTATTTTCAAACGGATTGTTGGAAGGCCGGCGTTCAGAAGACAGGATGGTGTATCGGATTTGTAGGATTTTGGTAATGCACTGCCAGTCGAGCTCAAACGGATGTCGCAGGTCTGGATAATTCAGCGATGGCTGGTTGACCAAGCGAAGATACCCATCAAATAGCCATTCCTTGACAGAGTATTTCTTCCCAAGCACAACGCTCTGGGTGGGACTCCCATTTTGTATTACCGGGGTCAGAGTGGCAATGGATTTCGCCCTTATCTGGAGCTGAAAGTGAGTGCTCCTCCATACAATATCAAAAAATTAGGACTTGCCCCGTCAAACTTCCATCGAGTTGCGAGGTCAAGAGCGCCTATCCCGTCGGCGAAAGAGGTGGATGATTTGCCCCTACATTACTAATTAGCTTTCCTCTGATAAAAATGGCGTTTTAGCACGTCACCCACAGCGGATAGAGAGCATCCAAGAATCCCACGAAGTACTCTTCAGACACCCCTTCCAGAGTTATCGGACATCGGACGCCCAATCCATTTGATGAAGGCAGCTGCGGTTGCCCCTCCATTTCTTGTAAAAGCCCATAAATTTCGCCAAATGTCGCCCCAGGCTGGAGGAGCTCCCCTTTCGGGATCCTAAACAGCGTACCTGCAACCTGCCCAGGGGTGAGTTGTGCCAGCCGATCGACGACTTCGAATAATAATTTGATGGAGAACTTGCTCACTAGTGTTGTTATATCCTCCATGTAATATATCGAATGGCGGGATGGACCAGTCGTTCCTTCAGATGGAGCCACGGCTACTTGTCCAGTCGTTGTGTACTCGGGATACGCCACTGGCAGTGGTTGGCATTGTGCAGCACTTCGGTGTGAAACGTCTTGAGGCTCGCTCATCTCTCTAAGTTCCCCATAGAACATTCTTTCTACTTCGATTTCTGGCTCTGAATAAAGACATCGTTTGTTCAATCAAAGTTTGTATACGTAGTGGGTTAATACTCACTCAAAAGTGACCCTCGGCGCATGAGACGTGCTTGAACAGCAAAGATCCTAGCAATCGTTTCCCAGTCAAGTGAGCCGCCGCGTTGGAGGGTTCTGAGTTCGAGAGCCTGATTCTTTACCAATCGCAAAATCGACTCCTTGAGCCAAGATCGAACTTGATATTTCCGTGCCAAGAGAAGGTTCTGTAAGGGATCTCGTTCAACGAGCATGTCGGTCAACGCGGAAATGGCTTTCCCGCGAATCTTCAACGAAATAGGAACAAGTATTAGCTGCAAGGGAGAAAAAAAGTCCATTTCTGCGCGAGTACCTCACTGAATGACCACATAGTGGCCAGATCAAGAGCGCCGATCCATTCTTCGAATGTGACGGCTGTTCTCTTGCTGTAGGCCCCAGGTGAGTATGGTGGTGCTAATGAATGATCGTCGGTCTGGGAGACTCACAATGGATACATTACTAAAAGAAACCCTTCGAAGTATGCCTTCGGTACTCCCTCCAACACTATCGGGTGAGAATCGTGCTCCCCTTCGCTGATCATCTCGTCCGACGGAGGCAGACTGAACATGGTTGGGAAGATGGAATCGGGATCGGCCTTCAGGAACGAATTCTTCGGAACACGGAAGAGGGTATCCTCGACCTGTAATAGTTATAACCAGGTATAGTTCAAAGTATGCCGATCACTGAACCTGAAATATCACCATCTCAAAGTAATACTTCTCGTGTTTCACCCAGGAATCATCGGACGCAAGAGGGGTAGTATCAACCGTGCCGATATCTGAGCGCTCTGTTTCCGGGGCGTGCGTAGGAGCTGAGTTATCCATCATGTGCGCTAGACTATTATATCTTCGTGATCGAGCTGGAAAGAGTTCAAGACTAGCGGAGACATTGGCGGAATGATTCCTTATCTAATATCTTGGGCGCCTATCAGCTGGAGTCATGTGTCATGCGCGGTTGTCCGGGCCGTCCAGAATCCGTGTTGCAGATTTACATACTTGCGGTAGAAAGTTTCACATCATGGACAAATTTTCAGCAGTGCTCGACTTCACCCATTCAATACCTCTAAGACCATCTTCTCCGGAATGGTGCAAGAAGTAGGACATTCGCCCCTTGGCTTGTCGCTGATCCTCCACGTCTAAGTAGGGTTGGTAGACGTTCTCGCACTGAGGTCACAAAGCTACTCACATGTAAGATTCTGCCGGAGTCGTGTGAAGGTATCATAGATATTCTCTCCCGAAGCGCCGATATCTTCAAAGTGTCCGCCACCCCTATTTTTTCGACATCCTCCACCCCCATAGGATTGGCGCGTCTCATAAGTGCGGTATATCCAGAAGCCAGCCATGGATTGTGTTCGTACTTTCGTCCAAGGATGATCTGTTGGTGAGCATCCAATATGGAAAGATTCAAGGTGAGCTTGGTTATGGCGAGTGTTCGAAGGCGAGCCATTTCCCATTTCGTAGCCAGCTCGAGGACTGATAGCCATTGGGCGTAAGTCAAGTTAGGTGCTGGTTGATGTGCCCTAGGGATTGCCAATCAGCGACTCCTAACGGCAGCTTCAGGTAATCTGGATCACACCTGACGCAAATCACACGCAGGAGATGCTTGAAGTCGTCGTGCTTTACTCCTTCAAGCTTGATTGGATGATGATCAGTTTCTCCCTCCACCATTTCGTCCTGGTTCTGTGGCAAAGAAAACATGGTTTCGAAGACGGTGGACTCTGAAACTAAGTAAGATTTTGGTACTTTGAAAAGTACGTCTTCGACCTATCAGCCGAAAAATGTTTAGATTGAAAGGTTGGACGAGTTGTTCCTGCGACCCACCAAGATGACGACATTTTGAATGTAGAAATCCTCGTCTCGGACGGGGTGCGCGCGTGAAGCGTCACCGATGGGTTTGCGTTCTGGGGCTTGCATATTCACCGTGTTGGTATAAAGCCACTAGGCTAGATGAATCATGAATGTAAAGGCTAGTAGCGCTACTGGCTCAAGTTATCTTTCATCGCCTCGAGGCTTCACGGGAAATTCCGTATCACCTGATTTCTGACAGTGGCACGCTGGAATGCTGAGCTCCGGTAACTGGTACCGGTGGCTCAACCGACGCGATCGGTGCCACAGAACACCTGAAAAGGCAATTCCCGAAATGTGGCCCTCGATGCAAGGATAAAGGCGGCCCACCGGTTGTTTTCTTCTTTCCTCCGTACTCTCATATCTCAAGACGTCTATTCCTCAAGACTCAGTAAGTTTCTGCTTCACCATGGCTCTCCAACCTCCTTCTCCCTCCTCGTCGGTATGTGGTTGTCTTGATTTCTCCAATCGCGACGTCTGACCGACCACCTTTGCAGTACCATAAAATCCCTATGCCAACTCTTCAATACCTCGACGTACCATTATATGGTGGAGCGCGGGTTTACTCCGCGTTCGGGACCTCGCATGAGCAGGTTCTCTATCCCCGCAAAGATGCTCGTTTGGTCAGATCACGTCCGCGGAAGCCTGTGAGGGTCGTATTGAGAGTGCCAACTCCCCCGAGGAAGGTGCGAGGAACTTCTACTTATCTCGTGGATAAGCCACTTATATCCCATTGTCGTAGAAAATCCAATGGCCGGACGCACACAACGTCAAAGAAGTAGCGGCCTTCTGCGCGAACGAGCTCGACATGATCGTGAACGGCCGCCCTGTAGACGCAGCGGAGAATGACCCCATGGCTACTAAAGCCAACGAAACCGAGGCTGCCACCGATAATACTACCATCCCAAAGACCGCTCACTTGACTCGGACTGAGGCGCCCACCAATTGCTGCATGCCATCATTGCAACTTCCATCTCGTATCCCCCGCCTATCCACTTCACACATCGGGAGGGGAACCAAAGACGCCTGAACAAATCTGAAGATAAGTTTACGACAAGCCGACGACAGTCTTCATGAAGTGCAGCAATTTTGGGTTGACTATTCTTCCGGAACGGCCGTCGGCGGTGGCATAAGTGGCAATGGTTGTCATTCACGACACCCACTCTGCCACGGAAACCTAGGCTTTATACACAACGACATCCACATATCCACGTTCTTCTATGACCTTCTAGTATGATTATAAGCTTGTTATTTAGGCGATCCAGTAGCATTCTTTCTATGATATGACCTTTACAAGTGATTGGGCGTTGACATAGACCGCCCATAGTAATTCCAGTTCTATTTTCGGGCCGAGACTCTTCAGAATAGCTCTTGAATGCTACAACCTGAATGACAGATGTCCTTCTTGATGATTGTGGAAAGCGGGCGCGTTCCGTAGAAATTACGGCCTTGCAATTGATTGATCCACTCGTGATTCTCGTAAAGCGGATCCGTCAGCGTGAATCTACAGAAACCAGTACAGTAGAGGTCATACACGGACATGGTGAGCTTATTCTGCTCACTGTGGCCGAGTATCACATTGTGAAGCGGGCCTCCCCTGCCAGTGTCCTCCCCTGGAAGATATGGAATTCAAACCGAAAAGAAGTGAGAACCCTGGCAGAAATTCGTGACGGCGTAATGGACTTTCTAAACCTCGCCATTTTGATCAAGTTCGATTACGCCTCGAACTCTGAATACTGTCCGAAATGCATGCTTTCCGATGTAACACCCAGGCTCTCCCTATCTTCGAAAAAGTTCCATACTTCCACGTTTTCTCGCCATCAAGTAATACGGGGCTCTATCTGTGCAATGTACGTTTACGCTCACCTTCTTAAGCCGCATCGCTGAAGCCACTGTAGGCCTACGGTCTTCCAATAGCACGTTGCGTTCCTCCGGCATTCAGGGACTCCACGTGATGGACTTCAACACATCGCAACGGCCAGGGACGGTTGGCAATTACTTTTTCAGGAATGGACCTGAATCTCCGATGTCAAGGTTCTCGGGACAATTAGTGCGGCTTGAACCGCACCAACAAAAAGGTTTAAGGGACGCTTTGCCTGCTTGCATAAAATGGACGAACGGCACGCCTCGCCCGAATACCACTTCTCCCCCCACTCTTCGCCCCACCCCCGCCCGAACTGCGTGGCGTATCCACTCCGCAGATTCTGGAGATGTTCAACGTATCGCGGTCGTATGCGCCTGACGCCTGGCTTGCACCTGTCCCCCAGTTGACCAAGGGAGGCAAAGCGCTCGACGCTCAGACCACGATAAGGGTGCGCAGCTCCATCGCCTGTCATACCGAGCGCTTGAACTAACGGCGCACGATTAGATTGAGAAGAGTCGCTTTAGTGTGTCGACGATCAACAACGAGCTCCTCCCTGAGCTCTTGAGCTGGTCTGCCTTGATGGACAGTCCACTCCCGTCGCTCGCGCTGGACCCCATCCCCAAGTGTGCAGCGAAATCCAAGAAATGCGAGTCGCTGGAGAGCGATCAAGAGCGACAGCCCAGTCTGAAGATCCCACTATCGAGCATCCTTGATCCCACGACGCTGGAGGTCGGGTTTGATGCGTCGTGTTTCGACGGCATGGACGACCTCCTTATTTCGTCGCCGCTGGATGCGTACGCGGAGCTGTGCTGGTCGGACGGGGTGGTTGCGCACTCGCGGTCGCAATCGGAGCCCATTACATTTGCGCCGTACCGGCGTGCTGCTGCCGGACAGTGCAGGAGACGGCGGATGCGACCCGCTTTCGTTACCAGGGACGCCTCTTCCGATGAGAGCGACACGGACTCCGACGATGAGTGCAGGACGTACCGCGATGAGGACACCGTGCGGCTGATGTGTGGGAGCGGCGATATGTCGGGTGAGGGCTTGGGAGGGTTTCCGTCATACGTGAGTAAAGCCGGACCTCGTTGCATTTCTTCGACTTCTGTGACTTCTGTCGTCTTCTATCTTTTCATCTCGTGGCCTTTCACTGCGTGTTCTGCCGGAATACTAATGCTAAGCTACAGGATGATGAAAACGACGGCCACGGTATCTCTTCATTCATGGTCTTCGAGTCTCGTTTCTCGAACCCCCATGAGTCTGTGGGGTGCTTCCCGATCCCTGCTTCTCCACCGAAAAGCGCTCGTCGCCGCTTTGCCTCGTTCTGCGCCAACCGCCTACCATTTGTGAGGACGCACACACCCTGATTATGTTGGTACGTTGCCCTAACATCGAGACGAAGCCGTTCTAACGAGAACAATTAGCCCGTTTATTATCTTTATTCTCCCATACCATCGCTCATGTCTTTTTGTTCTACCGATTCTTGGTTACTACTTCACGACTCTTCGACTGAGCAGGTTTGCAACTTGCGCCCATGGTCGTGACCTCATCCATCGTTATCATCATCGCATCACATCCCCTCTTTCTTGTATACGGACTCTCGGCGCACAATGCTGCTGTTGTTGTACATATCGCACATTGATACCACCCTCATTCTCCAGACCATTGTACATGTACACTACACGTACGTACTACGAACCACTGCTATCACACCCAATGGAGACGCTCCCTGACCTTCTGACCCATTTGTTGGCGCTTAGCGTCCTAAAGGGCCCTCATTGGCTTATCCGAAACAGTGGCACTGAGTCCTGACATCGCCGTGGAGTCGTGGGCGGTCGTTGTCCAACTGGGACTCAGGCCGAGTGCGTAGTCGATTGGTCTGACTCAGGGTCAGATGTCCCTGGATCATTCCAGGGACCGTTCCAAAAACGGATGGACGGCGGGGGCGCTATGACAGGAGGAGCGTGCGCGCATTGCAGACCCCAGGAAGCGTGTCGGCTAATGTAGACACGCGGCTAACCTCATCGCTGCATGTCCTGAGGCTGCTGTAGCGCCGCGCGCTGCGTGTCGGTAAAGCCTATATTCACTGTACGTTCAATTTCAGCAATTAACTTCAGCAGTTAGGAGTGTATTTACGTGGCTAGCGGCCGCATGGAGAGTGTACCCAGTACAGTGAAAATGAAGAATTGTGCCGCGTCTTTCATTGGGGTGAATGTGCGAATGCGGGATATCTAACACACACCCAAAACAACCGTATGGGCGGCTCTGAGGTGCGGGGACACGTTCCCAGGTTGTGCGGCTCTAACCAGGGTAGCACGCGCGACTCATAAATGCGACACGAGGGTGCGGGATGATGGGAAAAGCACCACGGAAAGGGGGCGCTTATCAAGGATGGCTATCGATGTCGAAATGAATTCGGTCGATAAGGCGATGGAGTCTCCGCGACGACGAACGAGGGCGGGAGAGAAAAATGAGACAAATCTATGTTGTTCTTTATGAAATAATGTACATGGCTTTTATACTACAGAAAACAGAAAATCTGGCCAAGCAGCTCGTGCCCAACCGGGCTGAAGGAATAAAGAAAGGGAAGAAATATCAAGCAAAAATGCAAAAGTTAAAAATAGGGGTCGAGCAAGCGACGAAGATGATGACGACGGGAGGGGACTTCCTAAGGAGGAAAAGGTGGCGCACTAAGCTCGATTTGCGCAAAACTTGGCAGTGAGGGTCACGATATGCTGAACAAGGATCTACGGGGCTGACGAGTCGCTCGAGGAATTATGTAGGGCGATGGGAAATCAAGGGGAGCATTGGAAGAGATGAGGAAGGTTTTAAAAAAGGATTTCCCGAGGGTTAGAGGCAAAGGCGGCCCATCAATGCGTGAGCGAGAGGACAAACGGCGATGAAGTAAGCAGGCTGAGAGTGGCGTACAAGAGCACATCCACTATCTATATATAGGGATGAAACCTGTGGTGGAAAACACAAAAGAGAGGAGGCGAGTGAGGAAAGGAGCGATCCGGGCGCATGCGGAGACACAGTCGGTAATAAAAGGTGGAGAAGTCTGGACGTCGAGAGAGATCGGGACGCGATAGGCACGAGGGACATGGCGCCTCATCGTAACATCATTGCTGTATGTTTATGGCGACTCGTTCGGGGTGCACACAATGCGTCAAGATGAAAATTGCACCGTTATGTCTCTTTCTTCCAATACACCTTTAGCTCATTATGAGTAATTAATGCATCCATGGCTGAAATTATAGTGCAACCATCTATATATTCGTAGTTTGTATTGCTCTTTTAATCATAGCTTGATACACGATTTGTTCTCGAAGAGCCGGAGACGCCTCGCACAGTCACTGCTCACTAAGCGCTCATCGTCAAATTCGGGGTAGCGCCTCACACTATTGAGCGCCGCATTCTATTTCCTCATAAGATGTTCATTATATGCACTAATATCTATGTAGTACCGTTTTCCCAAAAGTTGGTTGGTGTGACCAGCTGTACAACATGAATTAGGTGACATCTCGAGGGACATCGAAGACATTTTCACGCCTGCCCTCCATTTCTACCTCTGTTCGGTGTGCTACCCACTCTGCAAGACAAAAACAGCTCATTTAATTAATGTAACATATGGGGAAGAGAAGATAAGTAGATTTTTTCGACGCCTATGTAGGTATCCACGGCCACAAGAGCCTACGCAATCGCGGCCCGTCTCGCCGGGGGCCGCAAGTGGCATCGTCACATAATTAAACAATGGATATCTACCATGGAGTTTCCGGGGTGTTTTGGGTCCTCCCGACGCCCGACTCGTCCGCTGTCGATGCGCTGGGTGCGGGAGCCCGATCTGACCATTCCGGGCTATTCTGCCAGCTGTCTGTCATCGGGATCCGACCCTGAGTCAGACCAATCGACTCATCACTGACTCAGGCCTACTCAGGCTCGCAGGGTGAACGACCCTTTTACAGGCTCCCATTCGCAGGAGGGCCGCGGAACTTGAAGGTGAGCGATCAATCTCGGTGTATGTTAAAAATAGCGGCCGTTTCATCAGCCAGAATCTATTCCGAATCGGCAGAGGAGAGGGCGTATCCTTCATGTAAGGAAAGTCGACTTCCTGGGTACGACGATCCATTCATCTACCCAGTTTGCGCCCGGAATCTCTGGAAGATAGGCGACACAGCTGATCCTGCCGCCACTGCGAACAGTGGGCTGTCAAACCCAAAGAGGCGCAGAAAGTGCTTCTAGTGCGTTACCCTGCCATACCAAGCGCCCTCGTACACACGTTCCATGACTGTGGGCTCGGAATAGGCTGTTGTGCCCGACCCTTAGGATGTCTTCGGCGTCTTTTCCCTGGTGAACATATCAGAACGTCTTGGACAGGATATATTTTTTCCACAACCTACCCAAAAGCGCGTCCTTTGATTGGGTTGAGACGGCCCAAAGATGGACTTATGATTCGCAGAAGAGTGAAGGTTAGTTGATTCTGTTGATTCTGTTGATTCTTGACTAGAAAACTTTTTGACACGTTTCAATGTCAGAACCGGCTCACCGGCCCGATGTCGGATTGGTAACCAGCTGAAGAATCTTTCCCTCCTCCTTTCTGCTTCCCCTATTTTTGTCTGGAAAACACTCAAGGATTCAAAGTGGCATACTACTCAAGGCAAGACAAAAAGGGTTCCATCTCTTCCACGAGATCTATCGCCCATAACATCTGGTAACCAACTACAGGGACCTCGAAAGTTGCTGGAAAGTCGGAAGATAGGTCCTTCGAAACCTATACTAGACACGACAATTCCCTTCGCATTCTAGCACCAAATTCTACGAAGTATTTACCCTCTTCGCGTGCAGATATATTTTTGGCTAATTATTGTTCGTTCTAGCCCATCCTACTCAGACATTCCTTCGCGATGACAACCGGCGCTCTCCCTCCCGAGCTCTTAATTTTGATAATTGAACGAGTCGACTCGGATGGAGACCTTCTTCGACTCGCCGGCGCCTCTCGCCAGCTTCACAGCATTTCAATTGAAGCCCTATTTGCTCGTCACAAAGTTGTACCGCTCGACAAAGATCTGCGACTGTCCTTCTCCACGCCAGAAGCCGCCATTGCGGTCCTTTCAGCGCTAGCAACATCCTTGGACGTGGTTGGTGCCTCCCTGGACAGCCTATCATACGACTGTGGCTGGGTGTTCGAGCCGAAGAGACTCCTGAAGGAGTTGCACCTCCTCACACGATACGTGTCCAAACTTTCTTCGATGAACCAAGTTACGTTGCGCTTAGCAGCACCGCTTGAGGGATGGCCGTCCCAGTGGAAAGACAGAACAGTGGCGCTGTTAGAGGCCATCTTGTCCAAGTCATGTCGCAGGATCCGCATCGATTCCAGCCAGATGTCATCTTTCCCTGATCAAGACATCCTTTCACCCTGGATGACCGCAATTGCAACGAAGCAATCTGAATGGACGAAGTGGTATTTGCCCCCTACAGTACAGAGGGACAGCACAACATCAGACCTCCATACCTGCGCCGTCCTGACCTTCCCTCCTTTCCTCCGGCAGTTCTATCTCGACACTCTCAAATATAACTCAGACAGCCTGACCGACCTCACGTTCAAGAACATATTCGGTGGCGGAACTGACTGGGATACCCTCATTTCGAACGTGTCTTTCCCCGCCTTGCAGCGTCTCTCCGTCATCTACGCTGTCATCTCTCGCGACGTTATGGTCAAGTTCCTCATCAAGCATCCCACCATTACCTCGTTCGAATACCACCACATCCGGTACCGAACAACCCCAATGAAACCTGTCCGAAATACGCTCTGCGAAAACTTGACCAAGCTGACGACGACCCCAGAGCACATTCTCAATTTCTTCCCGCCGCCGACAAAGCTGTACCAACTGGAGAACCTCACGATCAAGGTCGATCAACTCGCCCGCCCCCTTTTCCAGCCCCTTGAAGATTCGTTCCGACGATTAGCACCCTTCGGAGGAACCATACAGCTCTCGCTCGAGATCAGTCGCCCCGGATTGGGTTTTGGGGTATGGTTTGACACCATCCCCCGCTTAGGTGCTTCGTTCGACCCTAGTGCCAGGCCCGAAACGCAGCTGCGGTGCGTGAAGAAGCTGGTGGTTGATAATGGCAACTGGGGTTTCGCGAAGAACTTCCTGAGAGGGCTCCCCGCTTGGCTTGGGCTGTTTCCCGAATTAACGGAGGTGGTGCTGATACAGAACGGTCTGCGGTACGTGTCAAGTGAGTTGGATCCACTCGAGGAAGAGCTCCTGGTGAAGCTCGCGAGGGCGTGCCCCGGACTGAGGTCGATCTCAGTGAAAGACACAATTGAGTGGACGCATAGCTTTCCTCGATCCTCATGACGATAATTTCAATAATCTACACCAGATTTTTTTTGTATATCAACATATTGCATTCAATATGTACTAGGCATCAACGAACTCGGAAGTAAAGAGTCCGTGAAAAAATGAAAGGAACACATTCAAGCGGAATACGCATCCGCGACCCTCTTCACACATGTACTCTCACAGGCGAATTGCTTGAGTGCACCGCAACCCTTCCATCGGTGGCAGGGTCTCTCTTTCTCCCGGACCCGTCAACCCAATGGATAGCACCCTCGAACACGCCCCTCCGACGAGAAGATGCATCCACCAACCTGTGTCTCCCCTTTCCGCTCGGGTCCTCCACGTCGCCATCCCATCGGAACTCGGCAGCGAACCAGGAACTCGTGGAGATCGAGACAGTGCCCTCGTACGTCGGATGGAGTTCGACAGTCGCGGGGCTGTTGTTCGTCGTGGCTGTAAGAGCGAGCCTAGACTCGACTGGGGCAGTGGGGAAGGAGATCCGCAGGGGCGAGTTGTTCGTGTGGCCATTGACGGTGTACACACCGCCCGTGCCTGACTCGGACTCGGTGAGGAGGCTGATGGTCAGATCGAGGCGGCTGTTAGAGGTGTCGGCGACGAGCTCGGGGCTTGAGCCATCCTTGTCGTCTGTCAGACCAACGTGGGCCTCTATCGGAGAGTTGGAGGTAATGAGCTTCAGCGACCTGGTGGTGTTGAAGACACCCTTGATAGGGCCGTTGCTTGTCTTGATGGTTCCAGAGGTAGCAGCCAGCGACTGCAGACGGGCAATTAGCAATCAGGTCAAGGGATGGAGAGCATTAATGTTGAGGAAACGTACAGCAACTTCAATGGGCATATTGGATCCATGAAGCAAGATCTTGTCAAAAAGAACCTTGGAGAATAGGTCGCCGACCCTTTGGCGGGTGTTCGGGACGTCCGTAACGAAATTGTTGATGAAGAGACGAGTATCGTCTTTAGGCTCAGGAAGAATGACGAAGGTTTCAAAGAACAGGAATTCTTCCCTCTGCCGACGCTTGTAAGGCCACTCAGGATTCTGAAAGAAAGCAGGATTCAGAAATGATCATCCCTGCACCAAAGAAAACCATACTTACAAAGATGCCCACACCTTTCTCGCCGTTCTGTCGATTGAACGAGCATACGTCGGCCGCATCGCGGATGTATTCACGATAGTAGTGGACGATGACGCGATAAGTGACGATACCCTCCTCTTGATCAGGCGACGTTACGATAGTAGCTTCTCCAGCAGACGCAGGACCTTGTGCGAGCAACGACAGGGTGGTGGCGTCAACCGGGAGGTCAAAGGAGGTTTCGGAACTGTACGGGAAGCTATGCCAGCTCTTGTCAGACTCTGTCCATCCGGTCTTCGAGACGCATTGGTCCAATTCGATATCAGGTGGGAAACGAATAGGTGGCTAAAGGGAAAAGGAACTGTTTTGAATGATAACCACACGCGTGCTACAGGTAAAGCACTCACCCAATCGTCGCCCTCACGATTAGAAGGATGGTGGTGGTGGTGTTTATGACGCCAGTGGACCATGCCGACAAAGGTGCGCGTGAAGAGGCCCAGCAGGACCCAGGTGAAGACGGCAAAAGCAAGCGCTCGGAGAAACCGTCGGGCAGGCGAAGGACGAGAGGCAACGAGGGTGTGCCCTTGTCCTACAGGGTAGGGTTGAACTTGAGGGTACTGCTGCGAGTAATAAGGGTTGTAGGAGGGTAGTTGCTGAGTTGACTGTGCATCAAACATGTTGGGAGCTTGAGGGCCCTGAGGACTCTTCGTGTCATTAGGTGCGCTCATCGCAGCACAAGAGAAAATGAAACTAGATAGTGAAAAGAAAGACGAGGTAAAGATGAGAGGGCGGAGAGGCGAGTCGTGGTTAGAGAAGAAGAGACCTAGAGTTTATAACTTTATCAGTCTCAGATGATCACTGCGGAGTTACTCATGCATGTTCAATCTGCTATATGGGGTTCGACTTGTGGAGGAAAAGCTGCGCAACGATAATCTTCTGTGCACCAGCAGTCCAGGACCTCCAGTGCGCAGCTTTGCTCCGGGTCTAAAGAATATTCGCATGTAAGTGCACCAGCGCCGATGGCGAACAAAATCCCTGAAAATTGACAAGAGAACTACTTTTCGAGAAATGAGGACGGCATTTAGGTCGATCTAAAATTAGAACACATGGCCGACATCGTCGAGAGGCCCTGGTGATCAAAAGAGGGCTGAAAATGCACGGACGCAGGGAGCTGAACTGTATGGCAAAAAAGTAAGAAACAGTCGGCTTGCAGCTACTAGTGACGTACTCACCAGCACTCGTAAAAGCAGTTCCTGCTGGCACGAGAATACTTCTCAAACCTGCGGTATCAGTGAACGGCATGATAAAGATCACAGATGCGAGGTCCAAGGATCTTAAGGCGACATTCCCATAGACCCCCAACAAATACATTCGCCATGAGAGATAGAAACATGACGGCGCAGCTCTCGAAGTTAATTCCTATGGCGAAATGACCCTTCCTTCCTGCGCAGCGTCATCTTCGGGGTCTTTCTTCTTGTTCCTTTTCCCGTCGACACCCAATGCTCCGTTCGTCTCGAGTTTGACGGAGCTGGGTACATTCCCGTCATCAGCAGCATGGCCGGCCTGGTGGTCTCGTTTCCGCTTCTTTGCCTTTTTCTGGGGTTCAGAAGAACCGTTGACTATGCTTGCGCCAGCTGCAGGTGCGGTGTCGCCGTCTGGAGCCGCCTCATCGCCCTCCTCCCCTGTGAGCCCACCCTTCGCCTTCATACGCTCCTTCTTACCCTTCCTCTTTTTCTTCTTCTCTTTCTCGGCTCCTTCGGCCTCGGGTGCAGCAAACACACCACCAGACCGCTCAGTCACCTTTTGCTTGATCTCGTGTAATTTCTCCTGCTTCGACTTCGTAAAGTGTTTCGTCTCCTTATCTTGCCGGTACGGCGCGTAACGCTTCACGCCCATGTACTCGTTGAGCTCCTGGTTGGTGGCCAAGAGGATCTCGACGGGTGTCAGCGAGAAAGTTTGCGGTTTGACAGAGGTGTATTTGAATCGCGTTGGGAGGTCGCCCACCTGACCGCTGTTAGCAACATTTTATAAATGTGCAGGATAATAAACCATACCATATCGTTGAACTCAAGACCGTAGATTTCATCCATGTACTCATCCAACTTCCGCTTCCGCATCTCCTCCGTGCCATCCCATTCTTCTTCGTCATCGAACTGGGGCTGAACATCGGCGTCCATGGCATCGATATCCACACCGACATCTTCTTCCGTATTTTCCTTCTTTTTCTTTTTCTTCTTCTCCTTTTTCCTCTCTTTCTTCTCTTTCTTACTGTAGGTGGCATCGTCGTCCGACATGGGTATGTCGCCAATGTCGATGTCGTCATCCCACACAGGCTTTCCATCTTCGTCAACTTTGGCGTCGTCATCCCCATCCACCTCTCGGTCGAACAGCCCAGACATTTGGCGGTCGTGCTGATCAGGGTTCCAATCACCCTCAAGATCCAACTCCTTCAATGCTTCGTCCACAAACTCGTTGTCCTCGCCCGCTTTCTTCCTCTCCAACCCGCCCTGCCGGCCGATCATCTCCAGCTTCCGTTTCACTTCGCGCATCTTCAACGCCTTCAGCCTCTTCACCTCCTCTCGTTTCTTCGCCAGTTCTTCCTCCTTGCGCTCCTTCTTCCTCTCTCGTGCCTCTTTACGTTTCGTGTCTTCGCGCCGCACCGTCGACACGAGCTTGCGCGGGTAGGACGGGATCGTGGCAGCACCGGGCTCTTCGAAGCGGTGATTGTACGACACCTCGAAGTGGGATGCGAGCGACTCGAAGGACGAGTCGGAGAGCAGGCCGGTGTCCATCTCTTCGTTCTCGCCTTCGAGAGAGGGCTCGGCTTTGGCCTTGCCTTTCTTTTTCCGCTTATTGTTGTCGTCCTGTGTGGTGATCTCCTTGTAGGTGGGTATATGCCCTTCTGAACGGTCAATCCAACCACGGTTGAGGATGTAGCTAGACGAAAGAAAGTTAACATGAGATAACCAACAAGACGAGAACAAACGTACTTCATTAAGAATTCTTGATCCTCCTCGGCCTTCTTTTTCTTTCGCTTCCCAGAAGAGGTGCCCTCCTCCTGGTCAGCAGTCTCCTTTGACTTGCTCTTCTTTTTCTTCTTTTTCTTCGGCTCTCCTTCCTTCTCCTCTTCCTCTTCTTTTCCCTCCTCCACCTGCACCCCGTCATCATCCCTGTCTCCATCCACGCTGACTAACTCCCGCAGATCACCAACCTCACGCTCCAAGAAGGCCCGGTACTCTTCCTCCTCGCGCTCCTGTTCGTCCTTGGTCTTTTCACGGGGAATCAGGAAATCGTCGCCATCGTCGCCCCCAACAGCATTGTGAAATGCAGAAATGGTTTCTTTCCGCAATTTTTCTTGCTCTTGGACATGGGTAAGTGGTTGAGGTCCGTCGTCTGCTTCGGGAGAAGGCGACCGAGAACCGTGCAGCATAGATTCGAGGTTGGCCTGGCGAATGGTGACGGGTTTCGACTAGAGAGAAATGGTTAGGAATATGAAGGATGTACGAAACACGTCAAAACGACCTTGGTCTTCGTTTTCGACGATACTGACGGTTTTGACGCGATTTTCTCTCGCTCCTCTGAAAGTGAAAAGTGAGAACACGACCGAGCACGTTTACGAGCAGCGACGTACCTCCAAAGATATTCTTTTGAGAGTTATAGATAGCAGGATCCTTCTTCTTGATCCTCGCGAGAGTACGGAGGATAGCAGCATCCACTGCCGGTGTCAACTCTTCGCCATCCTCATCTTCGGATTCAGCACTCTCAGAGTCAGTTGAGGATTCACCCGGATCGTAGTCAGATCCGTATTTTGCTTCCACTGCATAAAGCGCGTCTGTTAGCAACCCTTGTACCTTTTTGAAGCGTTCAACTACTCACATTGTTCAAGTTCCTCGCGTTCTTTCCGATACTCAAAGGCTTTGGCATAGTGCTCGTTTATGGTCAGCTGAACAACGTCGTCGACCGGTCCTTCGTCATCTGAAAAGAGCTTGCTCATTGCAAGTACAAGGGTTTCGCAGAAGTTCGTGCACACTGCAGGAGGAGAATTTTGGACACCTCACACGTGACCGATTCCGGGCCGAAAATACCGCTACTTACCACTAAGCCAGAAGCCAGTTTCAAGTCCCAAGTTGAAGTTTTACAACCGAACTTGCGTCCCGCAACGTTGAAAATCAACTTTCGCGCATCTCAGGAGCAGAATGACAAAAAGGCTTCAGCTTCAAGGCCGGCTTTGGTGTTAGTAGCCTGTTACCCGCGTGACATGGTGCTCTCCCATCATGGTCATCATATGCAATGCTGCCGCGCTGCGGACGGGAAACTTTGCGTCGCCGCAGTACGTGTCGTTCACCTGGCCCTCAGTCAACGACAGATGGAATTACTGACCATCTTCCATGCAAAAACCCCCCAAAAAATGAATCAGGCACTTATCATGCGACTCTGTTGATTCGCATCCGAGGCCCATATTTAGGCGTTCCTTCCTTGTTCCCGACCACATTGGCCGAGTCAGCGAGCGCCCTTCACTTTTCCGCGGTTCAGCGCTTGAAGAACCATGATTATCATCGACGACGAAGCCAATTCGCCTGGCGAGCGATCTCCTCTGAAGGGGCCAGGGAACAGCCAGACATCTCCCATCGACGCAGCAGCACCTCCACCTCCTTACGCGGCCGCAGCTACTTTTTCACCCACTCAGCAGTCCTACCAATCCATTCCTCATCCTTCGTACTCGACTGTGCCGTTGGTTTCACCACCGCACACGCGACAATCAGCTACCAAACGGTTCTTGAAGGCATTCGGGTATGCCCTGCTGGTGCTTTTCCTGTGGAGCGTGTTCCTCCAAACCCTCGAGATGTTGGCCACGCGACGGTATAATCATAAGCAACCCCACTTACCGAAGCCGAAGAATCCGAGGAACCATGTTGTTCATAACGGAGTGGTGCGTAGACCTGGCTGTGATCACCATTATCAGCGCATTGACGATAGCCCGTCTACAGGACTGGATAATCGAGATGCACAAGAGATTA